GGACTTTCTTTTTTTTTTTTTTTTTTTTTTTTTTTTCAAATTATATATCTTTCTCCTCTCCAGTTTTTATATTCCAATGCTGGTGCTAAAGCACCTCCTGAAGTTGGGCGGTCAGTCGCGTGCTGGAATCGCGCCCCACGCAGATCGCGCTTGCACAGAGAGGTCCAGCTTTAATTACCTACCGACCTGTGCAAGAACAGTGTCTAGGAGCCGATGTGGGTTGGGGGAAGTTATGTGCCTGTGCTACCTTAGCAATGCCACCTTGGCCTTGCTGTTCAAGACTTACCACTTCCTCTGTTCGGGCCACTGGAAGGTACGTAGAGGAACAAGCCCTGTCAGAAAACTCAGTTCAGGTACCTTGCCGCCCATGGGATGAACTTGGCGTACCTAAGGTAGTACAGGTAAGAGACGAAACTACGGATACCCGACCTACCTATGTACATGACTGCCTGATGCTGGCGCCGGGGCTTGGTGGGGGAATGGAAGAGAATGAGTTGTCATCGAATGACATCGAACAATTTATAAAAACAGAGGAAAGATAACATCAAGTAGCTGTTGTGTCAGATATTATGCAGTGACCCATGTTCCAGAGCATTGCCCCCTTTTCCCATTTCATGCTGAAAGGCTTCAGAGGCTCGCTCTACACCTCCACCGGGGTTTCATACGTTAGCTCAGTGAGTTGGAGGGCCAAGACCCAATGGGTTTCGGACTGGGTTGGACATGCTAAGGTAGGTAAGCAGTGGGCCACTGTCACCTCCGATAACGTAGGTAGTCCAAAAAAGATGCAGCAGAATCAACGAATCGGATTCACTCGGAGTTACTTTCACAGAAGCCATTGTAATAGTCCCGAATATTCGGACAAATTGTTAAAAACACCTACACACACCAAGACACTCTGAACAGGTCGTCGGTGCTTACGGAATAAAGAGTGCTGTGTGTGCGCTACATAGGTGGTGAGGTACGTACGTACGTACTATTACACCCAAGATTGCCCATCCGGCATGGAAGGAACAGAGGTGTGGTAGGTGGGCGGGGGGACATCATTTGCCGGCAGGACTCCGAACTGGGACCACGCACCCATGCTTGCTTTTTCCGGGGGCAAGACAAAAACTGACCCATCATCCACAAGGGCCAATATTGTGTGACACGGTGGGTGGATGGGAGACGTCCATGAGCAGACATCGGTGCCGTTGTGTTGGCGGCATGTCTCCCCTCAACTTGGTCTTGGTCTGGTCCATCCCAATCAACCCGGAGAAGCCAATCAATCTGTCCTGAACATGCGTTGCCAGACCTTCGCGGCTTCGCTTACACCGCTACCCCTACCGATGATTATCTAGGGACATGGCAGTAGAGCAAGAGGAGATAGCCAACAGGAGGCTAGGATAGGAACGCAAGGGACGAGCTGTCGCTACACCAGGTGAACACTGCTTCCCATAGTGTTTTACACAACCGACATTCGTTGTCCAGATAACAAAGAATATCTTGGCCTGCTTCTGGGAGCAGGCATATCATTTGATTAAGGCAAAAACGTGCGGCTACATTGTCTTCAAATCATCTAAGCTTTGCTTGCTCACGACAACAATGCATCGCATTCAGAGGGCGTCGAAATTTGCTCAAACGTAACTCTCCCCCCATCTCATCTAAAGCTCTAATCTTGGGGAAGCCTGCCTCAGATCTTGCTTTAGACGCCATGCGATGGTTAAGTACAATCTTGTCTAACTTGAGGCAAGATAGGTCGGTTGGTAAGGTCGATCAACCAGTCAGTCTCAAAGTGCTGGCGTCGAGCTTAAACTGAGGTGGCACCGTGCCCGATTCTTGGGCAGACGTTCTGACGTTCTAGCTTGCACCTCTCGCTGTGGCGCCCAGGCGCTAGCCGCGCCACGCTCAGTCCGTGCAAATTGAGGTAAGCGCGTTCCCAAATTTCTGAACGTGTAGGCCCAGGTCTTCCAGCCTTGGACGACCGTTGTCGAACTGTTTTTGCGCCTCATCCACGAACATCACCTCAAGCCTGTCTCCTCCTACTTGCATCACTCAATTGCCGAAATCCGAATTTGGCGACCAGTCTCCCGAAGTTATCGGTAAACCACACCCAAGATGGCTGCGGTATGCGCTTCCCTCCGTATGCACCTGCCTTCTGGCAGCTAACAGGACCTGTAGCCCGTCATGACCGTCTCCGAGAGCAAGGAGCTCAAGGGCCTGAATCTCATTGCGGCCCACTCCCACATTCGCGGCTTGGGCGTTGATGGCACAACACTGGAGCCCAGAGCGGCATCTCAGGGTCTAGTGGGACAGGAAAAGGCCAGGAAAGCTGCTGCCGTGATCCTGCAGATGATCAAGGAGAGCAAGATTGCTGGAAGAGCTGTGTTGATTGCCGGCCCCCCAAGGTAAGCCTCTCTACCGCGCGTGCTGCCCTTTGAAGGCTGTATGGCTGACCACATCTCACCAGCACCGGCAAGACTGCCATCGCCATGGGAATGGCCCAGTCCCTCGGCCCCGATGTCCCCTTCACTTCCCTCGCCTCATCCGAAATCTTCTCCCTCGAAATGTCAAAGACCGAAGCTCTCACACAAGCGTTCCGCAAGTCGATTGGTGTCCGTATCAAGGAGGAGAGCGAGATCATGGAGGGTGAGGTCGTCGAGATCCAGATTGACCGAAGCGTTACTGGCGGCGCCAAACAGGGAAAGCTGACGATCAAGACGACCGATATGGAGGCTGTCTACGACATGGGCGCCAAGATGATTGATGCCATGACCAAGGAGCGTGTTATGGCCGGTGACATCATTTCTATCGACAAGTCCTCGGGCAAGATCACGAAGCTTGGCCGGTCATATGCTCGCTCGCGTGACTACGATGCCATGGGCGTCGATACCAAGTTCCTGCAGTGCCCAGACGGCGAGCTACAGAAGCGCAAGGAGGTTGTCCACACCGTCACCCTTCACGAGATTGACGTGATCAACTCAAGAACACAGGGCTTCTTGGCACTGTTCTCTGGAGACACTGGTGAGATCCGCAGCGAGATCAGGGACCAAATCAACACCAAGGTCGGCGAGTGGAAGGAGGAGGGCAAGGCCGAAATTGTACCCGGTGTGCTATTCATCGACGAGGTTCACATGCTCGACATTGAGTGCTTCTCATACATTAATCGCGCCCTGGAAGACGACCTTGCACCCATTGTCATCATGGCTAGCAACAGGGGCAACTCCCGCATCCGTGGAACCGACTACCGCAGCCCCCACGGTCTCCCCCTCGACTTCCTGGACCGTGTCGTCATTATCCACACAAACACCTACAGCCCCGAGGAGATCAAGCAGATCATCACCATCAGAGCTCAAGAGGAGGAGGTTGACGTCTCAGCCGACGCTCTGGCGCTGCTCACCAAGATTGGCCAAGAGGCGGGCCTGCGTTATGCCAGCAATCTCATCACCACTTCCCAGTTGATCTGCGCCAAGCGCAGGGCGAAGCAGGTCGAAATTGCCGACGTCCAGAGGAGCTTCTCGCTCTTTTACGACCCATCTCGCAGCGTCAAGTTCGTGTCCGAGTCGGAGAAGCGCTTGATCGGCAATGACGGTGCCGTCGACTTTACCGTCACTAATGGTCATGGCGATGCGATGGAGTTGAGTTAGGCGTATAAGGGGTCTTCCGTGTTGGGCGTTTTTGGGCAGTAAAATAGGTGGCCACCCTGGGACGTGTGATAGATTATGTACCATAAATGTTTGAATGGTAGCATCGTGACGATGCCAGGAATGCAAGGCTTTTTTATTCATTCATCCGTATTTTTACATGGTTGACTCTTTTGAGTGTTCTCCATCCCTTCAATTATACAAACGTGGCAACCCTAGTCCAGGCGTCATCACCAACCGGCCGGAACTCAACGCCCTCTCCGAAATACCCAGCGTCCTGCCATGCCTTCATCGTGGGGCCATCGTACGGCCCCTGTTTATCAGCGTTGTCTCGTCCGTCCGTCCACCGGAACTCCCACACTCTCGAAGACAAATCCTCGTCGGCGTCATCCCTTGCCGGCTCGACCCATTGCTCGCCCGTCTCCCGCTGCCACTCGCGCACGAGCATCTCCCTCTCCTCATCATAAATCTCGGCATGATCTCGACTCAGCAGCTTGTCCGCCGCGTCGGTGATGGCCTCGATGGCCTCTTTCCTCTTCTGCTGCTCGGGACTGAGCTGCTCCTTTTCCCTTTCGACGTCCATGGCTTCTTCGTCTCCCTTGTTCTGCTTCTTGAGCTTCCACTTTGGTATCTTTTTCGTCTTGGGCTGCCCCTTGCCCAACCTCGCCAGGGCCTCGAGTGACGTCTCTCCCCTTTCTAACCTCACGATGAGCGCCTTGAGCAGGTCCGTCGTCAAAATGTCGTCATTCTCCATCCGTAACCTCCGCGCCTCGGCCTCGCGCTTCTCGTGTGCATCGGCCGCCTTCTTCAGATCCTTCTTGCTCAGCCCGTCGAGCCACTTGTCGTGCACCGCATTCGGGTCGACAGCTTTCCTGATAAAGTTTCCGTCCTCGTCGAAGCGGCCCTCCTCTTGCTCCTCCTTCATGTTGAACGCCTCGACCTTGGGCGCGTTGCGCTTGAGGCCGCCGAGGCCGACCTCCTCGTCGATGCCCTCCTCCTGCATCGCCAGTTCCTTGTCCTCCTCGTCGTCGCTGCTCTCCTCATCGTCTAGACGGATCTGCCCTCCGCTTTTACTATGCAACTCCTGGCCCTGGATCTGTTCGTCGTCGAGGAAGCGCAGAGCCTTGTCTTTTCCTGCCGCCTTGGTCCCTTCCTGCGCCGTCTTGCTCTCCTTCTGCTCCTCCTCCTCGTCCGCGGCGAACATGTCGTCGTCCTCGTCGTCCTCATTCGCCTTGTCCCCCTTGCCGTTCGCGCCGCTGCTCTTGGCATCGTAGTTATCCAACTGACCAAAGAAATCCGCATCGCCGTCCTTCCTGCCCCGGTGCTTCTCATTGGCGCGCGACTTGAAGTTGCGCTCGTTGTCCGAGTCGCTGTCGTAGCCGTCGAGGTTCACGGCGCCGCGCTTCGTTGCTCCCCCGCCGCCGCCGATGACGTCGGCGTCGAGGATGGCGTCCTCTTCAGGCGCATCGGGGGCTAGGGCGGAGGGGTTGCGCACGTCGAACTTTAGTTTCTTAGAGTCGTGGCCGTCGCCGGCGTCGGCATCGTGGTGGTGCGTTCGCGCAAAGGTTTCGCCTGCCCTTTTTGGGCGCGCTGCTGAGTGTCTGGAGGCCATCTTCGGGCTGTCGGGCTGTGCCTGGGGAGATGCGTTGTAGTTTGTTACAGATGGAGGGCTGAAGTGAGGCAAGGCTGGCTGAGAAGGCTTGTCTTGAAAGAGCTTCTAGGTGGGTGGGCTGGGTGCAGCAGCTCTAAACGTCATGTTCTTGGTTGCTGGAATGCATCTGAGAGCTGAGAGCGGATACCTTGATCTCCCTACAAAGTTGCATGGGCATTAAAGTACCGACCGGGGGGGCCGGGAATGTCAATTTTTGGTGGAACCCGGCCGAACCTCCAGCGGGTTTCGTCATTCATCAGTTGCCTTTGCGGCCCCACGTAAACCGCGGGTCCTCCTTCATCACTTCTAAAGGCTAAGCTACCTACCTTCTTTCATTACCTACCCGCGGCAGCCACAACCCTCAACTGCGCCCATTGAAAGAAAGCTTCCCAAGTAGCTTCCCGCACTTCAACAATAATTTGGGTTACACAGTCCACCATTACTCGTTCCTGTCTCTACTCCCGAAAAGATACTTTACTCGCGAAAGTCGCCCGCCAAGATGGTAAGCTAGCTGTCCAACTCACCTCTTCGCTCAAGCTAACCCAGAGCACCCAGTATCGCTTCGACCCCAACGAAGCAGACATGTATAACTTCGCCCGCGGCGGCCGCCGGCCGATCGTTCAGCGCTTCGACGAGTACTACCGATGCTATCCTATGGTGATGGCCCCTGGACCCGAGCGACCTGACCTCAACTATGGTTCCAAGATCTTCCTGCCGCCCTCCGCTCTGGACAAGGTCTCGAAGCTCCACGTGCAATGGCCGTTGCTCATGGAGATTATAAATGGCGAGAAGGGAAAGCACTCTCACGCTGGTGTGTTGGAGTTCGTCGCGGAGGAGGGCAGAGCATATCTCCCCCACTGGGTTCGTGGCCACGTCCCCTCCTTGGCCCGCGCTGTCCTCAGCGGAAGTGGCGTTGCTAACGTGTGAAACCAGATGATGCAAACTCTCTCGCTGGACGTCGGCGACATGATCCAGATCAAGACGACTTCCCTCGAACTTGCCAAGCTGGTCAAGTTGCAGCCCCAATCTACCAACTTCCTCGACATCAGTGATCCCAAGGCCGTGCTGGAGAAGGCATTTAGGAACTTTGCCGCTCTCACCAAGGGTGATATTTTTAACTTTGAGTACAACGACGAGATTTATCATGTGGCGGTCCTGGAGGTCAAGCCGGAGACGGACAAGATGGGAGTTTGCCTGATCGAGACCGATGTCGAGGTCGACTTCGCGCCACCAGTCGGCTACGTCGAGCCAGAGAGACAACAGAGGGGTAGCGGAACCAGCACACCCAGAAGCGGACGCGGCGGCCTACCGTCCGGCGGTCTGCTCCACAGCCAAGGATCCATGGCCCAGTCCATCAACTACGGCGCCATCGCTCCCGGCGCGGCGACGACCAACTCCAGATTCTACGGCGAGGGCCAGAAGCTCAGCAAGAAGGGGAGCAAGGCGTCGACACCGAAGCCCGCGACTCCCGTGGCGGGCGCCTCTGCCAACGTGCCCACTGCCGCTGTGCCCATTCCGCGCAGGAACAATAACGGCCCCATGCCTCTGCGTCTCCCGCCCAACAAGCTCTTCTTTGGCTACGAGATCAAGCCGGTCAAGACCGATGACGACAAGAAGCGCGAGCTGGAGGAGCAGAAACGTCCGCACTTTGCCGGTCAGGGTCAGACACTTCGCGCTAAGCGTAAGGGCGAGGCCGAGGAGAAGGAAAAGGTCCCTGAGAAGAAGGGTCCTGCCGAGGGACGCAGGGTGGATAGTCGTGGCCCGAAGCCTCGCGGCATCGAGTGAGATGGTTACGCTTGGGAAACATATTTTCGATTTGGGATGGATCAAATGGCGTTTGGGGGTAGGATGGGTAATCATTCAGGGCGCATGGTTGTAATTGCCGGGGCAACATTGTCCAGGACCGTCAAACGGTGATTAGATTCCCGAAAATGAAATGATTCAGATTGCATATACCTTCCTTGTATGGTGTCAAACTCTTCAACGGAATGACTGTGCGAATCAATGAGGTTGAGGGGACACGACATCATTTGACACTTAACTCGTCGCTGCCGTCCATGGTGGCGTTGTCGTAGTAATCGGAGCTGATACAGTACCTCCTCACTCATACAGTAGCCGATCATCGGTACTTCAGGTTGGCAGAGACGATGACTTCCGTTTCTATGTAGAAAGAAAAGCTAGCAAAAGAGCAAGCTTGCTTCTATACGAGCCGGTAGTGAAATCTTCCGCATCAATAATCTTGGGGCGGTAATCTCAGCCATACCCCGTCTTCATCCTCCGAAACGTTGTGTCCTAGAGATTCCTTGTGTACGATGAGCCCTCTGGCCATCCGGTAAAAACAACCCAAAAGCCTTTCCCTCCCAATTTCGTCATTCCAGCCTCCGTACCCGATGTATCCTTCCCTCCATGCCACTCCAGATCAATCAACCGAATGGCGGTGGTCGTTTGTTGGTGCCGCAGTGAAGAAAAGTGTCCATGAGGAAAGATGAAGAAGCCGAAATCCGAAAACCGCGAGAAAAAAGAAAAGCAAAAACCATTGCGGATACCGAAAAAAATGCCAGCTTCTGTCGAACCACCTTGCCGTTGATCGAGTAGCAAAACGAGAAAAGATGGTAGCGAAACTCTTTTTCCCATCTCCCCACCCTCATTGAAATCATGATGGTAGGAAAGAGGGAACCGGGGTATCGTACATCCTCCTCAAATCTAAGCAATGGCAGCCGCCGCCTTCTCCTTGGCCGCCTTTTCCTTAGCCGTATTGATCTCCTTGAGGTGGGCAGCGCCCCTCTCGCAGGCGGTAGCGACCTGCTTCTCGAAAGCCTCCTAGACGGAATCCTCGTAGACGCGAGGCTTGGAAGGGGGAAGCGACTGGGCCGTCTTCTTGCCGTGGTCGAAGTAGATCTCGTTGGCAATGACGGGGTTCAGAGTCAAGCTTCGGAATTTGTTAGAGAGGTCCATTTTAAAGTGCTGGGATGTGGTGGAAGTTGTGTAATTTTGGGAAGATGGAAGCGGAAGTTGAATGTAGAAATTGGAATGTGGAATGCAGAAGTTAGAAGTTGGGAGGTGGAAGGTAGGATGGAAGTAGCAGAAGGAAGAAGGAAGAAGAAACAAGCGATATTTGTTGCTGAAGCCCGGTGAGCCACAAAAACACCAATACAAGCTCGGGACCCGAATAATTGAGGTGACAAGAATGGGTCGAGTTGAAGTTATGGAGAGGGGGGAAATTCAGTGATGACGTACCTGCGCTCACGGGCATGGCGGCTGAAGCTGGGAAAGTCAGGTTTGGCCTCCAGCTTGACAACCTTGACCTGATCATCAGTGAGGTCGATACTCTGACCAGGGAGGCCAGCAGCGGCAGGGGCATCGGCGTCCTCCATATTGACATCAGTGTCGCCATTGGTGAGATCAATCTCCTGGTCATCAAGTCCAGCAGCAGCACCACCGTGAGAGATCTTGATGCGCTTCTTGGAACCCTCCATGTCGGGCTCAGTATCATCGCCACCGTTGTCGGCCGAGAGGGCAAGCGTGGACATCTCATGAGCAGCCTGGGCCGGGCCAGAGCCACGGCTAATGGAGGTTCGGGTCTGACTGCCAGAGGCCATGATGTCCGAGCCGGGGGCAGCACGCTTGCGAGAAGCAACGGGGGTGATGGGCGCGGTAGCAGTCTCGTTGACACGAGCGTTGTAAGGCTTCAAGAGAGACTTGCGCCAGCGCTGACTATGGGAAGCATTGTGATTAGTTCTGCTAGAGCCAGTAAGAAGAGGTGGTAGCTCACGTGAGGGCAGCGGTCGTAAAGTCGTATCCGATACGGTTCATTCGCTGGGTGACGCGAGCCCAGTCAGGCTTCGGACCCGCGCCATTGTAGGCAATGCTCAGCACGGATAGAATCAGAGCCTTCTCAGCCTCGGCGTCCCACGAGTGAAGGCCGGCCATTGCTGCCAATGTTGTTGAGTGGATTTTTGAGAGGTCTTTGCTAAGAGCGTTAGTCTCAGTCCGTCAGGCCACGGAACGGATGACTGGAGATGATGATGAGAATCCAAGAGAGAGAAAAACCCAACGGTGAAGGCAAGGCTGATGAGTGAGAAGGAAATATAACGCGATGAGCAGGGAGAGAATCGAATTGAGGTGAAGGGAAGTGATGATAAGCAAGTTTTGGGGAAAGAGAATCGTACCTGCCGGGCGGTATGAGACAATTACAAAAGCGGTAGGTCATAGAGAGAGGGGGAGAGAGAGAGAGAGAGAGAGAGACAAAAACGTGGAAACTCGTAAGATCGCTTATCTTGTGACCGAGAAGTAAGGGTAGAGGGCGGGATTCATTTTTGGAGGGCATGATGACAGGGCGTATCAAGATGAGTTGATACCCAAAGTACAAGATAAATAACAAAAACAAGAGACCACGTACCTATATAGTAAAGGGCAACTATGTTGATCCTCGGCGGTGGAAGATCTTGTTCTTTGGTTAAGCGGTTATGAGGAATAAGGTAGGTTGAAGAGGAAGAGGTTTGGTTAGTAAGTGGTGAGGGAGGGGGGATTATATATCCTAAACGTGAGTCGAAATCATGAGAAGCTGGTAAGCTTAAGAAGGAAAGCGCCTTAGGACTAGAGAGTGGGCACCCGCCTTAAGGGGTTTTGATAAGAAGGGCGAGAGCCATGGGCAGTTATCTATCCTGGATGGGAGTTAAAATCATGAGAAGCCGGTGAAGTTGAGAAGGAAAGTACTTTGAGAGTTTAAGAGCGGGTACCCGCCTCAAGGGGATTGGATTTCAATGTACTAATTCTCACACGTGGTTCTGGTGCATGAAGGGGCTTAGCTGACAAGTAATCCTGTTTAGTGAGTTTAGACACGATGATATTGTGAATGAGTTCCATCGACAATGCAGCCGAGGCTGACTTCTGCACAGCATGTAACAAAGGGTATCGTTGACTGAGTTAGATCTGTAGCCTAGTTGAGAGAAATAGAAGCTAGGCTAGCCAGCACCTCCCACGGGGAATGATGGACATAGCGGACATCAAATACATACACGTGTCTATCTTGGTTATAGCTCGGCCCAGGTGGAGGCCACCAGAGGGGAGCAGCATGCTTAAGCATGTAGAAATGGAGTGTCTCAGTGCATCAGTGCAGTTTGAGTTGTTCCAGAAGGCAGTATACACTTGTGAAAAGAATTGAGATGGAAGCCTGGTGGGGAGGGCTGGCAAATTCTGGTAAACGTATTCTCCTCAAGACTTATTACTCTTGACAGAAATTAACTTTTATACGTAAAAGGATAACAGACAATTAAAACACTGAATCATCCCAAACTCCAAGCACCTCGTCGTGTTCATAACCTCGCTCCTGATGCCGCTACCGCTTTGATGCATAACGCCTTGACCTAACAAAATTGATGAGGAGTAGGAATAATGAGTGGCTCGGGTCTACAGATCTGACTCCTAGTCTACATCTGTAAACTCGCTGCTTCCGACGCCGCCTGTTGCCGGAGAAGCTTCCAAGAGGGCCGAGCATTGCTCCTACGTCTCAGGACCATAGTAGGAAGTGTGCGGGTCTGACCCGGTCAAACCGGCTGTGGGGTATTCGGAAGCGTAGCCATCAACAGAAGGGGCGTCGCTGTGGGCGGCCAAAGCTAACACAGCTTCGTCGTCAACAAGGGATGGGTCTTGAGCAGAGTTGTCGAGCTTGATTCTTTTAGCATCGGGGCCGTCTTGTTCGTCATCATTGTGTTCCTTCAAAGACATATCGAGAGTGTCGTCTTTGATGGAAATATCTAGAGACTCAGATAGGAGACCGTCGGGCATCATGGGCGTTTGCATTTGGGTCTGGTCATCTTGAATGGAATCCTCGTGACTTGGCTGGTGCTCGGGCTGGTGGTCGAGCTGAAGATCGGGCTGGTGGGTGAGCTGAAGATCGGGCTGGTGGTTGTGCTCAAGATCGGGCAGGATATCGGGTTGAAGGTCGGGCTGAACGACAGGTTGGGGTTGACCAGCTTCAAGTTCTTGATCGGGTCCAAGTTGGTCAAGTTGGCCAAGTTGGTCAGGCTGACTCGGCTCGCCGGGCTGGTCTGACAAAGCTGTGATCGGCATCGGCGCGGGTTGCTGAGGCTGCTTCTTGGGCCTTCCACGACCCGGGCCCGGACGACGAGTGATTGGATTCGTCGTCGGATCAACCTTGCGAGGGTTGTCAGGGCTGCCTCCATTCGTCTCAGCCTTGTGCTGGGCACGACGAAGGCCCTGGAAGTGTTGTCTGCATTATGTTAGTTGCTGTTGACATGTTGTGATGGAAGTCGATCAATTTGTGGGTAAGCGATGTGTCAAATAGGAGAAAATGAGAATGTTCTAGTGCAGCAAAGTTGAGGGCAAAGCCATCTCAGATACAGAGGTGTATCTTGGTGCTTACAGTGAAACATTGAGCGAAACATGAGTTGATGTGATGATTTCGATTTTCTACATAAAAGGCGTACGACAATGGGAGGTAGTCCTCGCCGTTGCCGTTTTTCTTTCACAGAGTAGATCTTACGGTACACCCGGGGGATTGCAGGAGGGCAACAGAGAAGAATGAGCACGAAGAAGACTACGGTAGGAGAGAAGACAGAGCGGGGAAATGCGTATGGCAAAGAAATGGCCGGCGCAGAAGGCAGAGCGCGTACGCGCAATTGCTCCGTAGGCAACGAATCGCAATGACGACGCCTTCGTGCGAATGAGGTTGAGAGGAGGCCGGAAGGGCAGACATCAAAGAGAGGCGCACCGACTTACCTACAGCCCTCATTGGTAAAGCCGTAACCCAAAGTGCGCATGTGGTTGCCGATGGTAGTCCATTCTGAACCGCTGATGACGCCGATGTTCTTCACAGACAGGATGGTAAAGAACAGATCCTTGTCCGCCCTGTCATTCCAGTTTTTATTCATGGCGAATGCGACGCAGGCTGTCGGTGCTTCGTCTGCTTCGCGAGAATGATACTCGTGACTTATACGATTGAAAGTGGATGTGAGCTTGGTAGCTGTCTTTTGCGGTCGAGGACGAGAAATTGGTAGTGTGCTAAGCTCGAGAGAACGATGGGTCGAAGGGTGGTTGGGGGCTCGAGACAGCAAAGTCCAGGCGCTAGGTTTTGAGTGGTTCCCTGGCGCGGTTTAACGTTTCGCCGGGCGAGAGCTCGACTTGCATGCACCTTTTCGAAACTTCGAGACCCGATAAAAGAACGCAAAACTTTGACGATTTATTCTTGAGAGACCTCTGAGATGCCCTATTAGTTTTGACTTGATCGAGAACATAGTCGGGGAGGCCTTGAAGCAAGAGATATCGCGGCTACGGATGCTTGCGAAAAGGTGGGCGGATCTTCCGAAAAGACTCCCATGTGTGCAGAAAGCCCGGCGTTTAGCCGTTCATCAAGCGAGTTACCTAGGTTGCGGCACCCGGCTAGGTAGGTTAGCGGCTATTGACCTAGCGCCCTCTTCAGTGTCGCCGTCGGGCTTCTCAGTCTCTCGCCCGTCCTCCATTTCCTACTCTAACCCATTGCCTGATTATTCGTTCCGTGTAAACGATCTGAATGAGTGAGCAAGTGCGCCTTGCAGCATATGATTCGGCATGTCACTTTCTGCATGGGAATCGCCTTCACGAGCTATCTGGCCAATTGTAGAGACGGCTGTGCGTTGAGCGTTGCATGGATTCGTGAGACACGTCGAATCTGGCCCGCTGTTCACCCACAGCCGACTCGACTAGCATCGACAGATAGCGTATCTGTCAAAAGCCTGATTTCGAGACATGGCCAGACGGTGTTAGGTAACCTCCCGAATACTCGTGGTTCAAGGGAGATCAACCTCGGGAACCGGTGGTGCAATCTGTCTTGCATGCGCCTTGAGCCGCACGCAGAGGGCGGCAAGATCCAGAAGACCCCAACAGATGACTGGAGAGGGAAATTCAAATGTTACTGCAGAGCTGCGTGATACGGCTATGTTGTAAATACTCTATACGAACGTGCATGATTTGCTCCAATGAGGATGAGAATCAAGGTAGCTTGCCTCGATGAAGCCTCTCCTCAACAGCCGCGGGAGGCCCCTTCACCCAGGTTCCCTGTCGCCGTCGCCGCTTTACGCTCCCCTCACCATCTCAAGCCAGTTTTGGTGGGTACCTAGAGGGATGGTGTGGAGAACGGACGCTGTCAGACCTCAGGCAGCAACTGTTGGCCGATCCGTGGACGATGCGCAAAGTGGGCCGAGTGACACATCACGTGGTTTCGTGGGAATATTGCGAGGGCACAGTGCCACTCGGAATCGCGAGGCGCGTCTCCAGATCACTTCACCCGATCCCACCAACTTCAGCGCGTGTCGCCTACGACACCAAACACGTCTTTGGACGACACGAATACACGAATAACGGCTTCAATACGCACCTTGGTATTGACAGGCGATTTTCTCTGGTCTCCAAACTGCTTTTGCCCGTTGAACGGCCAAACCGATCTTCAATTGCCAAACTGGACGGTCATCTCGATTGAACCCCTCCTCTCACCAGCTCGCATCACCAGCATCCGGCGGATATTCCAGCGAGACACGAGATTGAGATTACGACAGTGTGATTGACGGGAGCAAGAATCCAGGGGGCACTAAATCGGGCCAAGAGGCTCAAACTCTGTTTGCGATTATTCGCCGTATCTTGCATCGCAGCACTCCGTCGCTGCAAGCTTCAACAACCTTGGGTTACTAGTAATTTTACCCCTACCTTAGGTGCGCAAACCGGGTGTTCGAAAGCCAGGCCTACGTATCAGAAGGCATCATGCTGCGTCGTCACAAGTGTCTATCGGCCGCCTGCTGCGTAAGTTTGTTTGACGACTCGGTGTGGGAAGGCCGCCAATGAATAGTGCGCGAACTGGGAGCTGCAACAGGGACATAGCCAATCGCCCCAGCCCCCTCCATTTCGGAAGCTACGTTGGACTAAAGTACTCGTAAAGTGAGTCACACACCCATACCGCATTTCTGTCTGAAGCCATTAAGATCCCTGTTCCGTTTCCAAGTGGTTCTGGGCGTTCCTGGATCTTGCATTGGGGGATCCGTTAGACCAGCAAAGGGAACAAAAAAAAAAAAAAAAAGGCCCCCCCAGCAAGAATGGCCCAAAGCTGCGTGTCAATTGACGAGTCAATTCTGCCTGCGAGTGCGAAAGGGTTGATATCAATTGGTGCTCGCATATCGGTGGACACGCTAGTCCGGACACCTTGCAATCCCTGGCCTTCCGCTCAAACCTTGATTCGTCGGGGAGAGTCAACTCGACTCCGTCACGTCAGATGGGTGCAGGGGAGGCATCTGCGGATGCCGGAAGGCCCAAAAAAAAAGAGAGTGGAGGAGACAGAGCGAAAGCCTGGGAATTCAAACCACTTTACGCGCAAATGACACGGCCCCGCGCCGCGACACACCTCGACCCTCTTAGTACCCCTACACCATTTCATCAGCGCTCAAGTGAGCAGGGCAGCCATCAACACTTCAAGCCATCCAAACCATCCCATCCCGCCCATAGATGCCATGCACTTGCGTCTGCACCTCACCACACCACCACATCATCTCTCCACACCCTCCACAAATATCACACCCCCCCTCCCCCCCTCTTCCTCTCGCTCGTCAAAGCCTGCCGCCGTAACTCCAGGCAACAAGGGACTATTTTGATTCCTTGTGTCTCAACCAAGGGTTTGCCACTTTAACATGTCAATAAAATGTCGGCCCAAGCGCCGCGGCGTCTGCCCTGAAAGCATCCTCGTTCGCCTTTCTTTTTCTTCATACTGTACAGATGCCAGCGCCAGCTCCAGCTCCGGCTCCTAATCCACAGCTGCTTGCCCATTCGAGGTTCGGTTCCAGCATCAAGCCGACTTGCATCTCCAGTCCCTTTAGCTCCGTGGTCCATGGGCCCTTCCCAAAGCACCTATAACTACCGTTGATGTCCCGGGGGTGGTCTGGCTGGCTTCTGGCGAATCCTCCTTGTCTGCCTCTTTTGTCCGCCTCACCTTTCATTGACCACCCACACCAACCGGTGACTGACCTCGCCCTCAGTGGTTGCACCATTTCCAGAACTCAACCTGCTGACTTGGATGCCATATATCTGGGCTTCGCCTTGCCTCACCAATCTTCACAGTGACTCATTTCCTTCATTTCAACTCCACCACTGCCTGTCGTGTGCTGGTTGACTGGGTTGAGCCAAAGCTCCAGCTCCCATCGCTGTGCACTTCAAATTACTCCCCTTTCCTCCAGCTCACTGGCCTCAACATCGACCTCACCTCCATTCCATAGCCTGGTCAGCTCGAGGCGAGATCAACCCTCGACACTCCCAACATGTCCTCCAACACAGACAACCAGATGACAAGGTTCCTTTTCGCCATCTTGAAACAGAAGAACCTGAAGGATGTAAGTGCTTCTACAACTATCCCATCACATGAACCGTTGTCTTACTAAACCTCCAGATCGACTGGAATGCTGTCGCCCATGATCCGATACTGGCACAGCCCATCACCAACGGACATGCTGCTCGCATGAGATACTCCCGTTTCCGCTCTGCCATGTTGGGCCTCGAGCCTCAAAAACGTAACAGAGCCACCGCAAACAAGAATAGGGTCACGAAGAACAAGAAGGAGCCAAAGCCACCGAAAAAGGAAGAGGATGATGAAGAGGAGAGAGTGAAGCCGGAGCCAGGGACTCTCGAGTCTCTTCATCAAGTCGAGGCTCGGGCTAGGTCTCCCGTCAAGGTCAAACATGAACACAGCCAACCTCCCTACCGACAACAGTTCACCCCAACATCCATGGCATCTCCCACCGCCACAGAATGTCAGCAGACCTTTCAACCCAGGATGCTCACCCCATGTAGCGACGACATGTTCTCCGCACCTCACAATCTGCAATTCAGCCCGTCAGCCAGCCTCATGGGTGCCCATCCAGCCTTTGATCTCCCACAAGCGATGGCCTGTGCGCACGACCAAGACCATCACCACCATGAGCACGACCACAACTCCTGGGCGCCGAGTCCAATCTACTCAGCGTTCGAAGCCGCGTACGATATCGATGGCTTCGGCATTGGTTCCTTGTGTGATCATCAGGCTGGTCAGGGACATGCCGACGAATTGCATGGGTCTCCTGCACTGGGCTCCCTCATGCCTGAGCATATGAACATCAAGAACGAACACTGGGACACTCACTTCCACCCATGACATACGAATTGGTGTCGGTAAGCAAATGTGGTGTAGGGAGGGAGGGTGGTTGGGGTCATCTTATACGTTGGGTCCGGGTTGGAAAAAAACCACGGGCTATCTCACTGCTGCTGGCTTTTCTGTTTCTCTCCGTCTCTTGTCTCTTTGTGCTGGTCACTCCTCTACTCGCATCGTTTGGATTACCAGATGTACTAACGAAATCACGCACACCTGAACGGCGTACTGGTCTGGCCTAGAATGTATGCTTCCCGAAAGAAAGCAGGGGGGCCTTCAGAATTTTTAAACACATGCAATGATCATTTCATGCCGGGTTGTTGCTTCTCCCTTTTGCATGCAACTTCATTGATGCGGCGGTCTCGGGAACATCCCATACGTGATCTATCTGTCTCCGTAGGATCCCGACAGGACGCGTTGTGGGCGTCCTGTTCTTTCCTGCCACCTTTCAGTAACTCAAGCAAGAGTCATTGAAGGTGGTGGATGCCTTCCCGCGTAAGCGTCCCGTCCTTCTATCCTCCCGACATGTGGTACCACTCTAGCAACCAGCACCAAATTCTGCCACCAAATCATTCATCGTCCTCATATTCCTCCGTCTCCGTCTCCGCTTTCTCCTTATCCCACCCAGTCCCTTCATAATTGATGCCAGGCCACCCGGCATCCTTCACAATCCGCATCCTGATCAAATGCTCCTGGTCCGGCTTTCCGTCTTCTTTCAACTTCCAAAGACCGCCCATGCCAACCTTCTCGAGATCCGGCACCTAGTTCAAGACCCTGTACTGCTCCTTTTACGTCTCAAAGAGCGTCCCGAGGCATCTTCATCGTCCATATCGACGCTCTCGTCATAGACTGCTTTATCATCGCAGTCCATGTACGCGGGGAATTTGGTGTCGTACTTCCAGAGAATGACTACGTCACGCTTGGTGTCGATGATTACGGCACGCTGGCCATCTGCGAGGGTCAACATGTGCCTCGGAGACGAACCGCTAGCGTCTTCTTGAAGGTCAGGTGGCGTCCTCTCGAGGAGATGACTGCGAAAGGCGGAGTCGAGGTAGACTATCGGTGTCGTGCAGTCCAGTATGTTGGGGAGATCCCTGGGATCGGGCACAAAATGCGGGATATGTCGCAGGAGCTCGATGACCTCGTCAGCCTTTCCCATACCGGCGAAGGACTCGCCGGTGATATCGACGCCTCTTCGGAGTGGGCGTTTCTGGCGACTTGGTAAAAGTACGTGATGGCTGCGACGGCGGCTTCATGTGAGTATTTTGTGGACTGGGCCATCTTCGATCTGCGTAGGTGGTTCAAATTTTCAATATGTCTGTTTCTTCTTTGATCCTCAATAACAAGAATATTCGAAGGTACGGAAGAGAAGTATAGACGTGTAGGGAATTTTGGTGACGGGCCTCCGAACGCGAAGTCGGTAGACGTCAAGACTTAAGAGCTGTTGAGTCCACACGAACAAAGTACTCAATCCAAGGCATATGGCCCCTAGAATAGTCACATGCAGCTCGGGTCGGGGCTGCAATATACTGCGCCAACCTTTTCAACAAGCGCCTTGCCAACACGGAACCAATATGCCCCCAGGTAGCCTTTCCAAGGTAAGGTTGAAGAGCTGACATTTCCACACATCAAAGCGATATCATTTCATTTATGCTATCTCTTGGTAAAGTTACACAGGAGGAATCAAAAAGAATGAGTCAATCATCGTGATCAACTGAGATGTCTGCCTCGGGGGCTTATATAATCACCTCCATCGGGAGCAGGCCAAATTAATGGCACTTGGTCGACTGAATGCCTCTGTGCTGAAATGGGGAAGGTTTCGTGATAATCAGCATATCCTTCAAAGGTGACTTTGTACAATCTGCCAACTGGATATAATGAGACAGGGGGCTGTTGCAGATACGATGCCATGCTTCGGCCCCAACATGGGGTTTAACGCCGCTGAGACCGGCTCACAATTCGCATGGGGGTAGCCTCTCTCACGAACCCATAAATATAATATCCTCATGAACTCAAGTTGTTGCGTTGCTACAGTTTACTTCCATTTTGCGGCAGGTTAGAGAAGAGAAGAGCTGTGGCCATGAACGAAGTAGTCATTTCTCAGACCTCCTAAATTTCTGTTCTGGCACATTGGCGTCAAAATTGGCATCGTCAGGGTCATTAAGGAGACTCTGGGCATTTCATATGATGACTTTTCAAGTATCTACGGCCCTAATTTGAGGTCTTCGTTCGTGTTCAACCAACATGTTCTTGATCGCCGTCAACCGTGACGATTGAAGCTGTTACTAGCTCTTGATGACGTTTGAGCCATAGAAAAGCAATCGTAGCTCGACTGTCATGGTTTACATTACTCTATGGTTTCATTCATCTCTCCTTTATGAACGTGTTTATCTAAAAACCGTTGCAATTTCTCCCGGAACAATGAAGAAATCCACCGTCTCCTTTATCCTCTCTTTAATCGTACTTTTTGTTTTCACCCGATTCGTATTTGCTGAGTCGGCTCTAGTCATGCGTCATTCGGCCGACGAACAGATTATTGCCAAGTATTCAGCGACTGGCCAATGTTTCGACTATTTCAAGAACGAGAACCTCGCCAAGTCCCTTGATCCCTGTAAAATTTGGTGCTAAAATCAGGTTTCTGGAAGCTATGGTGTTGGTCTACTCACGCCATTTCCTCCATCTTACATGCTGACCCATTCCATCGTTGTAGTGTCGTAGCTTCGACATATCGAGAGAGAAAGTCGACAGGTCCCTCGTCTAGAAAGTTGAAGACGGAAGCGATTGGACGATGGGGAACTGCGAGTGTAACTTCGAAATTGCCGAGAAGATCTTGGACACCGTCACAGAGGGCCTTGAAAAGCTTGACAGCATCATCTGCGCTGCCATGTTGGAGTCTTTCAACACCATTCTACAGGTAGGCATAAATGCTATACCGGGAGATGTCGGCATCAGAGCGGCTGTCCAACGCGCCAAGACCTTTGTCGAGAATGGATTGGATGCAGTTTCCCTCTTCGGGAACTGGGTTGGAAAAGCGTGTGGGGTGCCAGACTGGGATTTTGATCTGCTCGCTGGCTTTAAGCCACTCACCAATGCACCTGACTCATTGGGAGCAAGCAAAGGGTGTTTGAAGAAAGGAAAATCCAAACGCAAGAGAATAGAGTCTAAACCCGACCCGAGTCCGACTCCTGGACAATACTCCAGCATGGAGAAGACTTTCCCTCGAGGCACCGGACCACAGACACCCACTAGGTCCGCCTCCATCACAGCCTCGGTATGCCGAATTGCCAAGCTTATCAATCCCGACGTCAAGCCGAGAAAGTTGAGTGAGAGGGAGGTAAACGAGGAACGCAGTGGCAAAGATCTTACTATCCACATCACAAGCACTTCACAGAAAATAGGGTACTGTGAGGAAGTACTGCCTGTTGTATACATATTAGATTGGACACAGGCATGCTTTTATTACAGTTAATTTTATCCATCCTCCTGTCTTCCCTAGTGGCTCTCACTAACACAACTAGGTAGATCCATAACGAAATTTGTCGGAGCTGATTTTTCTTTTACTTTGACAGAGATCTCGATGAATACGACGATTCTGAGCTGGGTCGGTGGATGGAGGGGTACGTTGCACTGTCGAAGAAACGCGTTGAAGGAGGTTCTGGCAGAGCTGCGCCACAAGCATTCGATGTTCAAGGAACCACTTCCAACCAGGCTCAGGCTGTGGCCACGCCGGCAGTTGAGGGACCAGGGCTTACATCGGAGATCCCCAGTGCCACACCATTCTTCTCCTAGTTTGATACTTGAAATGGCCGAGTGATTGTTTCTATGACGAAAGTGACCAGATGTCGTTGAAAACCTTTATTTCAGGCTGGAAAGTACTGTCTTTCAGCTTCCCATATTTTGTATTAGCAAATGATTGCTCTTGAAGCATTCTCGAATTTTGACATAGAGGAAGACACGGTATATGAAGGATAGAAAATATGTTTGCGCGAAAGAGTGTCTAATACATCCCCCCCAGCAAACATAAGCTAGTCTCTTCTCTCCTGCGTGTCGTTGAATTAAGCCCAAAGCCGTTGAAACGGTGGTGAGCGGGGCTGTCTGAGACCCGCCCCGGTCCCCGCAACCACCCGGGCGGAGATCATTATGGAGACTCGGCAGTCGGCACACCGGGCCGGGACCAGCTTGGTACCGGCATTAATCTGAGAGCTGTTGGTTATGCACCACCCGACCCGCATGAGAACATCTGGCTCAATTAGATGAAATCTCTAAAAAAAATAATTCTGGGACTGCTCTGAAGCTGCAACATCGGCATCCAAAGCTAGTCAAGAAGGACGCTATTGAATTTAGTTGAGGGAAGATCCGGAAGAGAGACAATTCAAGTTCTCAACACATGGCCCACGGTCAATCGATCAACTACAAGCTAGCTGACCGACTGTGAATACGAGAATCAAACGCACAGCAATATCGGCCTCTCCTGCTTCGCTGGCTCTGCATACGCGCGCTGCACCTACACTACAACCTCACCGACATCGCGTACTGTCCTCCCAATCCCACCCCAACTCTCCCCAAAGGAAACGTTCCCCCTCTCATGAAATGCTTCCAGAAACGCAGAGTGAGACACTGAATACCACGTCAACCTGCACTAAATCGCCGCTCTCGGAAATGTCCCAGCCAACAAAGCCCACGACCGCTTCTCCAAGACATCCATATGGACCACCCAGTATTCTGCCCAGCCCCCCCACCCACCACGAAATACTCCTGCATCTACCAAGGCACAGGTCGCACAGAAACCACGTGCTCGACAATGGGACCGCCCACGAAAATGCGAGGAGAATAAAGCAAGGAGCAATTAAAGATCTCACCCGTCGTGGCACAAATGATCGCACGAGGAAAATCCCCTTTGCTCTCTACTTACCTACTCTTTGCCTCCCTCAACCGCCCGGCGAACAAAAGGTCCACCTCGTCCTCGTCGTATGTCGCACGAGGGCACATGACCGCCGAACATGCATCACTTCGCTTACAATGCTCACCGCCGCCGCGCGCTGCTCAGCGCTTGTTGGCACATCGAGAGAGCCCTCCTTTCCAGGTTACTTCTCCCTGTAGATCTCTAGGTCCACGAGCCTCTCTCGCCTCGAAAAGCCTTATTCCCCAGCCACCTTATTTTTCCTTTGGTACTTGACCTTGGGTAAACTCAACAACAAGCACGTAAACGAACCGCTTCAGGGAAAGCCCCATTAAATCCGCCGAGACAAGCATACTGACTTGGCAATACGAGCAAGAAGTCGAGTGAATCGTAAACCAGATTTTCGAGACTCACACTTGTGTAAGTCAAAGAAGCCCGACGCCACCAACAGCCGCCATGATGCTTTTCCATCACATCGATAGACACGGGCATCCCGCACCCCATCCCCAATCCTCGCCCCCGGTCCGCATCCCGCCACCACCACCTCCACGTTACACCTCTTCAACCAACCCGTGCATCTCTTCCGCGTCGCCCTGCGCGTGCGAGTGCTAGCCTAGCGTGCCCGTCATCTGCGGACGTTCGCTCATGGCTCGTGCCGGCCGTAAGCGGCGAGAGGAGCAGGAGGATGGAGGGACGGAGGTGGACCAACGGGGCACCATGTCGAATCACAGATAGCGCCGTCCGAATCACACGCGCCTAGGCCGCATGCGGGTTGTAGGGCGGCACGGCGGTTGGATCCAGGGGTCCAGAGCTTTCTCTTCAGGGAAATGGATTCTGTCAGTCAGCGCACGGCCGGCCATGCCGGGTTACCCTTCATCTTTGACAGGCTGCAATTGAGTTCCAGATGTCAAGAGGGAGCGCACGCCATTAGATCTTAGACCATCGTCGCTCGTGGCGGCGGCGGCGGCGGCGGCGTGGTGGACGAGGTGAGTAAGGCGTAGGTGCGAACAGATGTGACGGGGCAAGGATACACTCGGCGGTGATGATCTCTGCAGATGTAAGAGCTGCAGTAGAGGTGATCGGATGGTGACTGGGGGAGAGATGCCGGGATACCATTCATGTTTATGCCCCCCTGCTACTTGCCCAAAGAGTGCTGTTTTTTTTTTTTTTTTTTGCTTTATCAGATGCTATGGTCCTGCCTCTTTTCGCGGGTTTGGGCTGTTGAAAGAGTCAGTTCACTTGCTTTCCCCGCCCGCCCAGAAGGTTGACAGGACAGGGGTAAGCGAGCTCTTTCACGGCGCAGAGTCCGTGATGCCACGAGGTGGTGTGTTACTCATCTGCTGAGACATGTCAAATTCTCCAATCGAAACTCAAAGTTGAGCTTTTCAATTTTTTCATGGTGATAGTCGAGTAGGCAACCCTCCCCCATTTGAGAGCAGAGACCCAATTCTCGGCCGCATCGACTCATCGTCACGAGACGCGGAACTCCCAAGAGATTCAAAATTGGCGACCTGCCTTAGGTCCAGGTCGGGAAGGTGTCGTTGTCCTGACACTTTGGCAAGTTTAATCCCGCATGGTCTTCCCTCAGTGGGGAGATATATGGATGGAGGATTCTCATGTCAAAAAAGGCGTTGTGGGAGCCACTTGTCGACCATTCTGTAACCGTCATGCCGTATGCGAGGGACAGCTGACCGCCAATAAGGATGTCAAAGTGGCACAGCAGCCTCTCATTCGTTGCACAGCACTCTGTGGACCGCCGTCCCATGAAGGTGAGAATAGGTTGCGGATTGCGCGGCTTGGCTACAACTTCCATCGTTATGGATCCTGCTGTGATCCCGAGAAGCGCGGTGTCTGAAGTTTGATTTCGTGAGATTCAAAAGCATCTGAGAATAACGTTTCCTGAAAGCTGCTGCTGCCGACGCCGCCAAGGTAACGGCTGCTCGCTTGAGGCAGCTCAAACCGGCCATGCATTTGCGCGTCTAGCGCTGGTCAGCGCAAAATATGCAAACGCTGTGGTTCTGCCATGAAACCATTGAAAGAGTAGTGGAAGTCGATCGCACTAGTCATGGAATGTCATACGGCATAGGTAGCCCGGGCAGTCCGGTTCGAACTTGATGCCACTCGGCCGCTTCCTGAAGTGTGAGATCCTGACGTTGATCTGAGCGATCGAATGTAAGATAGAGCAGCAGTGCGTGGGGCGACAGTTGCCAAGCATCCAGGGCCCCCCTACCAGTAAACTTGAAGCCATTGCTATGTGGATGGTCAACGTGATTCGTCGTAAAATGAGATATGATAGGAGCTCCTAGTCAGTCCAGTCCGTCTAACGACACGAGATCCTACTCCAATTTTGTCTGGCCATTGATATAGACATCGTTCATCGGCTGTAGAAGTGAATACAAATGTCAGCACGTCGTCTAGACTGATTAAGCCTCTCGTGGCGCTCCGAGCTTGACTATCACTGTTGCATCAAGACTGTGAAGCAATCCAGCCGCACAATCCTAGCTCCAGCACAATTAAGTGACCGGATCCTATTAACAGGGCCAGGAACCAATGCGCCGTGAGGCTCGGATTCGTGTGATGGGCGTCGATCATTGATCATTAATTGGTCTCGATACTCAATGCGTGGCCAAATAACGTCTGGGAACCCGATTTTCGTACAGCGAATGATTCTCAGCCCGTGGTCGATTATATGCTTCATGACTCCCGGACAGAACATCCATCCTCGACCGGATGTTAGATGGCTTACGCCTGGGATCAAAGCGGAAACTCGACCGAGAACGATAAGAGTCTAGACGGGTGACGGCTATCCGTAGAGAGACTAGTTCAACGGCAAAGCAAACACAAGACCCCTGCAACAAAGCCAAGGCGATGTACGACATGACAGGGGTCGGCGAGCTCTGCTCATCTACCCACAAGTGTGTATCCTCGGGGGTGAAGGAAAGCTCACAGAGCTCATGAAATGCCTGGTTATCATGGACATCGATCTATGAGTCGAGCTATGGTTCTAAGCGATTTGCAATTGGGTTGCAAGTCAGGCTCGACTACTGCTCGACAAGGCGGCAATAATGCGCGCAAATATCGCGGCGGACTCTCCAGATTCAAGGGGGTTTGGATGCCCGGTGCAAAGACGTTGCAAGTTGATGTAGATATCTCTCAGCCCCCTCAGTATAGATTATCTTGCAACGCCGTGCCAGCGCCACGAAAGGCTGATTTGATTAGTCGGACTGGCCACTCCATTCCACGCTTCACCGGCTGCACGTCGTGCACCCGACCTTCGGAGCTGTATGATGGCTACATTGCACCTTCTCAAGGACAGTCGAGACCAATTCGCTATTCGCTTGGTACCTTAAAGGTAGGACGAAGGCAAACGAGATGTCAGACAGCACACATGCCAAAATTGTTAAAAACACCTGTCATATAGGTGCCTGACGACCCGGAAAACGAGCTTACCCAACAAGCAGCTAGCCGGCACGATGGTTGAGGCACGGTAAACATGGTGGTTGCGGTGGGGGAATTGACCATCCGTTCCGGGGTAGCATTGTGGCCCTGAGAGGAAGATTGAAGGGCACGTTACGTACCTGAAGCTTGTGCATCAGCTTGAAAAAACTGCTCTAAGCGACGCTCAAGGTATGAGGCGGCCGTGGGTTCAACCTTGCTCTCAACATGCAGCCATACCTTAATCCGTGCTTCACTCATGCACGGGGAAGCGGCCGGTGAGGTTGTATGCTGGATGAGTGTGAACCTGATTAGCGGTCGATGAAGGTGCAATAGCGAGGCTGTCCCGTTTGCCCATGTCATTGGGCTGCCATCGGATGGTTTTTGCCCAGGGGGGATTGACGAGGAACTGATATCCGGGGACCAAAAGGTAGGCCAGACCGGGATCGGGAACTTCAATGGGTGGTGTGGCAAAGGAGCGAATCGAAACGGCAGGTAGATGAATAGGTTGCTATGTGCAGCAACGTCCGTTCCTTCGGCCCCGAGTGAGACAGGTAACGAACGTCCCGGGTGTCATTGAGCCTTGGTGATGTAATAGAGTGCGTCTCTTGGGAGCGGCGGGATATTGCGATGGACCTGGCCGTTGGCCAATTCCCCACAACCGCAGATACGTTGAACAGAGGCCAGCATAATGAGCTAGGCGAGACCAATTAAGGTGGGTTGAATTGGGTCCTGGGAATCCAAAGCTCTATCTGGAACGGATCAGGTCGACGGGGGGTCTATGTTGTGCATAGTGCTCGAGCCTTCGAGTTGGCAGTGATCGTCTCGCAAGCACAAAGAAACAAAGGCGGGCGGATGCAGCATTACTGCAGCCTCAATCCTTGAGGGCGGTGCTCTGTGTGGGCGGATTGGGAGTTCTGGAGCTGCGGATGCGGACGTGTACCGTCTGGAGTGAAGTATTGCACGTTGCCAGGCCGTTGAATTTCTCCATCGGTGTGCAGACAGGGCGAGAGGGAACACAAAGTTCCGAGCTTCAAGCGCAAGTGGGGATTGGCGATGGATGGTGGCCGCTTGTGTGCCGGTCAGCAGGATGTGATTCCAGACCCGTGCCGGCAGAGGCGATGGCAATGGATGCAGAATAGTGGCGTTCGCGTTCAGCCCCTGGTATCAAGGGGCTGATCGAGTTTGTGAATTGTAATAGTATGGAACGGGTTTGACGTTGTCGATGGGCGATGGCGATGTTCCTGAAACTGAAGGTAAGGTAAGAGGTGGGATGGTGTGTATGTCACTGGCCACACACACACACGCAATGCCGTTGATGGATGGTACAGTACCTAAAGGTCGAAATAGGAAGAGGTACGTAGCGTAGATGGACAAGCAGAAATAAACGGATGGCTGAGGACTTGTGCATCAGTGAAGTGCGCTCCACTGAGATATGCCGTGGTTGACAGGAAGAAAGAAGCAACGAAGCAGAGGGAAGGCACGATTAATCCGCCCTCCGTTGTCACTCAATTCCATGAGGTGAGGTTGGAGAGGTGGCACAGACGGGAAAATCGGCCAGAGGTAGCCGCTACCTTGGATTTTGCTTCCATCGGCAGTGGAAGACAGCGGACGCCAGCCGTACCGACTACTTGAATATGGGTCCAAGTGGAGCAGTCCAACGGGAGGTTAAAAGCGACGAACCAGTCAGATGCATGCCCACGGGGATCCCTGCAATGCATCTGCTGAACAGCAGGCACATGCGGCTCCGGATTGGCCCCATGCAAGTTCCTTAGGCGCCATCACCCTTTCCTCGGCGCGTAGACTGTTCAACCCCGGCTCCCTGTCGTCCAGTCATCCACCTTGACCCCGACTCCCTTCCCCTCCAGGCTCGCCTTCCCTCGTCCTCATTCTCCGTGCTTCAGACCAGCTCCCAAGCCCTTTCTTCTCCCCCAACCAAGGTCTTTTCCTCACTTCCCGCCGCTCTGCCTACGTCGGTCTTTCTCGTGCTGCACGGCCTTCCGTGCCTTCGATAGGCTGTCGAGCCTGTTCATGATGTTCATGAGCCTGTCCTAGCAGCAGCTAGTCATCCATGGCCACCGAGGCGAATCAAGCCTGTTTGTGCCAGGATTCACGACCGTGACCACCGCCGAGATGAGGGGAGTCATGCCACTGGTCCCCGTCCTCGGATTTGGAAACCCACGCACTGCGCATCCTCTCTGTGCACATACCGCGCATTTGGCATTCCACAGCAGTCCTGTAAGGTACCTTTGGCGCCCCCAAGGAGGCATCCACTGTCCTCAGTAAAATCATTACTCGATACAGCAATGCGAAGTCAAATCACCAAGGGGGAAAGCGGAGCTGGATATCCAAAAGCGAGACACGCTTGTTGGAGAACAGCCGCCGATGAGACGTCACTACGAGTCAAAGACTACATTGTAGACGATTCGATTTGATTCTTGACCTGGTCCTTTATTGTCCTCTCTCTGTCTCGCTCTACCGGGTATCTTGCAGAGACGGACGATGGGATGGCCCAGCCGTCGCAATCACCTGGAGGTCAAGCTGGGCTGAGGGAGCCAGTGCCGCCTCAGCCCAACTTGATAGGTTGATATTCCTGTCGCCCGTGTCGCCTGCGCGCGCACATACGCACGCAGGACAAGCAAGCATTGCAAGCAGCAAGTAGCGGCAGCGTGCCAGTAGCAGCAAGCAGGACCTCGCGAGAGAAGAGACTGGCTAGCACCGCGCGAGAAGAGGACCGGAGACCTAATTATGGCAAAATATTGATGTACTGCCCTGCTCAGACACACTCTACTTGCCTCGATGTTCGTCAAGTCGCCCAACCACGCCGCTCATCGCATTCGACAAACCCCACCATGCCATGACCCCCGTCGTCCTGCTGCATATTCCCCAATTCTGTCCCCCTCGGCACGCGGTGGCTTGCACCTCGCACACCTTGAGTGGTCCCTTCGACTGGCCTGACAGGGTCCCTCGACGACAAGCACCCTGGTCGATGCACCGTCTTGGCTCGTCCAGATGAGCCGGACCGTATCCGCTCCCAGATACCTCGACCGTTCAGTGAACAGCTCTAATTTCATGGTCAAGATTGATCGTCCAGTGACAAGTCAGCTCGAAAACTTAGGCGCCATACTCCATGTTGCTTGACTTTCTTCCTATTTGGCTCCATCACACCCCGTCCACACACCCCTTCAAGCAGCAGCCTCTCTTATTTTCCATCGTCTTTTCGATTCCTTCCTCCTTCTTTCCCCCCTTTCGGTCGTCTGCAAACAAGAAAATCTTCTCTCCTGTGTGAAAAACTTGAGTTGTGCACTTGACAAAATCTTCCTGCACAACAAGCGCCGGCACCCCCCCTCGACTAAGGCTTATCCAGTGAGGTCTCTCTCCACGTCCAACTACGTCGACTTCAACAGAGTCAACCTCATTGCTTCACACCCTCCACCTGCGTCTATAGCGTCTTTCCCCCTTCCTCAACACGCAACACGTCCCGACAGACTGTAACCGTTTTTAACACGCCGGCTCCCAGACTTTCCCTTCCTTCTCTTTTTGTCCTGCCTCTTTCCGGTAACTCACTGGGAACGAAGAATACAGAACAGCCCCGCGCCGTAAAAGAGAGACATTAGAGTGCAACGGCATCACCAGCAACCGTAACACGACAGTAGGCAGACGATACCGCTGATCCAAGACGCCTACGAAGAGCTCTCCGCAAGTCTCTAGAACCCTGAAACGTGGAAGGACAGCCGGTTCGGGAACGGACATTGAAGAGTGCTTCATGTGATGGTTGGAGTGGAAGAGGTGTAGCTTCCCGACTGCCTTTGGTTCGCCACGAAGCAGCCGGACGGTGCTGTGCTCGTTGCGGATTGGTGAGTAGGCCTGTCTCACAAGAGTCACCCGTTTGTTTCTCGGCTTAAGAGGGCTCAGAGGTTCTGGCGAACACGGACCTGCAGCCGTTGCCCTGCCTAGAAGTCGTCCTCCCCAAATGCAGCTTGCCGACTAACATCGCACCGGGTCCCAGATCGAAATCCGAAAAAGGATATAGTGCCATCATGTCCGCCTCCGCGAGAAACCGAACCGCTACCGTCAGCTCCGGGCAGTCGTCACAGAGAGGTCGGAGCAATGAGATGCAGGATTTCAACATGTCGCAGCCCAACATCATGCGCTACTTCGAGCCATGCGCCGCCACGGCGTCCATGTTCTTGTATGCGCAGGGCTCTTCCATCGTCTGCTGCCACCACGATACTCTCACGATAGAGAGGAGATTTTCGAGGCACTCGGACGAGGTGCAGTTGCTCGCCGTTGATACGCAAAGCGACATTGGGGCCGGTAGGTTGGTAGTCAGTTACGACGCCGGACAGACAGCAATTGTCTGGGATATTATGACGGGCGACGAAGTAGCCCGATTTGCTTCATACGAGCACTTGACTACTGCCGCGTGGATGCGCAACGGCAATGTCGCGTTTGGTATAGTGGTTCTCGAAGAATTTCACATGATGTTTACTAATACCCATTCTCAGGTAATACGCAGGGCAACATCATTCTGTTCGAGCCCACAACGTCAGAGCATATTTCTTCTAGAACGATTGACCAGATTGCCGTGACGGCGCTTGCACCGGCCGCAGACTGTAGAACATTTGCGATTGGGTAAGTTTTAAGGCTTTCAGGGGGGCATTGTAAATTTGCTAATTGCTTGCAGATACCAAAATGGCTCGTTGTTAGTCGCAACTCTTCAGCCGCGGTTCACTATCCTACATAACCTAGGCACATCGAGAGCACCCTCACCCATCGTCACGCTCAACTGGCATGCCTCGTCGTCTCGGCAAAAGTCGGACATGCTGGCATCACAGACACATGATGGCGATCTCCGAGTTTGGAGTGTGTCCAAGTCATACAGCAGTGACGACCCCGCCAAGGTCGTGAGGATCCTTAAGCGCACAGATAACTATCAGACCGGTCCCAACTGGATGGGTTGGTCGAAGAACGGCCGCATTATCCAACATTCTGACTCGTACGTCATTCTTCGCCACTGCGGCTTACGCGCGCGCTTAGAACTTGCACTGACTTTCATCACACTAGGGAAACACTATCATGGGATGTCCGTACTAAGCATGTTACCTGGGACAGTATCCCGACGCTCGAGCACGTCAGAGGCCTGGCCGTGTACGGCCCTGGCGCCAGCCTCTTCACTCTCGGAGCCAACAACACGGTACAGCAATTTGATCTCAACACCCCTTCCATCATAGTTGCCAATGTACAGCACCCGGCCAACTTGTTGCCGCCATCGCCGCCTGTCTCAATTGAGGAGCAGCAGGGACAGAAGACATCAACAACCATCGTGACTGACTCGGATGCTACGTCTGGCTCAATTGAACTTGGCATTTCGGAGAGTGACGAAGATCACTTGTCTCCCTTTGACCGTATAGCTAGCCGGAAGGACACGGGCACGCCCAAGGCGCTCGACCCCTACGATGCCGACACCGCAAGCGCGGCTTCTAGCCGCAGCGGACTGTCTTCCATCTCACAATCCTCCGGAGGATCTCGGACGCCCGGCCGGTACCCGTCGTCGGCCGTCTCTCGAGGCATGACTGAGAATACCTACATCTCTGCTGGCTCGTCTCTCCGATCTTCTGCCGCACCTTACCAAGAACGAGATATGTACTCCATGAGCGGAACCTCAATGATGAGCGGCACCTCAATGTCCTCATACCGGTCTCGCCGCTCCAGGCCATCCCGCCTACGAAATGAGGTCTTACCGAGCCCTGTCGACAGCAAGGTTCAGGATCTTTTCAAGTACACTAGGAGCCGGCTTAGCGACATTCCCTACAAGCACCCGATTGGGAATGACCACAGCCGACTCACCAATGACGACCTCCGCAAGCAGATGCTTAGCACTATCTTTGGATGGAACAAGGAGATTGATGACTTGGTTCGGGAGGAGTTGAGTCGACACAATGCGGCCTCACCGGCGCGCATTCTTCTGATGAGATGGTTAGGCGACATTGACGCAGATGTCATGGCAGCGAGCTCAGCCTCCATGACTTCCTCTGACTGGATGTTGCTAGCCCTCAGCGGCATTGGAGGCCAAGCTTCGCAGCACAAGCTGGGGCGCGCCTATGTCCAAAGACTGTTGGAGCATGGCGATCTTCACGCCGCTGTTACTATTTTGATTGGCATGGGCGATTACAATGATGCCATCGAAATCTACGTGTCTCACAAGAAATACATGGAGGCGCTGATTCTGACCTGTCTTTTCTATCCCGCGGTCTGGGAACGACAAGCGGCCATCATCAAGAAATGGGGCGAATGGGCTGTCATGCACGGGCAACAGCAGCTAGCTGTGAGATGGTATGTTTTCTCCACTACGTAACAATGATGTGATGATGCGCTGACCATGTTTCTCCAGCTTTGCTTGTACTGGCGCCGAGTCTGATGAACCATGGACATCTCCCTCTGCTGCCCAGGTGACCTTCCAAAGCATCAACCAGAACATCAATGAGAACATCCCGGAAGTCCTGTCACCCCCACTCTCGCCCCCTGGAATTAACCGTGGGCCTCAAAGAAGCATCGCCAAGACGTCCGCTCTGAAGCTCATCACGTCATTCGGCGAGCAGCAAGGGAAGTCAAAGTTCTTTTCTCAAGGAGACGGCGGACGGACTCCTATCGCTGCTGGCCCAACACCCATCGCCGATTCTGCTGTCTCCCCTGGTGGATACGACGTCACCACTGCCTTTATTCGTCCACCAAACCGCAGCCAGTTCAACACCCCGAACTCGGCGAGATCGGGAGCATCTGTCTTCAGTCGCAAGCGCCTCCCTTCCATCGGTGAGATTCCAGGAGACTTGTCACGTGAGCAACTTAAGGTCGATGTCGAGGAATCTCGACGTGCCATGCAACTACGCATGTCTTCCGCCGAACAAGACAACCTCGCTGCTGGACTGTCACTGCAGCGGGCTGCAACGGCCAGCCCAATGATGATGCGTGACCAGTACAAGAAGATCACCGCACGGACAAGAGAAGCGCCTCCCCCATCTCCAGATGCCAGAATGATCATCAAGATGGAAGGCAGCATGGCTCAGCGCAATGGTTCCCGAGACCGGAAGCCGAAGGGCCTCCATCTCGAGCTCGCAGGTTTGAACAACATGGCCAATGAAATTGCCTCTCCCGAACAGTCCGTGGCATCCTCTACTCGCTTCCACTGGCCTTCCCGACGTAGGGGACCCGGCTCCGTCACAGGCTCCGTCACAGGCTCCGTTACGTCTCAATCTACTGCCGGCAAAAGCTTCCGCAGCAACACTACGGGTGGGCGGCAAGACTACATCCACAGCCTCGACACTGCGCAGCGCCTGCAACAACGTAAGCAGCGAAGCCGACATGCCAGTCGAGAGGGCAAGCGGGACGGCTCCCGTGGTCGTGACCGCGACCACAGCCGCACTCGCAAGACATCCTCTCGTGAGGCTTCCGATGAACGTGGCCGGGCCTCTAGCCGCAACTGGCCGAAGCCAAAGCGATCTCCAACATCGCCTATCCCCATGTCACCTGAGGACCTCATCAACTTGAGTACGCCCAAGTTCTTACCCGATGTTGTGGATCCCGTCACAGCGAGGAAGTCTAGTAAGAGTCGAAAGGGGAGCAGTCGCGCATCCAGCCGGGGTAGCCAAGGCCGCAACAGAAGCCCCGAAGGCAGACATCGACCTCCTGCGCTTGAACTCCGCGGTCGAAGTGCGGACCGGACTGGCTCTCACGCCAGGTCACCTTCATCTCCGCTACCACTGTCAGCCAACCTGATCCATTACCAAGGGTCTGAAGATGAGGAGGACTACGTCAAGGCTGTTGTCGCACAAGAGAACTTTAGAAACAGGCACAACAGAAGCACCAGTCAGCATGGATCCCGCAAGGCTCTCTCACCTGAGCTCACCAGAGAATTCCCCAGACAAGAACGATCCGAGAGTCGCCGTCGCCACGTTGATGAGAACCTCGACCAGTCTCGCGATGTTGCGCCTCCCCAGTCCAAGTCGCGTGCCGCCTCTACAGAACATGCTGGAGACTTGAAGGCTATGAAGGACGAGAGGCAGCGTAAGAAGGAGGAAGCCGCTCGCGAACTTGAGGAACGTCGCAAGTCTCTCGCACAGCGTCCCTCAGCGCCACCGATTCCTCATCCCAACCATATTCGAATCGGCATTGAATCATCGCCCAGCGCGGTTGATCTCCCACCTCGCAGCCACACTGCCGACCCAACCAGCAGGAGCATGTACGCCCGTAGCAATTCAAACGTGCACATTGGGCTTCCTGCAACACCCAAGGCTATGCGTCTGATCATCGAGTCCGATAAAGATAAGAACAGCATCCCGGTGCCCCCGATCCCGGCCACATTTGCTCAGAGGCACTCCCCGGTGACCTCTCCTCAAGAACAGTCTCCTAAGACAGAGCAGGCAGCCGAGAATCTCACTCTGCTTCCACAGACAACTTACCAGCTTCCATCCACGGTCTACCAACCTCCCAACCGCGGAATGATTCCTCGCAGCATGTCAGCTCCGCCAATCCCCCCTGATGCGCCCTCCCCTAGAGGTCCCAGCACTAGCAGCAAGGGGCTATCTCGTGGTCCTTCCATGAGAAGAGGTCACTCGGGGGAGATACGTACTGTCGACGACATGATCCGAGCCAGACGTGCCTCACAGGAAAGCAACAACTACGGAAGCATCCCGCCGCCGCCGCCTCCTCCTGCTCCGCCAATGCTGAAGGAGCTGCAGCACCTTGCCATGCCTCCTCCCCCACCCCCGGCGCCTCTCCCATATGCCGCTCATAACAACGCTGGTGCCATGGGTTCCGCTATGATTGAGATTGTAATGGACGATGATGAAATCGTCCAAACAACTGTTGCTGCCCCTATGGACACCACGGTTCCAGTTCTCCCACCACCCGTCCCTCCCATGTCCGCGGGCCACAACCGAGGCCGCAGCTTCTCTGAACGCGACAACAGCATCGCCGGCCGGTTCTCCAAGGCCACGGACCGCTTCAGGTCTGGCAGCCGCAACCCCAAGGAGCCCTCTGCGCGCCCCCGCGGTCAGGAGGAGCACGAGTTCGCCCCTTACGAGAGCGTTCCCATGCCGTTGAACTACGGTCGCGAGTCTATGCGATCTCCCCCTGCCATGGCACAGAAGAGCTTGCCTACTGGCCTGCACCACAGCGAGATGATCTGAGTTGGTGCTTTTGGTGAAATTCCTCTAAAACCCCTCAAACCCTTAATATCATTACCCTTCACGTTTCGATTCGTTGCATGGCGACAGGCGTTTCTCGATGAATCTCGATACCATTAATCTTTTCTACGACAGACGAACACGGACAGCCTTTCACATCGCAGCTACTCCCTGGTCGTCAGAAGCACCGCAGCAGCAGTTAGAAGCCGCCTTTTGTATACTTCGAGTCAATCCTTGACGATGAATATTTGAATGCAGAGAGACGACTGTTTCTTTTCCTTTTGTTCCATTACCATTTCTTGTTTGCATTCTTACTTCACAACTGATGACTGATGATGGCTGGATCTTGGAAATTTCGGGGCAGAGCCGCGAGGCATACACATGAACACACAATACCTGTAGTGGGAGGCGGCCCATGTACGTGATGGAATGGATGGGCGCGGGCCGCGGGGAGGATAGGGGGGCAACGAAAAACAAAAGCAGAGAAAAGCCGGATGGTTATCAAGATGACACCGTCTTGCGTCACGAATACGAAGAGAGGGAGGGGGTTGGACGCGGTGGGTGAAAAAGGACCGAAAAGGGCTGGAAACGCGTGTCTTACAATGTTGCCTCACGGCATCTTTGTTCATCTATCTAGTTGAAGTGGGCCGGGATTTCCCCGCCTCTTTTCATTTCTTCATTTTTTCCTTTCAGTCTGCTTCCTAGTCGTGCTTTGGCTTGGAGGCAACTGATGTTGGTATTTCCTTTCGAGCTGGTGATGATAGTTGTTGTGTAGCTGCTCGTCGAGATGGCCATGTACAGGCTGAATATTGAGAAGAATGCAATCTGATTCAAAAATTCCGCGACATCATCTGTGATATATGAGAGAGAGAGAGAGAGAGAGCATGAATGAAACAGTCAAATCGAAATGGATCGATCTGTCGGGATTAGAAATAAAATCAAAAATAGGTTCTGTCGCAAGCTGGGATTGAACCATGTGTGCGGCGGACTGTGCGCCAAAAGGTACTTCCCAAACACCACAGAATGCATCACCAACTGAGCACACAAGAAGCGTTCATCTCAACAGACCACACGAGCAGTCAGACGGTCGCAAGGCGATGCGATGCGTATGTATGCATGCAGTACGTCTAATGTCAATCAAATAAATTGTCAAAAAATTGGAGTTGACATCTCCAGCCTCAACCACTAACCCAAGCCCCCAGCGATCGTAATCCAGCACGCCATGCGACGGTGAAGATACCTCTGCAGAGTGAAACCTCCCTCAAGTATTATCTTCATTGCTTAGGGCCACACGCAGCGATCGCAGGTTGCCCGTGCGAGTGGGTGGCCACCGCAGCATTCGCACTGGGCGCCGCTGAGGGGTTCCAATGTGGATGGGGTAGCGGAAGAAGAGTAATGAAAGCCTTCAACCATTTGACCATTACAGCCGGTAATTCCGAGCGAAATTGATCCATAAGTAGTATCCAGCCTCTAGAGGGGGGACGTGCGGCGGGAAAAGGGTGGAGCGGGGATGAGGTCAGCTACCAACCAGCTTTCCTGCACACCACTCAACGCGCCGGCGAAGATCTCCACCGAGCACCGACCCAAGGTAAGCTTCCATTTCCCCAGCTTGCAACCCTGGTCGGACCTGACGTCGCAATTGCGCCCAGGAGTCGTACCGCTACCAAGCTCTCACTCAACCCTCCATATCGGATACTCAAGTTATTTCGAACTTGAGCAACCTCAATGGCACCATAGCGGTGTCTCATGTTCTCACTTTCCTACCTAGGTTCTTGCGGCACGTCAGCAACCCACAACACACAACACACGATGCTCGCAACGGCCCCCCGCCTCCATGTCCGGCGTCCCTCGCCCACGACAGCCGAATTCACAGTGACAACGCGCCCGCCGCCGACCCTCACAGTCCGCGTCCTCTCAGGACTCCTATTCGCCCTACGAATCCTACTCTTCTTCTCCTCGATCCTACTCCTCCAAGCCGCCTTGTCGGAATCACCTTACGCCGCGTCCCTCCTCTCCCCATCAACGGCAAGAGCAAGGCCCGGGATCGCCACGACCGATAGCCCAGACACCCTCTTCTCGAGCGCGACACTCTGGCAGGTCCTCCTCTTTATACACACCTCCGTACCAGGCCGCCTAGCGCACGCCATCGCGGCGTCCCATGCGATACCCCTCCCCGTCCTGGTCCCGGGGTGCCTCCTTGCAGCGTACGCGACGCTGAAGCGCACGCATACCACCGAGAGCCTGCTCGTGCTGCGCGGCTTGGGCATCCAGACCAGTTCGACGAGCGGGAGCTACCTGTCGGCCGCCGCGACGCGCTTCATACCCACGGAAAAGATTCAGGACGTGCTCGTCAACGAGGCGTTTCGGGGCTTCGAGGTGCGGTACTATCTGATCGTCATAGTCGAGGGGGAGGAAGACATTGTCGTCGTGTTCCCGAGGATACTGCCAAAGAAGAAGATTGTCGAGACGGTGTGGAGGGGCGTGAGGGGGTGTCTTTGGGAGGCGGACGGTGGGAGTTATCATAGGAAGATGGATGAGAGGTGGCACAATGGGGTGTAGAACTCCTCGTAGCCTTAACGAATTCATGATCTGCATGAAGCTTTTTTTGCTTGCTTTATTTTTATCATGGTTTGGGGAGCATTTGCTCTCGACCTATTCATCCCCATCGCCCGCCGCGGCAGCCTGCTTGGCATCCTTAATGACCTTTCGCCAGTTTTTGGACTCCCTCATCTCATCCGAGTTCTTGAACCCCTTGCGCTGCGCCCACCGGTCATTGATCTCCGCTGGCGACGGCGTCAGCTGCTTCTTGGCAATCGGCACGTACCCGCCCGCCAGCTTCCCCTCGTGTCCCCCCTGGAACACCCTCTTCCCCTTGGCCTTGGCCTCGGTCCCCTGAACCTGTCTCGACACGAGGTCCAGCAGGCGGTTCGCCAGCAGCTCGTCCATCTTCTTCTCGCGGTAGTGCGACCACAGGTTCTCCACGACGTCGGCCTCGCCGTACACCCAGTGAAGAGCGTTCTCCGCGTCGTTGGACGTCCGGTTTTCGTCGTCGCCGGGGAAGACGCAGTTCCACAGCACCAGCGGCGTCTCGTGCGCGAGGTCGTAGTTTGGTTTCCGCGGCGTGCTCTCAACGTCCAGAAGCCGCGTGACGAGCGCCGGCTCCTCGAGGCGCTGGCCGATGAGGAAGAGGATCGTCACCATGTGCCGGATCTGGTGCCACAGGAACGCCGTCCCGCGGATGTTGAACGAGTAGACCTTGGGAAGCTGGCTGCCGTCGACGGCGCTCGCGCCAAGATAGGCCAGCGCCGTGCCGACGTCCTTGACTTCCTCGACGCCCGCTTCGAACATGCGCCTCTCAAAGTTTGTAATCTGCTTGCTCCCGTCCACCTTGCAGAAATTGCGAAAGTCGTGGGTGCCGATGAAGTTCTGCGCCGCCTGGTTCATGGCGTCGATGTCGAGGTACCCCTCCTTCATGCTGTCCGGTTTGCCGTCGACGGTGGTCGCTGTCGGGGTGAAGGCGGGCTGCGTGAAGAAATAGCGATACTGCCGCTCTTCGCAGGAGAAGCGCGCGGAGAAGTCTGGCGGCGGGGAGGGACACCATGCGATGATGCGGATGTCGTCCGGCAGCAAGCGGTTGAGGACCTTGACGTACTGGATCTCGTCGTTGATCTCATCCCATGCCTTCTCGGGCTTCTTCTTCTCCCCCTCCTTCTCCTCCTCCTCTTCGACCTTTTCCGTTCCCTCCATTGGAGTATCTCCCTCCGTCTCAGCGGCAGGTATGACATCCTCCTGCTTCTTGGGCATTGGCCTGTTACTCCGCACCCTTAACCCAATGACCTGTCCAAACGCACTCACGCCACGATCCGTCCTCCCGCACTTTGAGTACTCGCAGCAGTCAAAATTGACAACATCCTGATCCTCGGGAAAGATGAGACACGACTTTGTCAGGGCGTTCCACAGCTCGCCCTCGATGGTCGGCAGGCTCGCCGACGTGGCGTACTCGAATCCTCCGTACCTCTTGCCCAGGTACGCCAGCTTCAGCGCGATGAAGCGGGTGGAATACCGCGACGAGTCGATCCGCTTGGCCTCCTTCTTCCTCTTCTTCACCGGCGGGGCTCCGTCCGCTGCTATTGCGGCACCGGTGCCGTTGTTGTTCTTGGCCCCGGACCCGGACCCGGACCCGGCGGCTTTCGATGCGGCGTCCCGCTTGTCAAGTTCATGCTCCAGCTGTCTTATGCGGGAGATGAGACGCGCCTGGTCCCATGACTCGTACCGACCGCTCGCATCGGCCATGTTTGCGATGGGAGCGCTGCTGAAGCGCCTAGCCGCGACTGTGGAGGATGGTCGGTAGGGGTGAGTGAGACGCTGGTGAGTAGTGGAACGACGCAGATGGTGGTGGCGGCGTTGGTATTGCCCTCGATGCAAAACCTTTGGGCACCCGTGTAATAGGCCTCCTGCGTGCCTAGATAGGTTCAAACTCGGGCTTGGCGGGCAATGCAGACAGAGACCCAAGAAAAATTCATGTAAGGGCTTCATATGCCCTCTGTTTCCTCTCTCATGTGAGTTCTGGAAATTTGGAGGGGTGGTTTAGACCGCAGACCAGCATCATGCGGGTACCTCTAAAGAGTCACTTTGGAGGGGCGGCGCATGCAAGTGAGTGCAACGACGAACAATTTTTTTTTACATCGACTTTTCTTTTCTTTCGACCCTGTAGAAAACAAGGTGTGGCTTGTGCTGTGGCTTTAACTCCACAAGATGGAGAAAGCCGAACCGTTGCGACGGGACCAGTGGGCGAGCAATGGCCACTGTACCTATTTCTTCTGTTTCCCTGCTGGAGTCTTGGCTGAGTCCGCGCCCGGTCTGGCCCTGCGCCATTTGTTCCCCAGACATCCATACCTAGACGTCTGTCGGAAGTCGTCCGAAGCGCCCGCCCGTCCTTCAAGGTTTTACCAGCATGGATGAAGAAGCAGTCAAGATATTATTAGTTGGTGATGAGAAATGCGGAAAGACGTCTTTTCTCTCGTCCGTATGCCCTCAACGAGATCACGTCACGGATCTCACAGCTAATTATGCGTGCCCCTGAACAGACGACTGAGTGCTGGCGAAGGCACCGGCCCCGTCATATTGCTCAGAGATATTGATCAACCGTTCATCTTCGAGATCAGGTTTTCTGGAAAACCGTACCGTCTAGAGTTTTATGATACAAATAGCCCCGAGAATTGGAAGCTTCTCGAGCCGGACATTGTCATACTGTGTTATGACATAAGCCAGCGGCTGAGTCTCATCAACATGAGGAGACATGTATGTTCTCCTGTATGCCTCTTTTCTCTCTGTATCCTGTCTGACATCCAGGATAGTGGCTTCCAGAGGTGAAGATGTCATTCCGCAGGCCCGACCGCTTGCCTATTCTCATGTTAGGTCTTAAGAGAGACCTACGATCCGAAGATGACCCCAATGGGATCATTTATCCCCAAGAAGCATACCAGCAGGCGCAGGAGATTCGCATAGACAAGTATATGGAATGCTCTGCGGTGACGGGCGAACTACTCAAGCTGGCATTTGAGGAGATTAGTAAAACCGCGGTCATGACGCGGAAGGCCGAGGGAGGGCAGAGCGAAGGCGGCTGTGTCGCCATGTAAGGCTTTTTGCCTCGTCAGTCCAATGTCTCTGAGATTCTACTCCAGGAAGAGGAGGTAGGGGAAAAGGACGCATCAGAAGATTCGGCGGCGTCCAGAGTGAGTTGCGAAGTGCGATTCGGTAAGGCTTCCTAAGCAGCGCCGTTCGCAGCACCCTCATCGGCACCTTCTTCCGGCTCTACCTCCTGAGGGAATGAACCGAGCACTTCGGCAATGATGTTGACTATTTGTTCTTGCTGGTTCTCGTCAAAGCGCTCAGGCATCTCTTCGATGACGGTGTTCAGAGCGGCGACGGATGCTGGACGGAGGTTCAGGATCATGATGACCTCGCCCTTGGCCAAGTCAAAGGGCTGAAATCTCTCCAGAAGCTTGGTGATACAGTCTGGGTGGTAAGTGATGGGCTCCTGGCTGAGCGGGTTTGGTGGTGTGCGCAGGTATTGGAGGAGCTACAGAGATGTCAGCTATGAGTCTGTTTCACAGCAGCAGATACCCAATTTCCATTGCCTATATCTTGACAAAAGTCTGAAACTCACCTCTCTTGCCAACGCCTCAAGGTTGCCGGGGCCGCGGCGCTCTCCACGCTCACGCTTCTTCTGGCCGAGCTTACGTTCATTCAGGTGTTGATAGACCTCAAAGTTGGTCAGAACTGCCGACTGAGCCTCAAGGATCTTCATCGTGATAGCGTGCTTGGCGCGGGGGAGACTAGGTTGCGATATCCGGGCAGAAGAGAAGGTGTGATGCAAGCTTTTTGAATCAGGTGGCAACGGCGGTAACTGCGTATCGGCAAAAAGGGCGGGAAATGCAAGCTGCGCCTGGTGTTTGTGGAAAATTGACGTGTCGGTGTGCAAGGTGAGGCTAGGCCAACGCCCCTGTCACTCAAAACGGAACCTCACAGGCGCTCTTTCAGAGAGGCCAGGAATAGATAGACAGGCTGAGTGGTACAACCTTGCGCAAGCTGACGTTTGATTTGACAAAAGCCGGTGACTCCAAAGTCTGTCAAGGAAAGGTCGAGCCGCCTCAAATCCAATTGTGTGAGTAGCCAGATGAGGTAAAGCAACTTTGTAATCTCGTAAAAAGAATTGCAATTGTGACTGTACGGAAGCTGGGCGCGAAGTACGATGTTGCCGCAAATTCTTCTTGCGAGTGCCCCGCGGTCGACGGCCGGTACGGTTGGCAACGAGCTGCAGGGAAATCAAAAGGCAAGCAGAAAAGCAGGTGCAGTAACACGCCTCAAGGCACCAATCACGATGCCCAGTCCCCCACTCTGCCATGTGCCAAATTGTCCCAGAGTACGTACCGGATCTGGAATTGCGCAATGAGAGGGGGAAAGGGCGTTGGCGGCTTCAGATTCGAAGAGGCGCGTCCTCGGCGTCTTGTACCTCGTTAAGCCGGCCGGCCGGTCAATCGCGTTATTTCACTCCCTTTTAGAAAACCTACACTAATCAGGGACGAGGGAGGTGAGATTTGCCAGGTACTTCTTCCCGCTTCAATGTTCAGAAAAGGAGCGGTATTTTCAGGGTGTACATTGAAGAGGGATGCACTATCCGTACAATCACGAGGCAGCCAGACTTTTGACAAGGGGGCTGCAGAATGTCCACCACATTCGGCATATCGCAGTCAGAATTAGAACAGAGGCACTGCTGCATTCCTGCGTTTCACGACTCCCATGCAACCCCCCCTTGTACAAAGTCAGTTGTCGACACTGTAGTCGCCTTGTGTCGCCCGCCGCTGTCGCTGCTCTCGCTGAGTCGCTTCAGGTACTTCCGTCGCCGCCGGTCTGCGGCACTCTGCGTGAGGCTCGGCGTGTCTGGGCAGCCTGGCAACGAGCGGGAGAATACAGTGCATAGCTAGACCGTCGCCGGCGCAAAATCTCTGCGAAACTGCGAGAGATCGGTGTCATGAAAACACATACCATGTATCCGTGCTAACCTTAAATGATCACCTCTGCACCTGTCCACCCTGTGAAAGACCCTGTATCACAGTCTCTCTTTTTACCCCACCACCACACATTTCCACCTGCCACCCCCAAGTCCACATGGCGGCGACCGCACCCGACCCCGATTCCTGCCAATCCCAAACCAACTTATCCACTCAGAGATTTTCCTTTACAACTTCTCGACAACCCCAGCTTCAGAGACTACTCCCCGCCGCTACCAACTTTTCCCTCCTCCCTCTCCTCTTGAGCTTGTTCGCCATGCTCCCGTTGTGATCGTATCTTTAGAGGCCTTCCCTCTCATACTCGCTGTTTGCCCTCGAGCTCTCTGGCATCTTTACTGCACAATTCCCTTCTACGCATACCCTCGGCCTCGGCATAATCCAGTCCCTGTGACGTCGCCTTGCACCCCCCACTAGCAAAGTTTTGACGCCTCCAGCAAACCCGACACCGGCTCTTTCGGTCGCGATCCTCCAACCCGAACACGACATCTTCGAACCCTCGAAAATACCCGGGATATCTATCTCCACAAGCACCTTCAAATATCCCAGCTGCGAAACATAAATTGTAGCCCAGGCCTTGGCGCCCAAGTCTCTTCTTCAAGCCTTAGCCAAACCCTGAAGCGGTGCTAGACTCAGCCTCCAACATCGCCAATTTCGCCCGACCAGTATTCTTCAATTCCTCATTCCTACCATTACGCCTCGAGCGACCAACAGCTATTCACCATGGTCCGCAATATCATTGTTCTTGGGGGCAACTCCCACCCTGATCTCCTTAACAGTGTGTGCAACAACCTCGGGCTGAACCCGTGCGAGCGTGTTCTGTCAAAGTTCTCTGTTGGTGAGAGTCGCTGCGAGATCAAGGACTCTGTGCGCGGCAAGGATGTCTTTATTATCCAGACAGCCTCTGGCAATGTCAATGACAACTTTATGGACATGTGCATCATGATTTCGGCCTGCAAGACGGGCTCTGCCAAGAGAGTCACAGCTGTCATGCCTCTGTTTCCCTACTCGAGACAACCCGACGTCCCCTATAAGAAAGCCGGCGCGCCCCTCTCGAAGCCAACATCAGGGGCATCCAAGAACTACACCTTTGAGAGTGTGCCTGCGACCCCTGGCCCCGGCATTGCGCGCAGCATGGGTCTCCCCAATGGCATTGACGGCATTGCCTCAAAGCTGGCCAAGAGCAAGCTCAACGAGGAGCGTTCCAACGGAATGAACGGTGTCGACCATTCCAAGACCAATGGCAACGGCCGTACCCACCACGATTCCGTATCCTCCCAGGTCAGCTACACCACCCACGACAACGAGCACCAGAACCGAATCGATGGCTTCCAGTCCAAGCCTGGATATAAGCAGTGGGTTGCCCAAGCTGGCACCCTGGTCGCTGACCTCTTGGCGTGCGCTGGAGCGGACCATGTGGTATGTCCCCTCAAAAGAACCCTTGAGAACAGCTGGAGAGCGCATGCACAAGGCATTAAAGGGTTCGCGAAGTCATACTAACAAGACGCAGATTACGTAGGTTTCCTCCTCCATCGGCCTTGATGTGGTAGTTTGTTCTCCGCAAAGGCCATTGAACTCTTATTGAGCTGTTTAAAAGCTCTTTCGACCTACATCAATTCATTGCTTCCTTCTGAAGCAAGTGCTAATGATTGCAGGATGGATCTCCACGATCCTCAGTATCAGGGCTTCTTCGATGTTCCGGTTGACAACCTGTACGGCAAGCCTCTCCTTATGAGGTACATCCGCCAGAACATCCCCAACTACAAGGATGCTGTTGTTATCAGCCCCGACGCTGGTGGTGCCAAGCGCGCCACTGCGATCGCTGATGAGCTGGACATGGCCTTCGCCCTGATCCACAAGGTAGGCCAATTTTCCTCACGGGAGGAGGTACAGAATTCATGTTTTCTTTTACAGGAGCGACGCCCGACCAAGTACACTGAGCAACGCAATGCCAGCATGATGCTGGTGGGCGATGTCAAGGACAAGGTCTGCATTCTTGTCGACGATCTCATCGATACTGGCAACACCATCACGAGAGCTGCCAAGTTGCTCAAGAAGGAGGGTGCTACTCACATCTATGCCCTCTTGACCCACGGCATTCTCAGCGGTGACGCCATCCCGCGTATCAACGCTTCGGCCATCGATAAGATGATCGTGACCAACACTGTTCCTCAGAAGGAACATATGCGCGCCTGCTCCAAACTTGAGTTCCTGGACGGTTAGTGTGCTCGAATCACCTACTGTGTCCTAGGACGTAGCTAAAATTTAAGCAGTCTCTCCGGTCTTTGCGGAGGCTATTCGCCGTGTTCACCATGGCGAGTCGATCAGCGTCCTTTTCCAGCACAACTAAAAGCATCATCATACGGCGTTCGAAAAGAAACATCGGCTTTTGCATCGGAGGGTTTATTGAATTCCACCAACTGCTTCTAGGGAATCCCAGCAACCGTTGGTATTGCTTTACAGGCGTTCAGCACAGGGGGTGGGTTGAGTGTGGCATCTTTTCTTACGCCATGGACATTTTAGACGTTTCCCCCTTGACCCGGACCTCCCACGACATACCGGCTCGTTTCCCATTGGAAATGAAGCTAACCATACGCGGCCTCGTTTGGCTAGCCATATTGCTATACAAAAAAAAACACAAGATACTTAGAACCTCGTTCGTACGATGGAGGCTCTTTGTACAGCGGACCCGATGGGTGGCTTTGCTATACACACCAAACGTTCATGTCTGATGGGTTACACTTGTCCGTTTGCTGTCTGCGATTTTGAACGTTTCTTTCCTGATTTTTGGGACTTGTGCGAAACGGGGGCCAGTAAATTGCTGAGCAGTAGTCTTCCCGTCCACAGAACAAAAACATATCCGTTGAAGGTTCTGCCGCTTGATGACCGTCAGCGTGCCCTTAAACAACTGTGACATATATGAGATAGAAAAGAAATCTAGCAATGAAGATATACGAAACCTATGCCAGTTTGAAAGCGTAACACTGTGTCTCTTTGTTGTTTCCATTGTTCATCGTGTACTAGTAAAGGCTCAGACTAGCGGATACGTTCTCACATGCCAGGCATCCTCTTCCACTGGAAAGAAGCGTTCAACTTGCCATTGCATACAGCAGGAACCCAAACGAGGATAGAAAAAACCAGAATCAAATCATTCTACCTTGCGTTGATGAGGTGGGAAAGAAGAACAAAGGATGTCGGAACAAACCTACAAGCCAAGAAGTTTTCCCCCAAAGTCTCCCCAAACTCCCCAACTCCCCCGCCCGGGCCCCACCGAGCCGTGATTTCGCGGGGTACATTGCTTATCTTATCGGCAAGCCAAGCTTCGCCCCGCCAACACCCACCCCCGAGCTCTCCCTCCAGGGGGAGGGATGCTTAAACCGAACCACAACATAAGCCTCGGCACCGACGTGAGCCGACACAGACGAGTCGCATCCTCTCAAGTGATCTGCTCCCTTCCTCTCGCGCATGCTTAGCAGCGAGGCATCTCGAGTCTGGTATTTCCGTAGCATAAGTCAAGACCGTAATGGCGACCCTCTCCGGCGCAGAGCGCATCCGCGCAATCACAGACGAGGACGGCATGTTCAAGGCCTTTGACACATACCCCTGGAAGAGAGACAAGATGTTTACAGTACATGACCCTCCAGAACGCCTTTACTCATCTTTCAATGTGCCGCAGAGGATTCTGACAACGTTGCTCACAGTCCGGCCTCTACGCGATCCTTGGCGACCCAAACACGGAAAACCCCCAAGGAACCCCCACCGACCTCGCGATCCACGCCCGGGTATTCTACTACGCCCAGCGAATCGGCGTGACCATTGATTTCGCGAAATACAAGGAGTGGCTCGCCAAGCACCCGGATCACACCCCGCCCGACGTCCTGCCTGAAGAGTATAAGTCCACCAGCACAACCACCGCAGCCGGCGACGCAGTAGCATCATCAAAAAGCGGCGTCCCAGATCTCACATCAAAGCTCAACGACCTGACCACCAGCGAGGAGACTACCGCAGACGCAGGAACGGAAACAGTCACAAAAACCGGAGACGAGCCGACGCCATCGTGGCAAGCAGCAGCGCCAAAAGTGGATCTCTTCGTTGAACGGAAAGCGCCGTCACAGGCGGGCGCCCCAGGCCAAGGAGGCGACGAACCAGCGTACCCGATGGGCTTTGCGCAGATGCTGGAGATGATCCAGAAAGGTATTCCCATCCCCGGCATCAGGCAGATCCCAGATACCGTGGTCAGAGATGCAGTGAGTATCCTTCCCCTTCTTTGTCCTTTGTCTTTCTCTCCCCTGTGTAGCCCCGATCGCTGAATTTTCAGTCTGTTAAACCGTTTGGGAAACGTGCGGTGCCCAAGAAGCCATGGGAGAAGGACATTCCGGCTGCAGAGATAGGCGTAGACGCGGCGGGGAAGCCATCTGTAGTCGACTCTGAATTTCCGCCTCTGGAAGAAGGCGCATGGCCTGGAGCTGAGGTCGAGACTGCAGGTAAGGAAATATAAAACGATGCGTGGCAATTATTACGCAGCATAAAGCCAGCAACACACGCGGCGTTAAAAAGAAAAGGGACAATAAGGGCATAATGATTGCGAAGAAATGCAGAATTAACGGCGTCGAGCATACCGTCGCAGGCCTAACACGGGAAGACATCACTTTTGCGTTAACATATAGCAATCAAAGGGATCAGAAACTTTTAGAAGAAATAATTCTGGGGAACTGCCTAATGCTTGATTGAGGACTGCCACAGATGCTGTCCAAGCTGGACCAAGGCCGCACTCCAAAGTCTCGGGAATGTGATACATAACTACATACAATTATTGTCTTTGACTTTTGGTCTGATATACCATGCTTGCCTAGCTGTTCATCCTCGTGATCCTCCGGGCTGTCCAGTTCGATTTTTGATGAGACTAAAGGAGTATCAAAGGGGTATGTCGGTGTGTCGATGAACCGCCATGTATAGATGCGAGCATTCTGGCTGGGCTTCGCGATGCAACTCCAACGCCCATTTGGGGTTTCGAGGTCACACTGACACACCTCCATATCGCAAAATTCGTAACCATGAAGTGTCCAATGCACTCAGACAAGTGATAACCTGCTGAGCGTAGGATGACAGCTGATGTGTAAATTAGTGGCCGAGGAAGATGTTTCGTAAGCACGGACAAATGAGGTGGTGCCATGACTTCGTCAAAGGTGAGGGAAATCGGATGGGGGAATAAGGAATTGGGGGGACGAGGTCCTATAGTGACGCAGAGTGAGAACAGTCGAGAAGTTGATGAGGACAGTAATTAAGATGGTGAAAAGGTCTAGCGGTAGCCGCCGCCGCCACCGCTGTAGCGAGGACCAGCACCCATCCGATTCATCGCAGGACCAACTCCAGGGCCCGGGCGAGTAGCAACAGCGGGATTCGTGCAAAGCATACCCACACGGGAGCCAAACTTAGATCCTCGAAGAGACACCATGTGCTTTCGAATATGGGCAGCGACTATCTCGCGGTGCTGCAGACCCGCATGAGTGAGTATGTACTGAATGAGGTAGTTGCCGTACTGGTCGCTCGCAATGTCGACAAGGGGAATGCGAGGGCGGTCAACTCGGCCCTCACAGACTCGATCGAGATAGCGGCTGAGAAACTCTCCACCGCCAATCTTGAGGCACTTCTCGACAACCTTGGAGGCGTACTGATCAGTGCTGTACTCGGCAGCGTAGCGAATGACATGGTCGATAGCGCGGCTTCGGTCCGCTGGAGCCCCATGCTCACAGATGTGCTGGATGCACCAGTTTCCGAACTGTCCATGGGCCACGATGTCGATATTGGCAAGGACTTCTTCGATGCAGGGGCGCTACAAAACCATCATTAGCAATATGTCTAAGGAGTAGAGTGAGAAAACGCCTGCATACCTTGTCTTCCTCGAGACAATTCTCGAAGATGTTCTGGACAACCAGGCTGCCGGTCTCGCCCAGAGCGACCTCGTGCCACATGCCTCGCAAAGCCTCGTTGACGAACTTCATGATCTGGGGTGGGGACTCGGACCATCGAAGCTCAAAAAGCTTCTGCCAAACATGGCAGGCGTAACGATGGATGACTGTCTCGGGAATTCTGCGAAGAAGCTCATGGACCATGATAGCCTTGTAGTCCTCGGGGACGGAGTCGAATGCCTTCTGAACGACGTGGCAACCGAACGGGTCCATAGAGAGATTGAGAGTGTTGCCACGAATGGCTTCCGCGATCTTCACAACCTGCTCCGGAGTGCCGTGCTCGAAGCAACGCTGAACAAGGAAGTTGCCGAAACGGTTGACCATGAGAGGATACGCTTGAGCGACGATGGCCTCCACGATCTCATATTTCTGGTCCGGTGTGCCAACCTTGAGCTTCTGCTGCAAAAAGATGGAGGCCTGCTGGTCGTTGTTGCAGACAATCTTATCCACAATGTACTTCCAGTTGCAGTTGACATTCCGGTCTAACAAGCGGCGGTAGTTGAGAGGCTCCGTGGTTGGAAGGTACGTCTGACCCTCTGTAGCAATGGCCTGTTCAGAATGTGGAATTAGTATTTTGCACCAAGAGCCCTTCTTTTCGTTTTCCCAACATACCTCGCTCTTCCATCCATCACCAGTGGTGAACTCGGTTGCATGGGGCGAGAGGGAACTACCCGGGGCCTGCTGGTTGTAACCTTGATACATGCCGGAGCCCATGTTACCTGAAGCGCTGCCAGGGGGTCCACCCATGGGGTCGAACGGAGCAGGAGAAGGCGTGAAGCCACCATAGTTGTGGCCAAAGTTCGTTCCTCCGTATGGCTGTGGAGACGGCCAGCGACTATTGTCGAACCGATTGTTTCGGCGACTGCTAGGGGGCCGAGAGAACATCTCGGTGTCATGGCTCATGCGATCACCTCGATAACCATCTGCCATGGAGTATGGACCAGCGGGGTCCATGTAGCCCTGGTTGAAGCCGCCACGGCCGCCACCATACCAATCACCAACAGAGTCAGGAATGGGAGCAGCCGCACCAAAGGAAGGCGGAGCTCTGTTGTTGCCCCAAATGGGACGGGAACGACTGTAGTTGCTGATGGAAGGGGCGCCAACATCTGAGGAGTTATCGTCGATTGCCCAGGCATTCTCGGCTCCGAACACCCCCGAACGAGCTGAGGGCGGAGGTGGTGCGAGATCCTCTTCTTGCTTGGCCAAGCGCGAGTGAGCCAGCTCATGATCGAGGCGAGAGATCTTGTTCTGCGCTCGGGCAAGCTCCATTTTCAGTCGAAGGAGCTCGTCCATGTTGCCATTGGTCTCATTAAGGGTGGCACTAGTCGGGCGGCTTGTGGGCGCAGTTGTAGGGAACGAATCCGTCGCGGGAGTGATGGGTACCGAGTGTGTCGTCGAAGGAGCCTTGTCGAAGTGACGGGAATATAAGCTATTCTCATCAGAGTTCTTCAAAGACTCGTTCTGCTGATCGAGGGCAGCTTGCTGCTCAGACAGCTTGGCAAGGAGCATGTCCATTGGGTTTGTGCCAGCGATGGTGGCTGGCTCCTGATTGGTCTTCTTCTGTCGTCGCTGTGAGCGAGGCGGCAGATGGCGGGAGGAAGAACCAACCTTAAGAGCATTCTGATTGACAAGCTTGGATGTAGCAAGAGTTCCGACGATTGGCTTCTGCTTGAAGGCCGGAGGACCCTTTGGTTCTTGTTAGCTCAGATCTTTAAACAGGCGAGTTCTGACTGAAGCTTCCGAGTCGCATGGTGGTGACCAGTGACGGAGAAAGTGATCATTATTTTATGAGGCGGTGAAAATAGCGTTGGACTTACCGAGGTAGCTGACTCGATGGACGGCTTGATGTTCTCCTCCTGCTGGTGAGGCTTCGAAGCGGGCGGAGAGCTTCGCTTGGGGGTAGCACCCGTGAGGGGAGATGTAGACATCGTGACGTCGGACAGTTTCTTCTCGGAGGGTTGATACTTTGCAGAAGATACGACAGGGTATTGCCGAAAGGTGGCAGACAAGATGAGAAAAATGCCTTCGGAAGGGAACGCAAAGGAGAGTGTTGGTGGGATTCCTCTCTGCGTTGGAGGAAAAAGAATTGTGATGGAGAGATTGTGGAGGGGAGAGGAAAGAGAAGCTTTTTGTTGTGGTAATTGAGAGAGGTGAGGTAGGAGGGAGGGAGGAGGAAGGAGCTCGAGTCGGAGTGGGGAAGGAGGTAGATTTGGGCAGCACAAGCAACTTTTCTATGGAAAGGCGTATGAAGTCCCTAATCGAAGCTGCCAATGACCGGGAGAGGGAAAGATCTGAAAGAGACGAGATCGAGGAGCTAGTACCGAGGTGAAGGAGGAGTGATGCGCTGCTGACTGGCCTGGTGAAGAAAGGGCTCTTGTTGAGGGTGTAGAAGTTGGAAGGAGATCGCGACTCGGCTGATATCTAGTACAATCTTCCTATTTTAGGCGAGGACGTTCGAGTTAGGTACGCAGGCACCAGAAAGGGTCTTTCTATAGGTGAATGGCCCAGCGACCCGCTCTTCATCGTCCAGGTGAAGTACGAGGGGTTTGCTCGCCGGCCTCTGATCATTCACCACTAGCGTCGCCTAGACATCAGATGATATTCAAATTGGGGGAGAAAGCATGCAGCCCCTGCTGCCTTACACCAATCCTCTCATGAACCCTTGGGAGAGACCCAGCCTTTTGCGGTAGCCCCAATTACCGTGTGCGTCAATCCACATGGGCGGATGGCAGTTGGACGATGGTCAACGAATTCGGAGCAGAGAACGAAGGAGGTTATGCTGAGCTTCAAGGAAAATAGAAGCCCCTTTTGTTCTCTTTTCATGTGAATAGCTTCACGCAGCACACGATGGCTTTCAGCACTTACCACACAAGACAGTCCGCGGGCATCTTATCAGATAGAAATATCAGCTTGAAACAGTTAAACAAGGCTGGCTCTCAAAGAGACTTGTAATATTTTGACTCTGATATCCCCCATAGTATCTATACACTGACTGTCCTGTCTGTGGGCATCCTCCTTTGGCCTGTCGAAGCCGCGATCCACGGTATTTTCGTACCCTGTCTGCGGCCGGGGGACCCTATACACCCGCATATTCTGACAGAGCCATCGGGGTTGACTCGCTCGGTATTCGAACTGCTCAAAGTCTCGCAAATATAAATACGGAGGGCGTCCCGGCGCGAATGGTTTCGAGGGGTCGCTCTGTACGTAGTTGCACATCGTATCGTACAAACAATATCGTGATCGACGTTTATCGTTTCTTGGGCTCGGCTGCAGAACGGTCAGCATGGCCGCCCGATTTGGAGGCAGGGCCGAGCAAACTTACTCTTCGTCTTCTTCTTCTTTGGCGCACTCTTTCCTCTCGCCTTCAGTCTGTGTAGGCGTTAGCGGTAGCTCCTTGGCTCCCTTCGGCTCACTACGTACCCAGCAATGTGTTCCAAGCGGTCCATCTCTTCCAAGTCGAGTGTTGTGAGCTCAGGGCCAAACTCTCTCTGAACATCCTTAACAGTGACGACCTTGCGCGGATAGTAATCGGCGAGAGCAGGTCCCTTCAATCGTTGGCGCAGGATCTTGTTCCCCGTCCTCAGTCCCTCGGGGTTGAATGCTGTCGCAAAGACTTCGCATTGGGCCTGTTGGGGTCAGCAGACGAGCATGTGACTCGGAACGTCGTAAATTTACCTTCATGAGGTCCAACAACCTCGCGCGTGGGACACTCATATTTGCAGGTCTTGACGGAGCACTATCAGACCAGCCAGAAATTTGTCGCGAAGTTGAGCAAGCTTGGGCGAACGTGAGTCCTGAATTGGACCCGTAAAATGACAGCCGCGCACTCCAATTGGTTCCGGATTTGGGATCATCGATTGGCCGGCATTCTCAGGTACGTACTACCAGCCCTGTCGCATCCACGATGCACCTCAGCGACTAGATCCTTGCAGCTAAAGCACAGTGAGCTCCACGTACCTAGGCACCGTGCTACCCAAACGTGGGTTGTTTAATTTTCGTTGCTTGTGAATGAGATATTCTCCTTCTGAAGTGAAGAGGTCATTTCCAAAATTGCAACTGAACATCCTGACTCAAACCCGCCGCAATTCCGTTTTCTCTCTTGATAGCTCATAAGGCGACAGTGTTCTTCATCCTTTAGTAAAACATTGTGCATTTTACTGTATCGAGGAGGAGTCAGGATGAGCAAGCGCTCGAGTTCAGGAGCGCTGCCACCGAGCAAACGACGACACACGGAAGATGAGGCCATAGACTTGATTATCGATCGCGGCAATGACCTCATCAAATGTCTCCAGGCACTGACCAAATCCAAGACGAGAACTTCGATTCATCGCGAAGACTTGCAAAGGCTCCGACAGCTCAGCAAGGTTCTACTGCCATCGTTCGAGGAGTTGGCCGGCGAAGGCAATACACAGGATTTAGAAAGCGGCGAGATTGATGAGAACGAGGTGAACGCTTTTGCGCCATTCGATGGATTTCCCCCCACCCTACTGACATCGTCGTAGGAAGAGAATGCGTCACATGAGAAGGACGGATCCTCAATTACACCTAGACAGGACTCAGTGCTCTCAGGGCCACCAATCCCTTCTTTTATCCTGATCAAGCCATGGACACCAGTGGATATCCCGAACTCAATGCCGCCTCTTCCCAAAATTACGAATCCAGTCCTAGAGATGGCGGCCTTCACCCATGCGGGCGTCGCCAAGCACAAATCGGATCTCAGTTACGACCGCCTCGAGTGGCTCGGAGACGCCTATGTCGAGTTGATCTCGTCTTCACTAATTTTCCAAACTTTCGGAGGGATGTCGACGGGCCAGTGCTCACAGCTGCGAGAGCTTCTTATTCGCAATGCCAACCTGGGAGAGTACTCAACGCACTATAAGCTTTTCGAAAGAGCGAATCTGCCTCTTGAGTTCAAACCCAAGGGCAACCAGCCGGCCGCGGTAAAACCACAGGAGATCAAAAAGGTTCGCGGTGACTTATTTGAAGCATACGTCGCCGCCGTGATCCTCTCCGATCCCACCGATGGTCTCACTCGAGCTACAGAGTGGCTCAAGGCACTATGGGCAATGACAATCAAGGACCAGATCAGATCGGTTGCCAAGAAGCCCGGGTTACAGATAGTCAAGGAGCTTGGCGAAACTGTGGCCGAAGAGTCTAAGCTACCCCCAAAGGTCCTCCTGAGCCATGCTATCGGTGCTAATGGCATCAACATCCGCTACGAAGACCTCCCCAATGCGAATAGGAAGGACAAATATAACAAGAAGCTGGCCCTCTTCAGCGTCGGAGTGTTTCTTGACGGATGGGGCGAGAAAAACAGGCTCCTGGGTACCGGAAGCGACCTGAATAAGAAGGAGGCGGGCCAAAAGGCAGCGCAGATGGCGCTGAACAACAAGAAGTTGCTGAGGGTGTATCAAGAGAAGAAGAAGGCTTTCTTAGCAGCTCTCGGAGAGACGTAGGCTAGGCCAGAGTTGGGCGGTTACACTATACCCTGAATAGCAGTTTCAACCGAAGCAATAATGACCGTTGTCTAATCAGCCTCCAACTGCCAGGAACAATGCGACAGTTGCCACTGAGAAAGCTACCTAGCGTCGAAATTTGACTACCTAAGGTGAGCAACAGGTATCAGGGTGGTGGATAAAACACACCAGATGAACAGTGTGTGCTCCAACTCGGACGTTCATTGAAATATTAACCATACAAGTCGCTTGCGTGATCCCCTGGAAGCCGAGATGAGTAAACAGCTAGGTGCCCGATGCCGAATAACGATGGACCTCCGTAGCCGTTATGCTGGAACCCAAGGGCCTCGGCTCCATATCAGCTTAGAACTTACACTGAAGTCTCGGTTGATGGAACTTTAAATCGAGGACGAAAACGAAACGAAAAACGATGGAACATGCCCGCATTTCACGTGCCTCAAGGTTTCTCTCGGCAGAGAAGCAGACACCGCAGGCTACCTTACCGGCCCCCAACTTCACTCGTGCACTAGGGAGAGAAGACGCGGGGATGATGGGAGTTTGCTAAGATAGTCGGGGTCTCGGAGAAGCACAACCCCTGACAAGCCCGCGTCAAGCCCACGCACCCCGGTCCCACGCCCACTCTAAACCCCCAGGTGCTGGGTTGGGGTCACAGTTGGTTGTGCCGTTGCGTTGTCGTTGCGCTGCGCTGCGTTGCGTTGCGTGACCCGCGGCCGAGGCAAACACAATTTAGCGGAAATCGCCCACACCTTCCGATGCTGCTAACATCGGCGCGAACCCCCCCAAGCCAATTTAGAGACAGCTAATTGCCGGTACCGAAATACTTTGCCTCATTGCCAGCACCCGCCATCGCCGCCGCTACATTCTTGCTGCCAACCAGATCCCTTCCTCTCTTTGGACGTCGAAGGGAAAGAGTCCCATGGCGAAGCTCTCGCATGATGCATATCAGCGGGCTGGATCTTTAACTCTCTCCTTTTCCCAGCACCTGTTGCCTCCATTATCTGTTTCAGTTCCGGCTGCCCAGGTACCTCGCTCTACCGGTACATCCAGGTGATTTGCGGAACTTATCTGAGTTGCTATCTTCGCCTGGTGTGGTTGAACTGGACCCAACCCCGACCCAGATCACCCCGGATATACACCCGTAAACGCGTGCTCCCTCCCTTTGCCAACTAATCAAGTCGGCTCGGTCGCCTCGAGAACAGCCTTCTAGATGGCCGACTCCGTGGGTGAGTGCGAGCAAAACCTTACCGTCCGTTGTGGGGAGAGCAATTCCCCGGCTAATTATGCGATTATGCCGTCTCTCTATAGATCGCGTGTTCGTCCATGCCTTAAATACCGTCAAGAAAATCCCCAAAACGGGGGCATCGCGTCCCCCGCCGTCCGACAGACTGCGACTCTATGGACTTTACAAGCAAGCGATGGAGGGGGATGTCGATGGCGTCATGGAGCGGCCGACCTTGGCTTCCGGCATGCCAGCCGACGAGCTTCAACGGGAGAAGGATAAATGGGATGCGTGGAACTCCCAGAAGGGTCTGAGCCGGACGGAAGCGAAGAGAAGATATATCGAGGCATTGATCGAGACGATGCACAAATATGCGACAACACCGTAAGCCCATATCACCCCTATCTGCCACCCGGGCCGCCTCTGCGCATCGCAACCCACTGACTCGTCACAACAGCGACGCAAAGGAACTTGTCGCGGAACTCGAGTTCGTATGGAATCAAATCAAGAACAATAGCCCCAGCTCGACCGACTCTTCACCGAAAGGCACAGGTTACACCGGCGAATTACGACAGTTTCAGCCACCCCTGGCTGGATCCGAAGGGCCACTGAAGGTTCTCAGTCCTATGAGCGAGAATGATGCCGCGGAAAGAAACTCGGATGGAAGGATAGGCTTCGACGATGACGACAACGACAACGACAATGAAGGTGACGCGCTCGGGAGGAGCAGCAACTGGTCCCGGAGCGTGGAGCGAGCGCTTGAGAAGCTGTCCGCCGAGGTCGCAGCATTACGAGAGCAAATAACAATAGGGAGGGAGTGGAAGTCGAAAAAGTCACGAAGCTTTCCGGCTTGGCTACAGTGGCTTACATGGGTTGTCATGAAACATCTAGCTATCGACATGGTGCTACTAGCATTCATCCTACTATGGATGCGCAAGCGGAAGGACAGGCGACTGGAAGACTTGGTCCGAGCAGGGTTGAAGTTGATGCGGGAGTACGTGAGGAAAGTTTTACCAGCCAGATGACAACTCTCGCGGGCGATAGAAGGCACAGCCTGTGGGAATACTGGTCAAGGGTTTGCTGGATCAACAGCGCTCCTACTCGCTGGCTGTAGCGAAACAAGCTCGTTCACGACCTTCTCTGCCGTTTGTTTCCAGCCAAGCTGAGAGGCTCCCTCGGCAGCAATGACGGTCCAGACTTATTTTGATCGTGTCTGAGAGGATCGGCGTATGCTCTCAACCTGGCGGCTCGAATTTCATCGCCCCTTTGGCATGAACATGGGGGAACATTTCTTGTCCAGGCGACATCACGTACATCGACGACGAAGAAGTGCCACTGGAGAGATACGCAGTCTACCAAACAACATGGCCTATAGGGTATCGTAAAGGAGCTTTTACATGGGAAAGGAACCGCAAATGCTGAGCCGAACGCAGCAATTGGCTGAGTCTGCGGACGACGAGACAGAAGTCGATGATCGCCTGAGGATCTGTGTAAGTATGTTCGAAGGCTAGGCCCGGCCTGATCATATAAATGCGATATCTCACGAAAACAGTTGTAAATTCAAAAATTTAACGCTGCACTGCTACTCTCATACCTCCGCTGCACTTCCGTATCTGCATTGAACTGGTGCCCAAGGCGGATTTGAGGAGATTCAGCGTTCAATTGAAAAGTGAGAAGTGAGAAGCAAGCAACTCGAACACAGCCTTTGTGACTTCACTTGATTCAGCTCCTGTGTGCCCAACAAAGCTCATATCGATCACTGAGATATTGTGGCCGGGGTATAAGTCCGGGGCCACCTTGGAAACACGATCACAAGCGTGGAGCGTCAGCCTACCTTTACCTCCCAAGTTCTCCATCCTCAAGACGCTCAGATCTCAACCTCAACCGTTCGTATTCCACCAACCTCATCATATTATCCACCACGACAACCAGTACACGACACAAAAAACTCACACTGCGAATGTGGCCTAGGCCCGGCCGCGCATTTGGAAATTTTTAAGACGCAGAGGATTTGTCGGCAAGATGCAAGAGGGAGCAGGTGATCAGTCGACGAAGCCTGGGAAGGCAGGAACCGCCGGCGATCATCTCGAAGAGAAAGATAGCTCCACGATCCCCCAAGCAGTACCGGTCATGGCAATGTTTGTTCCTCTTGAAGAGAGTCTATTCGATCCCTTCGACCCTCCACGGAACGCGATTGACCGCATCAAGCTCAGCCAAGAGAAACTCGAGAAACACACGGCCGCCGTTGAGCAGAACATCCTCTTCATATACGAGCGGGAGCACCAGCGCATTTCGCAGGTTGCAAAGCAAGAGGAAGCGCAAAAGGGTTTCATCGAGACGCCCGCGGGCCTTATGCAGGGCGAGGAAGCGCTCATCATGGAATCCGTCCACGCTCCGGTACCCCCCGGCGTCGATTATAGCGACCGGCACTTGTCCACATACAAGGCTCCCGATCTTCCGCAAGTCCTGCCTCCGAGACAAGCAGCGCTTCAATGGTCACTCTATAATGCTGGCCAGGCCGTGGGTCAACTGACAGGATATGCTGGCCACGCCGAAGAGATCAAAGAGCCCTATCGGAAGATGTTGGAGCGACAAGCTGCACAAGAGGCATTACCTGCCAGCACTAGTCAGGATGATGAGCCTGCGCGAAGCTAGAAGCGACGACGGGTGACCTGAATCGCTATCGATGCCAATGTCAGAAGAATACGATTGAAGTCTGGACAGCAGATGCTAGATCAAAGACAGGTCGAGGATGACCGATCAATATCCTCAGCGCCACTGGGGAGGGGCTTCGAATAATGGCCAAGGACCCGCATAGAGTTCCGTGTGTGTAAGCAGTGACCATGGATGTCAAGAGATATTAGTAAATCACACTCAGTATCTACTTCTTCTGATGTCTTGTCCTCATCATGATATGTAACGACCGGCGGTAAGAGGCAGCGGTCATTGAAGATTTCTCCCATGCTTCCATAAACGGCGTCAAAATGCTTCATCTAGGTACACTAGATAGAGGAAGGCTCGATCAAGCATCTTGCGAAGCTCAAGCTCACCTACGATAAGTGTCCATTACAATTTAAAGTGAAGAAGAAAAAGAGAAGAGGCGCTATGCGACAAAAATTTCCGCAGACTAAATGGTGCTCAGCGGAGATTCTTGGTGCCTCAGGCGACAGTGAGCTCCCGGATGGTCGACCAATCATGGTTAATGTAAATTAATCGCGATTTACGCACTAGCGCCACCAAATCCCCATGGTCCGGGACAGAAGAGCAGTTCACTCCCGACGTCAACGATTGAATACCAATCTGCCTCCCCCCAAACGCCCTCCCCCGTTTCGTCAGAGTCTCAATCCGTCAAGGCGACACGATGCTGCGGCATTCTCTAGCACGTTCGGCTTGGCGGACTGGCAAGCAAGCCGCCAATGCCTCGCGAACTTTTGCTACAACAGCTCGCAGGAATGCCGAAGTCGAACTGACCATTGGTACGGACGAACCCGCCCTTGCGAGGGTTTCAATTGGATTCTATGGATGTTGCTGACAAGATCTACAGACGGAAAGAAGGTGTCGATCGAAGGTGAGCCGCAATGTCGCCATGTCCGAGGATTCCTACTCACGATCTTCTAGCCGGCTCCGCCCTGATTCAAGCTTGCGAAAAGGCAGGCGTCACAATTCCCAGGTTTGTACAGCCGTCAATGAACAAGCTATATTTCATTAGCTAACTCCTTAACAGATATTGCTATCATGAGTAGGAAGCCCTTTTCGATCGAATCGATGACCGCTACGAAGGATGACCTCCGACTGACAAATACAACAGAAAGCTCGCGATTGCCGGTAACTGCCGTATGTGCTTGGTCGAAGTCGAGCGTGCACCGAAGCCCATAGCCTCCTGCGCATGGCCCGTACAGCCTGGTATGGTCGTCAAGACAAACTCTCCTCTCACACACAAGGCCCGCGAGGGTATCATGGAGTTCCTCCTCGCCAATCATCCTCTGGACTGCCCTATCTGCGACCAGGGTGGTGAGTGTGATCTCCAGGATCAGTCGATGCGATACGGGGGCGACCGTGGCCGCTTCCACGAGATTGGCGGCAAGCGTGCCGTTGAAGACAAGAACATCGGCCCTCTCATCAAGACTTCCATGAACAGATGTATCCACTGCACAAGATGTGTCCGTTTCTCCAACGATATTGCCGGTGCCCCCGAGATGGGCTCTTTCGGCCGTGGCAACGACATCCAGATCGGTACCTACCTTGAGAAGAACCTCGACTCCGAACTTTCCGGCAACGTTATCGACCTGTGCCCCGTTGGTGCCCTCACCTCAAAGCCTTACGCTTTCCGCGCGAGACCTTGGGAGCTGAAGCACTCCGAATCCATCGATGTCCTCGACGGCTTGGGATCCAACATCCGCGTCGACTCTCGTGGCCTCGAGGTGATGCGTATCCTTCCCAGACTCAACGACGACGTCAACGAAGAGTGGATTAACGACAAGACCCGTTTCGCGTGTGACGGATTGAAGACTCAGAGATTGACCATGCCTTTGATCCGCCGTGAGGGCAAGTTCGAGCCCGCCGACTGGGAGCAGGCCCTCATGGAGGTCGCCAACGCCTACCACCACATCCAGCCCAAGGGCAATGAGTTCAAGGTTATCGCTGGTGAGTTGACCGAAGTCGAGTCTTTGGTTGCCATGAAGGACCTGGCCAACAAGCTCGGCTCCGAGAACTTGGCCCTCGACATGCCCAACGGAAGCAAGCCCGTTGCCCACGGCGTCGACGTTCGCTCCAACTACTTGTTCAACTCTAGGATCTACGGTATCGAGGAGGCCGATGCCATCCTCATCGTCGGCAGCAACCCCCGTCACGAGGCCGCTGTCCTCAACGCCCGTATCCGCAAGCAATGGCTTCGCTCTGACCTCGAGATCGGCGTCGTTGGCGAAACATGGGATTCAACCTTTGAGTTTGAGCACCTTGGTCTTGACCACGCTGCCCTGAAGAAGGCTCTGGCGGGACCTTTCGGCAAGAAGCTGCAGGCTGCCAAGCGCCCTATGATCGTTGTTGGTTCTGGTGTTACTGACCACGTTGACGCCAAGGCCTTCTACGAGACCATTGGTGCTTTCGTTGACAAGAACGCCGCCAACTTCATTACACCTGAGTGGAACGGATACAACGTTCTCCAGAGAGCCGCTTCACGCGCCGGTGCCTTTGAGGTCGGCTTCGTCACCCCCTCCACTGAGGTTGCCGAGACCGCTCCCAAGTTCGTCTGGCTCCTTGGTGCCGACGAAATCTCGGAGAAGGACATTCCCAAGAATGCCTTTGTCGTCTACCAGGGTCACCACGGTGACCGCGGTGCCCAGATCGCCGACGTTGTTCTTCCCGGTGCTGCCTACACTGAGAAGGCCGGTACCTACATCAACACTGAAGGCCGTGTCCAGATGACCCGTGCCGCCACCTCCCTGCCCGGTGCTTCTCGTACCGACTGGAAGATCGCCCGCGCCATCAGCGAGTTCCTCGGTGCTCCTCTGCCTTACAATGACGTTGCTCAGCTACGCGACAGAATGGCCGAGATCAGCCCGGCCCTGGCGGCCTACGATGTGGTTGAGCCCGTCGCTCTGCAGCAACTGAGCAAGGTTCAACTGGTTGACCAGAACAAGGGCTCCAAGGCCAGCGGAACACCTTTGAAGAAGGTTATCGAAAACTTCTATTTCACAGACGTCATCTCAAGAAGGTATGTTACTCATGCGAAGCCGCTCTCAGTTATTTTGGTAGGAGGCTCTAACGCATATTCAGTTCACCGACAATGGCCCGCTGCTCTGCGGCCAAGGCCAGTGGCAGCCCCAAGACCAACTTCATGGCACCAGGCATGGAGGAGGACAGGCCAATGGGCCAGATTGCGTACGGGGCATGAGGGACAGACTGTACGACTACGACCGTAGAGGGAGGTTGATGAAGAAGAAAAGAGAGTTCCTTTGTTTGGGATGGATGCATTGCTTGTAAATAATAGCACGCGCGGCTAGAGAGTGGCGGGTAGTTGGAAGAAAGTAAATACCTTCATGTCTTGTGTCTCGTGATGCTTTTTTGAAGTAGCTCCCGCCCGTCCCTGAGTCTATTTTGAGGCTGGGAAGCTGAGATTACGGATGTAAAGCATCAATCTCATTTCACTTCGTATGTTGGTAGCCCCAGAGCGGCTATCAAGGCTGCGAGCTTCAGAACTAGGCATCCACCATAGAGTCATCAGAGTGGCGAAGCTCCTAATCTACATCAGAGACCAATGGGACGCCGAAGATATTACTAAGAAGTGGACAGCCTCTAGAAGACGTCCCTCTGACCTTTGACACGAAAGGAACGCGCTCTGAATGAATACAATCGGCATGCTACTCAAGACCTCATCTGGAATGTATGCCGAGTAGAAGCTGGAACACATTGCATTCTTCCTGGTGATGCAAGACCCTGTCACTGCCTCATCTGACGGCCTGCTGTCGACAACAGATATCAGCCTCGACACACGCGGGTAATATAATTTCACAGCACGGGACTTTTCGTGGGCGCCGAAGGATAATGCATTGTTCTGTTTTGTTCCTGCCATAAACACCCAGACGAAGTTTGAGACGAGTAACCAACGCGATCCGAACACACCACAGCTGGACGATGAGTACGGAAGCCGCCGGGAAGGTGGATAATCAAGTCAATGATCCAGCGTCAGCTTCCACATTCGAGATCAGATACTCTAGCCATTATGATCATCTGATAAAACTGCCGATAGCATTTTTTTAATTCATGCTTTTGCGTAGGGAAAACATAGCTTGTGTAATCAGAAATGCCCGTCGGACAGCGGCTTGAAATGAGGAACATAGACGACATACCCATGTTTTGGCAAATCAACGAGGGAGAGAGGTATTGTGGACGACTTGAAGCTCTTCTCTTTTCACAAAGGCTTGCCAGCAGGCTGTTCCTATTTTGATAGTCTACGAAAATCATGGCTCAAGTAGTGAGCTCCTCGCGAGAGATATGACTCCATGACACTTCAGAGCCTCCACGCTGGAATCGGGGTTCATGGCCTCCCTGTTCTCTCCCGCTTTATGGCCGACACATTCTCGCGAGAATATGGATTTTACCGATACTCAACAGCACTTCGGAAAACCGAGAAGCCAGTGGGCGGTATTATGACGACTTGCCCTTAATATACAATGACTCTTTTTTTCGGACACACGGCCTCACTGCCTATGAGCTACAGCTGCATTGGATAGCCCTCTTCAACTTGGGCACATCGCCAACCCAACGTTCCTCCTCCGCCTTATCACCCTTATACTCCTGACCGTCAATCTCCTTACCATCCCAGCTCTCCTCAAAGGGGTGCAGCGCCATCTGCATAACCCTTCTTAAAACATCCCTCTCACCATCCTTCTCAACCCTCTTAATAAGCTCGTCAAGCACCCAGCCACGCGGCACAAAGTTAGGGTTGACAGCCTTCATGGCCTTCTCTCGCTCGGCATCCTGGCCATCCTCGCCCCAGTCTTCAACAACGCGGGCGCGCCACTTATCCAGCCAGCTGCCGACGTCAGCGCGACCCTTGGACTCCTCGCCAGCCGTCACGCCCTCACTGTGGAAGAAGCGCGCGGCCGTCTCACGGCGGGTGTCTTCGTCCGCGACGTCCGACAACTTGACGGAGCTGAGGCGGCGGAAGAAGTGGTTAAAGTCCAGCTCGTGGGTCTCCATGGTATCCAGCAGACCGCTGAACAGCTCGTCAAAGTCGCTTTCCTTGAAGTTCTTGAGGCCCAACCGCTGCGTCATGAGACGCTTGTACTCAGCCATGAAGAGCGCCTTGTACTCCTCGCCGACCTGCATGATGAGCTTCTCGGCCCGGCCGACGAGATCCTCGGATTGGCTCTCCTCGACGCCGTCGTTGACGAAGGTATCCTCGTCCACGCCGGCTCCTGCACCGATGAGCTCGCCCAGCGCCTCACCGAAGCGGACGAGGTTCCACCAGATGATGGTCGGCTGGTTGCGGTAGCTGTACCGCAGGAGATGATCGTCGTGGTTCGGTGTGTACGCCGGGTCAAAGTTGTCCATGAACGCGAAGGGACCAAAGTCGATGCTCAGGCCCATGATGGAGGTGTTGTCGGTGTTCAGCACGCCGTTCATGAAGCCGTAGGCCTGCCACTTGGCGACGATGAGGGCGTTGCGGCGGGCGACCTCACGGAAGAGCCGGGTGAAGCGGTTCTCGGCCGCGTCGTCCGGCCCCTGGATTTCCGTCGATGGGACGCCGCGCGCAGGCTGTTCGAGAGAAGACTCGGCGGGCTTTTCGGGGTTCTCGAGGCGGGCGGGGAGCTTCTCCCAGCCGCCAAAGACGTCTTCGGCGACGTAGGTCGCCAGCTTGCGGAGCATGGCGCGGTCGCCTCTTGCGCGGGGGAGGTCAAAGTTGCCCAGACGGATCCAGGATTGTGCGAAGCGCAGCACGATGGCGCCCGGCTCTACCGTCTCTCTCCTGACCTTGACGTTGGGCAGGAGTGTCAGAGAGAGCGCGCGGGTGCTGGGGATCCCGAGCGCATGGAGCGCCTCGGAGACCACGAACTCGCGGATACTCGACCTCAGCACCGCCTTCCCGTCTGCGAACCGCGAGTAGGGAGTGATACCGGCGCCCTTGAGCTGCAGCTCGTACCGAGTCTTGGTCTCGGGGTTCGTCGTCTCAAAGAGAGAGATCGCGCGCCCGTCACCCAGCTGGCCTGCCCATTGCCCAAACTGGAAGCCGCCGTAGCACTGCGCCCAGGGGTACCCCCCTTCGAGCTTCTCCTCGTCCCAGCCCTGTAACCTGTTCCCCGCGACGGTCTGCTTGAAGTCCTCCGTCTCTTCGTCGCCTTGCTCTATCCCAATGTCGCGCATCGCGGCCGGGCTCACGGCGAGGAGCTCCGGGTTCTCGACGGTCTCGGGGCGGACCCAGGTGAAGGCTGCATTGCGGACGCCGCGCGGGGCGATCTGGTCGCGCGGGGTCTTGTGGGAGTCGGCCGGGGTCGGGAAGATGGAGTCGGGCGGGAGGGAGGAGGTGTAGGTCCATGTCTTTGGCAGCTCTCCTATCGGGAGGCCATGGTAAGATGTTGGCTTCGCGGTTGTCGAATTGGCGCCATTGGAGAGTTGGGCGGCCATGATGGCGGGGATTGTGAAAGCTCTTGGGACGGCTCGGCGGGAGAGCAGTCTCGAGAGCATATACGCGGATTCGAGGTTCAGTCAAGCGTGAGATGCAATAGTACAAAACAAAACTATTCGAACGAAGAGATCGGGGTATCACAGGCAAGAGTACGTTGGAAGCAGCTAGGGAATTCTTTTTTGGAGGGGTCATTCGGTAATGATGATCCGTAGTGTGTGTAAGTCACCACTTAGTCGGCGATGAGGGGACTCTCGGAGCTTCAATGAAAATCCCCCCAAAAATTTACGCTGACTAAACCGAGGATGCGCACCTGGATAGAAAGAACCTCGGCGCCCACATCGACGGTCACCGATGGCAACGTCCCCCGACCCCGGAGACAATTAATCATCCAGATACTTAGTGATTCGAACAAAATTTTAATTAGAACTCCTTCGATCCCCGCCCCTAGATCCGAGGGCCCCAAGCCCTTTGAATAGGTAAGGCACCTTACGTTCGCGGTCCGAGTCCCGGCCGAAGCTGTCTGCTGCCCCCGGGTCATCACGCAACAGCTCCCACACTGTCGTCACCGTTGGCGTCACTGCGAGAGCGCAGCCCCCCAAACCCCCGCCGCGGTCCCGGGAATCCAGCATGCCCTGGCAGCAGCTCCAATTGGGGCAAGTGGGGGGAGGAGAAAGAGTTCCATTTCCAGCCCACCGCAGCAATTCGAAAACGCCTCCTTGCTGTTTGTGACGGGACACCAAGAAAGAGCTCCCCAGCATAGGTACGACTTTCAGTGATGTCAATTGGACGTCTCGGCTCTTGTTGGCCGATGCAGGCGGGGGAAGCATGTTTATCCTGCAGTCTATTGCATGTCATCGAAACAAATTCGATGGGAGAGCAAAAGCACCGTGCCTTTCGTACCTAGTGTCTCGTCTCGTCCCATCGTGCTGATAACACAACCCTCAATCACCCTCACCCCTCACAGCTCCTCCCGCCTGAAGAGACTAGCAGAAGTCCTTCGGATTAGAAATACAACCCCCTGTCCCCGGTTCATTAATACCCGTTGCTCGAAGCTATCTTATCATATCTTCATACACCGCCGTATGTTATTGACGAGACAATCATCAAGACTCTGCTCAACGCTGCGTACCCGTCCTAGATTGCCGCTCCCATCTTCTCAACTTCTTCCAAAGCGCAACATGAACTCGATTCTGTCCACCTTCACGCCCGATGCTTCGGGAACTCCACCCAAGCAGGTGGAATACATCCCATGGCTTACGCTTAACGATGGCAACATGATCCCAATGGTGAGTCTTAACTTCAAGTAGAGGATTGCCGTTCCTACGGGAAGATCTGCCGCTCGGCAATGCATGTCAGCGCTAGGTCTAAAGGCATTTCAGCGAAATGAAAAGCCACTCCATCACGGTCAGCCTACTTAAATGGCCATCTCATGCTAACGTATCGACAGCTCGCATATGGCTTGGGTACTGCCAACTACAAGTCTGGCGGCGCCAGCTTTGATGAGAGGATCGTTGACAACACCGTCATGGCGATCAAGGCCGGATACCGTCATCTGGATGGCGCCGAAGGTACTTGCAAGTAATTATCAATCTACAGACTACCAATCTAACGAACCTCTAGTATATGGCAATGAGGAAGAGCTTGGCGCAGCCATCAAGAAGGGCGGCGTGCCAAGGGAGAAGCTCTACGTCACCGCCAAAATCAGCGGGACCAAGAAGCAGGATACCGAAGAAGCTTTCGCAACCACATTGAAGAAGCTCGATCTCGAATACGTTGATCTCTATCTCATCCACGCGCCCTTCTTCGCCGACTCCGACGAGGAGCTCCAGCAAAAGTGGGCTGATTTGGAGGCTATCCAGGCCAGCGGCCGAGCGAAGAGCATTGGGCTCTCCAACTTCCTTCAGCCGCAAATCGAAGCCATCTTGAAGACGGCCAAGGTCCCTCCCGCCATCAACCAGATCGAGTTTCACCCTCATCTGCAGCACGGCGACCTGCTGGACTTCCACCGCAAGAACAAGATTGCCGTTTCCGCCTACGCTCCCTTGACCCCCATCACCTCGGACGTCGACTCCCCCGTCAGAACTATCTGGGCCAACCTGTCTAAGAAGTACGGCGTGAGCGACTCTGTTGTCGGACTCCGATGGTGCATTGATCAAGGTCTGATTGTCATCACCACCTCTTCTAAAGAGGAAAGACTGGCGAGTTACCTTAATCACATCCCGGCCATCAAGCTTACCCCTCGGGAGGTGAGTGAGATTGCCGAGGCTGGTAAAACCAAGCATGTTCGTGGGTTCTGGAAGAACAAGTTCGACGCTGATGATACCCGATGAGTTTGGCAATATTCGGGTTTCTGCACCACTCGTCGTAACCAAGAGAGGAGACATCTGGTGGTGTTAGTGATAATTAGTAATTGTGAAAAAAGTTCCAACGGTGATCTCTCTCAGTGATCTCAATTTCACACTTGCAAGGCACAACCGCGCGGAATAAACGTGGAAGGATTTGGTGTGAAAGCATCGTGCTTTATTTACTTCTGTTTCCATCGCCTCACAGCTCATCGTCAGATTCGGTCTCGCTGCCAGCGGGCGGTGGGGGTGCTTTGGGGGCTGCTTTCTTTCTTGCAAAAGGCAGTTCTCTCTTCGCAGGAGGCGCCTCCTTCTTCGCGGGCGCTGCTGCAGCCTTTGGCTTCGGCGGCGGGGATACTCGAGACCGTGTCTGCTGACTGTGTGTTGGCGCTGCCGATTCTTCATCTTCATTTTCACTAGCGGTCTCGTCATCATCCTCAGTTGTGTCGCGCTGCTGATCCGACTCGTCCGCAGCCTGTTCCTTAGCCTCATCAACATCCATTTTGTCCTCGCTTTCTTCTGACGAATCAGCATCACCAACAGGCGCGGGAGCGGTCTTCCTCTTGCCCGGCCTCGACTTGGCGGCCACATGGCCTTTTGCCGCGGCCTGGGAACTCTGTACCTGCGCTAGCTTCTCCGGCTCGACGGATGCAGACGCGAGTAGTTTCTGCTGCTGTCGGATCTTCAATTTCTTCTCGTTGAGCAGGTCGCGGAACTTCTCGAGGAGTTCCGACTCATCAGCCTCCTTGGCCGCGACTAGCTCGTCGATTTGAGCTTTGAGCTCCCGCACAGAGTCTTCGAGCTTGTTTGCTTTCGCGGTTGTGGAAGCTAGAGCTTTCTTGGCCTCATTGGCTGTCTGGGCCGAGAGGGCACACCAGTCGAATAGCTCAATGAGCTCGCGTGGGCTGTGGCTCAACTCGATGGCGCCGAGCCGTTGCTAGAACACCAGCCGTCAGCCCGGCCACCCCGAAGGCAAAGGCTGGGACACTTACTGTGAACTCATTCCCCTTTTTTCGAATAGTCAGGGTGAGAACTGACTCGTTTTCCACCGATGCAATTGCCTCAATGTCCCCGGCCGGTTCTTGTTGCAAAACCGCAGTAAGGATAGCGACCCATTCTTCCTCAGACACTGGACTGTTCTTGACACGAAGAGATGCGACTTTATCGTGACGCACTACCAGCGCAACCCTACCATTAGCTCTTCAATTTCCGTACATGTGGTGGATGAGTTCGGCGCATGAAACAGCGTCGACCAAGACCCACTCGCCCGGGCCGCGGTGATCGTCGGCCAGGAAGGCGGGATGACGAGCGTTCGACTCACGAGAAATGGCATATGGCTCCACGCCATCAGTTCCCACCAACTTGACATCCAGCGCCTTTGACTTAATAGGCGTGGCCTGGACGATGACAAAAGCGCCCTCACTGTCTGACCGGGGAAACCGGAGAACGTGGCCGGATGCCATGACTTAGTGAACTCGATGTAAAAATCGATTGCCCCCCTTGCGTGCCACGGGATGAGCTGAAGGTTCGATGTAAGTGGCAGTTGCAAACCGGTGTAGGGTCTGAGAGTCTTCGGCCAGTCGTTGGAAATTGTCAGTAAGTGCGTAATTATTTGCTTCAAGAGCTGGAATCTATCTTGCAACCACTTTGGCTCGAGGGGGATTCCTGGTTGGATGGGGGTTGAGACAGAGCAGTCCGGGAGAGTGAGACTGAGACTGGATGTCCGAAGTTGGTAGTTTGTTGATTAAATACAGAGTGTAGTGATGGTGGCACAGCGAGAAGCCACGGGCAGCTTCATCTTAACCGTGAGGGCCTGGGGTCGAGAGCTAGGCAACTATGGCGCTCAGATAGGCAGCAAAAGGGGACTGAGCCACACCTCAGGCAGCCTTGGTTTTGAGACGGTCGGGACGGGAAGGAGTCGTGGGAGGGCACGGAGAGCGGGAAAGTAGTCAGCAATTGTTTTGGTGCATGAGGTTGGTGCTGTCAACAAATAAACAGGAAGCTACGGAGATGACGGCCTTGTGTTTGGACCTTATTGCCTGGGATGGACCGGAAGAAAGGGCAGCGTCCAATATTCCTTCGCCCTGGCAAATCTTAGGCTTTCGATAACTTCTTTCTTGCCCTTGGTGGAAATCGACATAAGGTAGAAGCCAGCACTAGTAATAGGTAGCCTGGTGCCTCCGTTTTCTCCCTGAGCTGCCAGCCTCTCGCTGCTGCAGTCGCCGTTGGCTGGACTTGACTGAAAGACGAGTGTGGAAAGGGTTGTCGCGCCTCCAACGCGTCAGAATCGTGCAAGTGCAACCGTCCCCGCATGCAGGTGCTCGTCGTCCAATTGATGCACCATCTGATGTCCCCGCTAAATCACGTGGCACATCCTGGGAAAATTCATGATTCACTGGAGAGCCCTGGACCCGGTCTGCACCCTCCCACCTGTTCTTTCCCCGTCTGTTGTCCACCCCAAACCTGACTCTGCCTGTCCCGCAGAAAAAGGACCGGACCCAAGCTCGTCCAGATCGTCTCTGTCTTTCCGTCCCTTCCCTGCCGGCCATATTTACTCCCTTCTGTTGTCCCAGTGCTCAGAAAGACTAAGAGAGACGATAGTGGGTGTTAATCAAGGTTAAGAAAAAGAAGAAAAAACCAGAAATCGAGGCGAAAAGGGGAAACGGGAGAAACGTATAGAGTATAACACAAGGGCTGTCCCTGATAACCCCAACTCTGTCACCCCGTGCCTGCGGACCACCTCACGGGATACGTAGCTCAGCGGGTTTACCCACACCTGCGCGCAATACCAGCCACCCAGCTGTCCACCACACCACCCACTACTTGCGCTGTGCTGCACCACGTACCACTCATACTGGACCCAGCCCACCATCTAGCCGACCTACCACCTCGCTTTGTTTGCCAGGCCCGATCCATCAACCCCAGCTTCCCAGCCATTTTTGCTACACCTCATCCAACAAGAAGGGCAAATCCAATCCTCCCCCCCCGACACTCACGACTGCCCTGATCTCATTCTCCTCCAGAACCCTCGACAAACGTCACGCTCGACATCTCTGAACCCTGTTCCTGTTGCGCATCACATCACCCCTTACGACGAACTCTCTTTGGACGGCCTCCACTTGCTTTGCACCTGTTTGCATCTCTTGCAATTCATCCTACCAGTAGCCGACAGACACTACTTCGTACTCTACGCACATTCCCGGAAACGACGATACTTTACTCGACTCAAAACAAACCACGCCGCTATTTCTACGCCCTACCACACCACGAGATATCCTTTTGCGCCCCCCGCGACGCCGAAATACCACAAAAAAACATCGCTTGCGACCACCATCACTGCCTCCCAGGTTATGCCGGGCCGGGGCTGCTGTTATTGTTGACGATATGATCTTGCAACATTGACAAGCAGAAAAGCGCTCTCGGGAAGTCTTTTGCGATACGACCACGGCCCTCTCGGAGCCAATTCAATCCTGCGCTCGCCCGAACAAAGAAACCTACCGAAAACATGGAACCTTTACGCCTCAAGCCACGCCAGCCGGCAGCGGAACCCGACATCGAAGACTGGGACGATGACGACTTCCAGATCGAAACCGACGATCTGACATTCCGCACCGCCTCTACCGCTACCACCCTTCCTCCCACACGACGCGACTCTGCGTCTTCACATGTTTCCCTCCGTTCCGACCTCGAATCTATTCTGGACGAAGAGACACACGTGCATGTTCCGGGCGACGACGAGAAGTCGACCCTCGACGCTATCGCCGCTGCCACACAGGCCGGCATTCCGATACCCAAAAATGTACCCTCTTCCGCTCTAATGGGCGGCACTATCAAACGACTAGGTGGACGAAAGATCAAGAAGATCATGCAGGACGACTGGGAGGATGATCTGGTGCTGCCAGACTCGGCACAGGGCCTTCGCATCAAACCTCAGGACGGCTCCAGATTCCCCGACGCTCTTCGACAAGTCAGCGGCTCGAATCAGACCAGTCCGACCAAAGCTATGAAGACTCCCCCGGCGGTTTCATTGCTGGACCGGAGAGAGTCGACGGAATCAAGGACGAGCACACTATCAGGAACTCTCAACTTGGAGAGGTTCCGTGACAACGACGATGACGACGACTTCTTTGGTGATGGATCAGAAACCATCAAAGTATCAAAGACTCGTCCGCCTAAGCCCATTTCACTTATTACCCCACCGACCCCTCAGAAGATTGACAAGCCTTTGGACGATGATTTCGAGAACGACTTTGAACTGCCCTCCGACGGCAAGCTGAGGCTTTCCACTAGAAAGGACATCCCCAAGACGCCTTCGAATCAGGCAGATGATCTGGATTGGGGCGAGGGGAGCCTCGGTACTCGCTTTGGAGGCACTCGAAGAGATGCTCGTTCGAATAGGAGCTCGTCAGTCTCCGCCATGAGCCCCAGTGTGTCGAGTTCATTCACCGCGGAGAGCGAAGATGAGACGTTTGATGGCCTCATACTCCCCAGCGGTCCGGTGAATTTTGGAGAGAGATTGAGCCGCAGGAAGCTCAGTCGCTCTCCCGTACGTCCTGTGGAAGAAGAGCCGCCAAATCTCAAGACTCCTCAGCCGCGCAACGAGCCAGAGCCTGAAGACATGTTCGATGGTCTTGACGTGGGTGACGGTGAGGTCTTCAACTCGGGGAAGCTTACTCTCCACCGCAATATTCGCGTCAACGCGAACCGCCCGCCCAGCCCCCAGAGGCCCAAGACTGCAATCTCATTGACCTTTACCAACAAGGCTACTCCGTCACGACTGCCTCGCCCTAGTCATGAACGTCACGAACGAACTCAATCTGCATTAGAGCCTGTGTCCGAGAGTGGCGGTCCTATCTTTGCTCGTACGCGGAGATCTCAATCTCGTATGGGCCACTCATCACAGTCCTCTGTCACGAGCATTCATAGCATGCCAACGCCTACGACACCTTCTCCATCCAGTTCTTTGCTTCCCTCGACGCCACGCAGGCGAGAGCTTGGTGCTAGGACCTCAACCACGTCGCTGCGAAATGAGCCGACGACCACGAGCACGCAGTTGCTGAGATTTAAGCGATCTCTGCCTGCAATGAGCAGTTCTCACTCACCAGCAAAGACCATATCCCGATTTGAACGGCCACCATCTAGGACGGATGGCAACCGTCCGCCTTCCTCAATGCGGCCCAAGACTCCTACTGAGAGATCTCGACCCGCTGTGGAAAGCTTTGCTGCCCAGCAACGACGCCCCTTCCTCCCTGCTGGGGCCTCACAATCCCAGTCGCAGCACGTGACTGCAAAAACTTCTCGAAGTTTCCGACGCCACGATTCCGAGAACGCCCTAGACTTACGGCCGACCTCAAGGGCATTTTCTCGGTCGACGATGCGGTCGCCGAGTCCGAAAAGAGTAAATCGCCATTCGGATCAAATCACTCGCGACGGTTTGTCGTTCCGTACGCTCACCAAGCCAAACCGAACCCGGAACTTTGGTGACGGGCATGAGTTGGATGGATTTGACGACTTGCCCACTTCAGCGCATTCAGAGGCGAAATTTGTTCGACAACCTGTCAAGGCACCGCTCCGCAACAAGCTTTACCAGAATGTGCTTCCTGATCGAACCACCACGCCCTCCCCGGCACTTTGCTCCCCTGCGAAGGGTGATTACACGCCCCATTTCGCCCGCGATACCCAGGCTAGCCGAATTGCTCGGGAGACCTCGCTTGCTCAACGAGCTCCATCAGGCCCACTGGTGCCTCTCACCTCGTCGCGCGTCTCCCAATTGTCGTCCAGGAACAATTTCAACCCCGGACTACCACAGGCAACGGTGCGGTCGAAAAAGAAGAGGAACCTTCCCCAATTGAAACCTCATCTAATTTCCAACATGAACAAGGACAAGACTCCGCAACGTAAGTGCACTAAGCCATAGAATTGCACACTGATATACTGACAACCCTGCAGATCTTCAGGGCATGTTCTACAACCCCGACACCTACCGTTGGGAAGGCAACGAAAATGTCTTGAACGCGTTCGACCCACCCGCCTCGTCCCCGTCGCCAACATCAATGCCGCCCCATGTGGTACGAGATAAAGAAGCTTCTTCAACACCGCGGCCGGCTTTGATCACGAACATAAGCCACACAAAGGGCGTGCAGGTTGTGGGCGGCATGGTCTTTGACCCACAGAACATGTGCTGGCTCAAGCTCGGTCCACAGACAAACCCCAAGTCTGAGATAGCCGACCCTATGGACGGTTTCAATGCTCTGGACGATGACGAGGACGTTTTCAAGGACATTCCGGATCTCGACGACAACCAAGGCGACGCCAAAGAGCCCGGCCGCGTCAGCGACGTTAAGGACGAGTGGCTCGTCGGCGAAGAATTCGATGTCGGTCCTGAATTCGTCCGGAGGCAGCGTGAGGAAGAAGACAGATGGAGAAAGAAATGCCAGAAATGGCTGAGTGGTGGAGACCGAGACCGCGAAGCTGCCAGATGGGCGATTCGCGACATCCTGCTTCACCAGAGGGCTGCCCAGTAGACCTCATCATACAAACAGTGTACTGCTTGGGTGGCATTTTTTTGCTTTTTTCTTCATACATAACTATTTTAATACCCCTGGCGTTATGGCGAACGACAGGGCGGGCTACGACGAATGCGTTTGGGAGAAGGATTACGACGAACAACATTTACGACGATTCCAGTAACGACTTTCTGGAGTCTTCTTTGTGTACAACATACTCCTACAAAAAGTCTTGAATAGGATTCATGACATACGGCTTTTACGACGAAAAGAGGTCTGGCTGAGGAAATGGCACGCCGACTTTATGACCACAGAAATGATTAGGGACTAGGGGCTCGATACCATCAAGACCCAAACTGGATAAGAAAGGGTCATGATCCCTGTGGAGGAAAGGGTTGCTTTGACATCTGCTTTATTGTACACTGATTTTATCTTTTATGATGATTTTTCGGGTGAGGAGATTGAGGGCGAGTTTTCCTTTGTCTGCTGAGGCGGTAGAGGATTGGTTGGCGTCTGTCATCTACCTTCTGATGACGAGAGTGAGTCGCCTTCATGAAAAGCTCTGCTTAGACACTTTTTTGGCTTCGGCGTATTGGATTAGCAATAACCCGATCTTCTTTTCTCAATTCTCTTCGAAACCAGCTGGCTGGATAATATTTTCTTGATATGGATGTGAAAGGCTTCTTTCTCAATTGGTTACAGCAACGACGATCACAGCAGATGACGGCGACAACGATGACCATGACAACGGCCTCTTGATTGTTGGATACTTTTTTTTAATTTCCGAAAACCTTTTTGAGCTCCGACTCCCTTAGTAGTAATAGGTAATTATAATGCAACAACAACGACAACAGAGAGGGTTCGTTTCGACCTCGACCCTGACAAGATGCTTCTTTGTCTACTACACAAGATACACTGAGAAGATCCCCCCAAACCCTATTTCCTTCCTTTTCTTTTGACTTCATTCAATTCCTCATGTCTCTCCTTTATTTCGCGGCCTTCTTCTCCTTCTTTTGCTTGGGGCTCTTGCTCTTGGGGCTCTTTTCCGGCGCGGCCGAAGTGGATGTCACCTTCTTCTGGGCGGTACTCTTTTCGGCCTTCTTCTCCTTATCGGCAGCGGCGGCCTTTTGCTTGCTCTTGTCCTTCTTCTCGGGCGTCTTCTCCGCGGGCTTCTCAGCCTTCTCAGCCTGCTCGGTCTCAGTCTCAATCCCGGCCTCTGAGGCAGAAGCAGAAGAGTCCTTCTTGGCAGTAGCGGCGGCCTTCTTCGCCTTGGCGGAGAGGGCGTTGGGGTCGAGACCGCGTCTGCGCATGGCGTTACGCTTGGCCTTAAGGACGTACTCCTCGTCCTCACCCTCGTCGAAGCCGCCAAAGTCGTCGTCGGTCTTGCCACCGGCGTTGGACTCGTCATCGGTGGTGATGGGCGTCTTGTCTATGACCTCACCGACGGAGGATACGCCGGAGCGGTCCTTGTCGGCCTTTGCGGGCGTAGGGCCAATTTTTTGGAATTTGGCGACGAAGAAACCGTCGACGTTGTAGGTGTGCGGGTAGTAGCGGCGGGTGAGCTTGAGAGACGGGTCGAACTTCTTGCCCATGTAGGAGGTGAAGCCCTCGCGGCCGAAGGGGAGGTTGGTGTCGACGAGCTTGACGTTGGGGCGGCGGGACAGGGCATATGCGACGACGGACTCGCTGTGAGTTTGTTAGCAGGGTTGCCAAGATAGTGAAGAGGTTTGAGTGTGCTTACTTCTCCTCGACTGTGACGGAACATGTAGAGTAGACAATGTAACCGCCCGTCTTGCTGTGGTGGTTGACAGAGTCAATGGCGGCGAGGATCAGCTGCTTCTGCATGTGCGGCAGCAGAATGAAATCCCTCTCCGTCTTGTTGGTCTTGACGCTGGCGTCCTTTGCGATGACACCGGTACCGGAGCAAGGGGCATCGAGGAGAACGCGGTCGAAACCGCCCATGGGCTTGGGGAACTCCCTGGCGTCATAGTTTGAGACGACGACGTTGCGGGCGCCGAGGCGATGAATGTTACCGATGAGACCCTTGGCACGCTGCTTGCTGGGATCGTTGGCGACGATGACGCCCGTGTTCTTCATCATGGCGGCCATGTGCGTCGTCTTACCGCCGGGGGCGGCGGCCATATCTAGCACGCGCTCGTTCTCCTGTGGCTCGAGGGCCATGACGGGCAGGAAGGAGGAGGCGGCCTGGAGGATGTAGTAGCCGGCCAAGTACTCGGGCGTGGCACCGAGGGGCACGTTGCTCTCAAAGATCTGGAGGCCGACCTTGGACCACTTGCCGACGGGCTCGAGGGTGACGCCGCGGCCGATGAGGGCCTGGGCAAGGTCTCTGCGGTGGGTGCGGAGGGTGTTTGTGCGGATGACGACGGGGCGGGCGGACTCGTTGGCCTCGAAGAAGGCGAAAGCCTCACGCGGGGAGAAGAGGGAGAAGAGCTTCTCGGCGAGGTACTCGGAGTAGCCGTAGTAGGCGCAGATGTCCTTGATGAGCTGGGAGACGTACTCGGTGCGGGAGCGGCCGTCCTCGTGCAGTTTCGCAAAGTCGTCGAGCACTCTAATGTTTTCCGTGATTCTCGTTCTCAGGAGCTGCAGGTCGGGTGCGAGGAGTGTCTTCGTCTTGGCGGCGAGCTCGTCGTCCTCGTCATCGTCGAGGATGTGCGGCTTGTCGCCGTCAATGTTGGTCTGGATGCCCATCTCCTCGAGTTCGGCCTGGGCGTCGGCGTCGTCCTCGGCAATCTTCTGGTCGAGTCTCCTTGCGAGACCCTCAATGTTGGCCTTTGTGAGCATCTCCTCGCCGTCCGAGTCGTCTTCGTCTTCCGAGAACATGTGCTTTCTGCCGCCCCCTCGCTCTTCGTCCGAGTCGTAGACGGAATCGTCCTCAGACTCTCCCAAGAAATCATCTCCCAGCTTCTCCGCGGCCTCCAGATCGGAGAACTCGTCAACATCGTCGTCGCTCATGTCTGAAGGGGCACCCTCGAAGTCTCCGGCGTCGTCGTCGTCCGACATGTCTTCGTCCGAGTCCTCGACGGGCTGGGCCTTCTTTCCTCTCCCGTTGGCCTTTGGCGCAGGCTTTCCGGCCTTGGCCGCGGGCGCCTTGGCACCGTTGCTCTTCTTCGCATCCTGCTTCTTCGCCGCGGCGGCATTGGCCTTGGGCGCCGCTCTCCTCCTCCTCTTCACCTCGGGGGCCTCGACGGGTTCGACTGGCAGACCGGCCTTGCGCTTCAATCTTGCGAAATGCGCCTCGGACAAGGGTTCGGGCGCACCCTGCTTCTTCATACGGTTTCCGACACCCATTTTGGCTGACTACTTCTTGCCGAAACTTGGGTATTGGGTCGGGGGAAAAGGGTACGAAGAAATAAAAGTTCGATATGTACGGTACCGGCTGGTCAAGGTCGGTCGCCGCTACACTGCTCAGAAGGGAAAAAAAAAAAGTTCACTTGGATTAGAGCGGTCCCCCCACCGAAACTTTTTCCTATCGCGCACTGACCAGCATCGATAAGATTGGGTTAGCGCCACCCGATAAAGCCACGCCGCCCAGAAGAGCGTTCGAGCTCCACACCCCAGCTCAGTCCGCCCCGCCATCCCTCTTCAGTGCGTCAACTCTACCTGAGCAAGCGAGCAGACACTAGAACACCGGACGAAGTCATTTCCAACGCCTTATTTCCAGCCGATCATCTAGTAATTAAGCCTTCGCCGACAGTCCTCCCTATATCTCAAACAACTCATAGCTTCCGAACTCAAACCAACGACTCCAGCAAGCCGACCTGGCAACCTTCCCGAAAGCGCGCCACACAGCTTACCAAATCGCAACCATGGCCGAAGTCGTATTCGCAAGACAGTTCCTGGCGACCTTGGAGTCGCGCCCGGCGAAGCTATCAGCCGATCATGTCGAGGATCCCAAGAACTTCCCGGCTCGCCCTCCCGTAAGTCTCGTCCCTATAAATGAAGCGTTTGGAGCTATAGGTAGCTAACATGATGCAGTATATCCTGCCCAAGATGCCCAAGGCCATGAGCAAGCCCTCGAACCTCGCGCCTGGCCAGGAACGCAGCGTCAATGTCACCCTCAAGTCCTTGCGCAACCCTCCCTTGGATATCAAGCTGTCCTCCCAGTCGCTCAACACTTCCATCCTCGACATCAAGACGGCGGTTGAGGCGGAGTCACGGATACCTGTGGACAAAATAAAGCTGCTGTTCAACAAGAAGCCGGTCCCGGACAGCAAGGTGTTGAAGGACTTGCTTACGGACGGACAGGCATCTCTCGAGTTCTCCGTAATGGTTATTGGAGGAGCTGCTGCAGTCAAGCCTGAGCCTAGCGCTGCGGTTGCGCCCAACACTGCCGAGGAGGATATCGGAGAGGCAGCACTGGAGACGGACGAATTTTGGAGCGATCTCAAGGGCTTCTTGCTGCAAAGACTCAAGCACGAGCAAAAGGCGGAGGAGCTGTCAGGGCTGTGGCGCTCAACCTGGCAAGCACAGAAGAAGTCATGACGTAGGAAATCACCACGGACAGTACTTGAGCATAGGTCATGGTCTAATAAAGTGATTTTATCGTCATTGGGCAACAACAAGAATGCTCTGCATTCCGGCATGAGATGTTTTCCTATGGCACTGGGTTGATATAACCAGGCGGGCAGTTCAAATCTGGAAATTTACTAGTCACGCCCCAAAAAGAAACTCGGAGTGGGAAAAAGGTCTGGGTCCCGAAATCGCCAAGGGGGACAGTGGCCCTCCATATTCATCGTAAACTCTCCATGATCGTCGTCAATCGTCCCGGAAGACTGCAGCCGCCAAAGTGTATGCTCCGTCTCACAGCGTAAGGAAGGGTATGGTGTTTTGAGGGAAAGAGACATTTAACTAGCCATGCCCTTGCTGACGGTCTTGAGAATGGAGTCGTACTCGATGTCGTCGGCATCGTTGGCCTGAAGCTCGGTCGCAATACCAGTGAGCGAGCGCTTCAGGGCCTCCTTGGAAGAGGCGTAAACCATCTTCGCCTGAGAAAAGATTAGCGACAGTTCAATTGACCTTTGCGAGAGCGGGTACTGACCATGACACCAGCATCATCGGGGGACCAGGCGAGGAAGGTGATCTTGTTGCTGTTGGGGTATTAGCTGCAGGTTCCAAGTTGGGCGAATGCGGGGCAACGTACCGCTCACCCTCGCCAGAGGCAAGGCTGTACTCGAAGTCGTAGACAGCGTAGCGGGGGCCCTTGCCAACGGCACCCTGATGCATTGTTAGCATTGTCCTCGAATAGTTGCATTGTGTCGCGGGAGGCAGATAAACGTACGCTCCTGGACTTGGTCTGGGCGTTGATCAGCTTCTCGCGGAAGTTGTCATAGTCCTTATCGGCCGAGGCCTCCTCGACGATGATCTCCTTGTTGTCATCCGAGAGCTTGTAGATGATGTACTTGTACTTCTTGGAAAGCTTGAGCTCGTTGTAGGCCGTTATGCACTCCTGAGAGACTTGCGCTCTGGTGGGGAAAATCTGGTTAGCATGCGCCGCCTTGCTGAGATAGATGGAGCCAGCTTGTCCTGCTCCGCCGGGATCGACATTGAAGGAGCGGTAAAGTCGCCCGTCAAATGGTTTGTCGGCGCAGACTCGAGAGGCTCGTCGGAAAGGGGGAATACCAACCCGGATTGAGACTGCGATTGAGATTAGCATGGTGTTTTGGTAGACGGCTGATCCTTGGAAGCTTTTAGTTACTCACCATGATGCTGGTCTATGGCGGGGGTGTGGCTAGGAGAGAGGCGGGAAAGTGGGCTGAGAGCAGATTAGCAACTAGGAAACGGGAGGGAAATTGAATGGTTTAATAATGTTTGTAGTGTAGAGAAGAAGGGAAAATGGGGGTGCCTACTTCAAGGTCGAGTGGTTCGGCCGGGAGATTTGCTGCACGGAGGGTGGTGGCAGAAAAGAGGCAACAGCTTGCTTTCGGGTGATGAGGTATCTTGGACAGGAACGGAGGAGTTGGGTCACAGTGGAGGGGAAGCGGGCGAGAAAAACACCCGCATGGTGGGGTTGTTGTCCAGGTGAGATGAGAGCACGTGACTATCTGCGTCAGCCACAGGCGGTTGACGAATCCCACCCAGGCGGCAGTCAACAGACAGGGCCTGAACTTGGAATCTCTCAATTGGGGCAGCCCAAAGCCAGGGGCGACGAGTCCTGTTGCTGGTTTAAAATGAACACCAGAGGCCATCGCCAAAAAAACACAATGGGTGCCTGTTTACGTGACGTGGACCGAGCCACACTTAATGGTTGCCTGCCCTACCTTACCTTACTTGTCAGCATGAAGCCAAGGAGCTCTACCTGACTAAAGTAGCGGCACAATGGCTCAATTCTTCAAGCTGTCACTGAGCTGTCAACAATCGCTGTCGTCAACACCGTGCACAGCTCCAGTCAATGCATTCAGTTGCTCTTTGCTTTGTTAATCTTTAACTCGTTTTGCTTTCTTTCTTCATCTTACATAACTTGCTAGTGCTATTGTACAATACAGAGCTCTCAAGTCCCCTCAGGGATACTGCTGCGTAAAAGGGGGAAAGAGGGGAGATTAGTACAAATGGCCGCAGTTATACATCCTTTTTAATAGTAACACCAGTGCCCATGCCCCTCGCCCAGTTGACTTTTTTTTTAATACAAGAAAGACAATTTGATCATGGATCATGTTTTTACATCATACCACCCATGCCTCCCATTCCGCCCATGCCACCCATGCCGCCCATGGGAGGAGGTCCCTTCTCTTCGGGAGCCTCGACAATGGCGACCTCGGTCGTACCGAGCAGGGAAGCGACACCGCTGGCATCAACCAGACCAGTGCGGACGACCTTGAAGGGATCAAGGATACCGGCAGCGATCATGTCAACGTACTCGCCCTTGGAGGAGTCGAAGCCCTTGTTGAACTCGTTGGCGAACTCGTCAGTGAGCTTGCCGACGATGACGGAACCCTCGAGACCAGCGTTCTCGACGATAGCGCGAGCAGGGCGGGTGATGGCGTTCTTAACAATGGTGACACCAAGCTGCTGGTCGAAGTTGGCGGTCTTGACGTCCTTCAGAGCCAGGGCAGAGGCCTTGATGAGGGCGGTACCACCACCGGGGAGGATACCCTCCTCGACGGCGGCGCGGGTGGCATTGAGGGCATCGACGAAGCGGTCCTTCTTCTCACCGACCTCAACCTCGGAGGAGCCACCGACCTTGATGACGGCGACACCACCAGAAAGCTTGGCCAGACGCTCCTGGAGCTTCTCCTTCTCGTACTCGGAGGTAGTGGGGTCGTTCATGACACCACGGATCTGCTCGCAGCGCTGGGAGATGGAGTCCTTGGCGCCCTCGCCATTCAGGAAGATGGTGTCCTCCTTGGTGATGGTGATGGAGCCGGTGGAGCCGAGCATGTCGGGGGTAGCCTTCTCGAGCTTGATGTCAAGCTCTTCGCTGAAGACGGTACCATTGGTGAGGACAGCCAAGTCACCGAGGATGGACTTGCGGTTGTCACCGAAGCCGGGGGCCTTGACGGCGGCGACCTGGAGCTGGCCACGGAGCTTGTTGAGAATGCAGACGGCGAGAGCCTCACCCTCGATGTCCTCGGCAATGATGACGAGAGGACGTCTCAGCTGGGTGGAGGCCTCAAGAGCGGGAATGATGTCCTGGACGGCAGAGATCTTCTTCTCGGAGAGAAGGATCAGGGGCTTCTCGAACTCGACCTTCTGGGACTTGGCGTCGGTGATGAAGTAGGGGGAGACGAAGCCGCGATCGAAGCGCATACCCTCGGTAACCTCGAGCTCGTCGACCAGAGTCTTGCCCTCCTTGACGGTGATGACACCCTCCTTGCCGACCTTCTCCATGGCCTTGGCAATCAGGTTGCCGACCTCCTGGTCACCGTTGGCGGAGATGGTGGCGACCTGGGCAACCTCCTCGCTAGTGGAAATATCTCTCTTGTTCTTCTGGAGGAAAGCGACGACCTCGTCGACGGCAGCCTGGATACCACGGCGCAGGTCCATGGGGTTGCAGCCAGCGGCGACGTTCTTGACGGTCTCGGAGAAGATGGAACGGGCGAGGACGGTGGCAGTGGTGGTACCGTCACCGGCGGTCTCGTTGGTCTTGGAGGCGACGTCCTGGATGAGGCGGGCGCCTAGGTTCTCGAACTTGTCCTTGAGGGTAATTGCCTTCGCGACAGTTACACCATCTACAAACAAAGTCAGCTTATTGATCAGCCCAATATCAGTTGCACACTTGCTTACCCTTTGTGATCTTGGGGGAGCCATAGCTGGACTCAATGAGGACGTTGCGACCCTTGGGGCCAAGTGTTGTCGCAACAGCCTTGGCCAGAGTATCGGCACCAGCCAGCAGGGCGGCGCGGCCCTCGACACCGAACTTCAGCTCCTGTAGACTGAATTAGCATCCTGAAGCTGATGGCATTACCAAAGCTACGCGACATGTCGACTAACCTTGTGGGCAAAGCGAAGCTGCTGTCCCAGGCCGGCACCGGCACGGAACTTGCTGGGAGCAGCGGAGAGGACTGACGCTCTCGCGCGGGAAGTAAGGGCGCGCTGCATCTTAATCTTATTACGAGGGTATCTAGGTAAGAAAGAAGAAATACAGAACTAAGGATTGAAGGTGTCGCCGAGTTTGAATCACACGTGTCGCTCCAAGGAGATGAAGTAAAAAGTTGCAGTGAGTGGTAGAATTGGAGAAGCTTCCCGTCGCCGGCTCCAAAAATTTATCTCGGACCTTCGGCTAAACGAGGTCCCTTTTGGAGCGCCAGGACAAAAGGGGACTAGCTCCATTATAGGTGCATTTCTACCGTCTTCCAATGGCATCTGTCTCCAATCTCAGCATCCGCACATGGTACGGACATCCCCTAGTGACTATTGCGGCATTGCCGAATATCGACATGGGTTCGAGCATCGGAGTACGTCGGCGGAGGATCGACTGCGGGCTTCTCTTGAGCAGCTGCACCCATTATGAGAGCGCTGACGTCGTCGCAGTTCAATAGACTTTGTTTGGCACTTTAAACAAGTCACGAGAACTGCCATCCGAGCAATGCCTTAGCTGCACGCGAGTTACACCTAATTTCAAAGGTGCAACGTTTTAAACAAGCTTCTTTTTTTAGTCTCTTCATAGGTTCTCTTCATAGGTGCGGATGCCTCGACTTTATTGCAGCAGCTCACTGTACTTGAAACGTTGAGAACTGGCGCGCTGGCGCCGTGGCGCCGTGATGCAACCCCTAGCCTCTTGGCTACGCTATCTCAAGGATGAGAATGATGACTTGGAGAGCCTGTTGCGCGAGAACTTAATAGAATAAGTACGATTAGTTTGCAACATATATCCTTAATTTCCAGCTCCTGTAAGTCAGGGGCCAGAGCAGCCTCCTGAATGATGGTGATCTCGCAGTATAAGAAGGGAGTTGGTCGCAGACGAAGTTTCGGACGATACTGCAAGATCGAACGTCACCAATATCCAAAACTTCAATCTCTCAAATATCTATTCACTCTTTCTGCAACAATGAAGTTGTCACTCCTTGCCGTCATCGTAGCCTCCGCCTCTGCCGCCCAGGGCGCCATCACCTGGACGCTTCAGAAGGCCGCCAATCCCACATCCGACCAGAACGACGCATACACCAAAATTGAAGCTGCCATGAAGCTGGCCGTCGCAAGACACGCAAAGCTGGGAAGTGCCAGCAAGACCATTCGCGTCTATTACACGCCCGGCGTTCCTACGGCTGAGGCCAGCTATAATGGTGACCTCCGTTTTGGATCGAACCGATCTTTCATGAACGAGCGTACGGCGCTCCACGAGATCGCTCACACACTCGGCGTTGGTCAAACTACCGCCTTCAACTCCAAATGCTCATCCGGCGACTGGGCTACGGCATTGCCCCTACTCCGTTCCTGGGACGGCTCGGATGCTAAGATCAGCTGCGGTGGCGGGCATTTCTGGCCGTATGGCCTTAATTACGACACCGAATGGAGCGAAACAAATGGTGACCGTCATGTAAAGATCATCAACGCTATGCTTGCTGATGGCATGTAAGGAGAGAAGGGTTCTGCATTTGCCAAATTCATGCACAGACTCCATAAATATTGGATCGAATTCTCTGGTTCGTTCAAATGTACATAGCATGACCGCGAGACAAGGTGTCTGTTGGTCTTTCAATGAACACGACAAATCCAATCTTAGGAGCCTTCCGAGCGAAAGTCGATTTTCGTGCATTGTTCATGCCATCCTTTTCTCCTGTGGCCTGTCACAAGTGGTTATCGTAAGTCCATCATGAGATCCAGCCAACGTTTATCAAGGGAAATCGAGGTCCAAGCGCTTGATATCATTATCTCAAAGGTTTAATCTGTTAAGTCTAATGCTATGCCTTGGCGCTATCAGCAATCGAGCCAAGGCGGACAAAATGGAAAAAGGAGAAAGAGAAACCCCCGTGTCGAGGTCGGAGTCTTCCCAGTGCACAGTCGTATCAGCAACTATGCTCGCCGTGTCTGCTGTTATCCCTTCAGAGGTACTCTCCGCTGCCAAAACAGGCCAAGGGGAGATGAAACAAGAGGAAAGAAAGGGAATAATAGGGAAAAACGAAAAACAGAGCAAATCTCGAATGCACCCATAATAGCATGGTATCATTCTCTCATCCCCGTATTGCCTCCAACGCCAATGTTTACCTTTTTCCAAGGACTCAAGTCAGTCCAGGATGCTGAAAGTTGATTGAGCGATAAAGCCTGAGCCAATCCATGGCCGGCCAATCCATTTAGTAAAATACGTTAGTATCAAATGCCGCCAAATTGACCTCGCCCAAGCCAAATCCCTCATTGTCTCCGTTGGGGGTGGAGTCAACAGCTGTGGCATGATCATTGACAGCATCCTGCCGATGAGAGCCGCCAGTGGGCGACACATTGAGAGACGGAGTGCCGGAATGCAGATTCATCCGGGGGTTGTTTTCGAAGGGCTGGGTAGGAATACCAGCTTCCTGGCCATTTAGGCCATTGAGATTGCCGTACAAGTTGAGATTCAATGGGGTGGCAAAAGTCGTGTAGCCATTGCTCGAGTAGACCGGGACCATGCGATGAATGCCAGACATCGGATAAGAGACATCATTTGGGTTATCAGGCATCTGAGAAAGGTGGAATGCCTCGGGAGCGAGGCCCTCGACATAAGCTCGTGCTTCGTTCTCAGGTGCTTCATTCTTCCAGGCTTGAAGCTCTTGCTCAGATAGGTGAATATTGTTACCTCCGGTATGGTGCTGAGACTGTAGGTGAGACTGGAGTACCTGCCATTCCTGCTCGGTCTGCTGCATCTGACTGTGCTGGTTCGGGTACTGCGTCTGGTGGTATGGCTGCTGCTGGAGCTGGATGTCGTCATCGGCATGTTCTAGGGCCTGGCTGATCTGCTGAGCCTGTAGAATAGGCAAACCTTGACCGTTCTGTTGAACAAGGGCGTGCTCGTGAATATGGTTCATCAGCTGAGCTTCGTTGTTGTGTAGATGATGGCCCAACTGGGAAGGAGCCTGGTGAGAGGCCTGGTGAATGGGATCGTTTGAGGACTCTCCCTCCTGTTGAACGTCAGTGATGGGGATGGAATGTTTTGATCAAAACTCACCTTATTGAGGGTTTCATCGTAATCCGATTCAATCTCATCCTCCTGGTCCTCCGCAATTGCGTCATCAATCTCACCTTCATCCGAGTCTCCATCACCTGCTGCGTTGGTCTTCAACTGCTAGTTGTCACCATGCTGACAGGGCTGAAAGAACGGCTCATGAAGGCTGATGGGTCTGACAGCATCTTCGTTCTGAGGGGTCGGTGCATTGATATAGCCGCGGATATCCTTGTCCTCTTTCAAGCTCTTGGCCTGGCTAGGGAGGGGAGGAACACACCAACCCGCCTTGAGAACACGCTTGCGCTCTCGGGCCAGGAACTGGGTGAATGCTGTCGGGGTAACTCCAGTGAAGCATTGGGGGATGATCTCATCCCAGGGCAGTTTGTTGTGTTTTTTGGCACACCACCACTGAGTCCAGAGCGTCATCACAAGCAAGGGGTCTTCTCCTGTGAGTACGGTCAATTGCCAGGAACAGACTTCAATGAGAATCATGTTGCTTACTGCGCCATTGAATTAATGCCCGTTTCTTTGGGCGACCGGCGACCTTGACACCTTTCTTAGGACTCTTGTGCTCCTTGGCCGAAGTGTTCTTCCTAGCTGAAGTGTTCTTCTTTATCTTTGCGTCATTGTTGGCCTTCGGGATATCAGGAAGCCGGCCCTCGGACTTGGTGCTCTGCTTGTAAGGCGCCATCTCCTAGACGGAAAGATCCTATGTTAGCTAAAATTAAATCCAGTGAGGTACAATGCACAGTGTCGGATAGAAATCTTGATTTTAGGCAAAGGAGGAAGCCACCAGTGAATGAAGATGGAAAATAGACGCAACACACAAGTTGAGAAAGGAGCCTGCCGCAAAGGGAAGGCAATCTTTTGTGTGGCAGCAGGTGGGGGATGAAAGCAACGTCAAGAAGGAATTGGATCAAACGAGAGATGGAAAAGAACTTACTACTGTGATCTCAATGAGATGATTGCAGGATTCGTAGTAGGTGATTTGTGTCTCGGAAATGTCTGATTACATGTAGACGAACAGTCGACAAGCTTATCGTGGTGATTTCGGTCGAGACAAGTCTCGAAGGGAACTGTGTTGTTTGAGGGTAAACAATGGAGGGAGGAGGTGAGGGGATTATTGTTGCGTATGAGGCGAAAAGTCGGGTCGGGTCAGAGGGGCAGACTGAGGGATGGCTGTGGGTGGAAGGAAGTTGAGAAGGTGGGAGGCAGATGAGGGTCGCGAGGTTATTGACAGCAGAAAGGCGGCCATGGTTCGAGGGTGGGCAGCTCTATATTGACCCCACTTCGAATTGACTCGACCGGGAGAAAGGCGCCTGTTCTAGTAGAAGTAGAGGACGCGGTGGGAGTGGTGGGCCCGCTGGAGGTCAGGGAGGCGGACGGGAGTAAGAGACGCGGTGACGGCCTGCCAGGCACTCTGGAAGCTAGGCAGCTGCTGAAGGTATGGGAATGCTTTCAGGCGTTGCCGGGTAACGATCTCACTTCTAATAGTTCTTACGCGAACAAATGCAAGGCTCGATCATCTATGCCACTAAGGTATCTAACAAAAACGGTTGTGATATCTTTCTTTCTGCTCAGGAATATTACGATGGCAGAGATCATCGTGTCTGCGCTGAACTGCTAAATTTATGCCGGATACTCTGGTGGACCAGAAAATAGACAGCTACTGTTAGATATCCAGTTGCCTTGTGAGTCAACTCGCTGTGCGATCGCAGAATATGGGTGAGCTCGGTAGACTCGAGCCAAAAGGCAACAAATCTCCAGCGCGGGCCACTCGGCAGAGGATTTTGATCTCACAATGGCACACACTGCTGAATGTGAAGCGAATTATTAATCTCGTGATAGGTACGAGTCAAACTATCAGTGATCTACAAAACCAATTTCCTCCCGTCATGCCTTCCATCTTTCCAAAGCTTGGTGATCAGATGTATAGAGTACGTCTCAGATCGAGCAGAGCTGTCCACACAATCGGACAGCGAACGCTGAAGGCCTATTGTCGGCCCTCTTCCTTATGGTCATTCTCCTTCGTTGAGCGCTGTCTCCCAGTGATGGCTCGTAGAAATCTCCGGAATCTCGACTTCGTGGGCGGTGTGCTCAAGTGATGAGCTTGCCCAAACTGCTGTACTGAGACTTGGGTTGAGGAGTCTGCCGAGTGTGCAAAGCCACCGAAGTCTTCTCTTCCCGTGGATGAACATTGTGGTACCCGCGTCGCTGTCGCATAGCCAGGCGGCTTCTCGAAGGTTGTTGAAGTATGTCCGCCGAGTCTCTGGTTGTGAGACATAGCAGCGAGTTGCTCGTTAACAGCAGCTTGAACTGCCGTCGCAATCATTGCTGGCAGACTGGAGGTGATCTGATGCAAGTCGGTAGTGACTGTGTTGAGAGCTGTGTTGAGCATGTTCACTGATCCATCGAAAGTATTTTTTTGGGCTCCCAACATGGTGTTTAGAGTGTTGAGTTGCGAAGCCATGACTTTATTGAGTGTGGCGACCTGGGCGCTCATCGAGGTGTTCACTGCATTGTTGAGTGACGATAAGCCATCGATCTGGGACGTCATTCCATCTAATTGGCTGTCGAAACGACTCATGTTGCCCTCCATGCGAGTGGCATTCATGCGAAGAGGGTTGGCGACGTCAAGAAGTGTGCGCTCGGCGATCTGCATGAACTCTTCGGCGATGGCGTCCAAGTCGTCTTGTGTGGGGTTGTTGATGCCCTTGCGCTGAAGTGCCGCCTGTGTAATCTCCAGCATGCGCGCTTCCTTGTTGATTGAGTTCATCCAGTTTTGAACTCGGTGATCCATCTCTTGAAAGTTGGCTGGGGCTCCGTGAGCATCATCGCGAGCCTTGATGAGACGGGCAATGTCGACCTTGAGGACGTTGTATTTCTCGGGTGGGGGATCAGCAGGGTCGCCTCTTGCATCTCGGAGACGCTGGAGATGATGGTAGTCTTCTACGATGGTTTGAGGATATTCGGCCGCAGAGGTTGTGTTAGGAAACTCTCCAGTTCTTCGTGCTTGCTGGAGTTGTTGGGACATGGCTCGAATACGCCCTGGAGTATAAGCAGTCTGCCCAACGAGTACATGGTTGGCAAGGCTGGGCATGACGGTAACGTCAATCTGATCGCGCGCTGAAGACACCTTGGGCTCATTGACGTCCAGGTTTGGAAATGACAGCTCAGTATCAGTGGGCGATTCTGGTGATGAGAATAAGCTGTTGGTATTGCTCGAAGTGTCGGATCGGGGCGATGAGGCGGCAGACGAGTGCCCCCATTGATTGCCCTTATCGGCACCAGGTGAGAGCGGAGAGTCGCACATTGCGTCGTAATGAATTGATGTCGTGTTTGATCTGGTGCGATGGAGAAGGAGTAATTGAGTGACTCCGTCTGCGGGGGCGGTCAGTTGTGCGTCCAAAGCTCGCGATCTGAAGTGGGAAGAAAAAGAAGAGGCGAAAGAAGCCGCAATCGACAAAACACTCACCGATTCGTCTAGAACCTGGAGTTGCAGAGGGAAGAGATATCTCGCCTTCGATGACAGCGAGAATTTTCGCTCGTTAATTGATGAAATGATAAAAATTGGCTCGATGAATCGCCCGTTTGGAGGGGAGGACGGCTGCCGCGATTAAGAAGGGAAGGGAAACTTCGGTGCGTTGGATGTGGGAGGGAGAAATCAGATGTGCGTGTATGTCCCACCCAAAGGACAGCCGAAATTTTTTTGCATTTGTTTGTGTGCTCTCGGCTGAGGTGGCTGAGAAATGGATGTCGCTTGGTGAGGTGAGGGAAGCAGGTCAGGTAGGAGGAAGGTGCAGAAGAGAGAGGGTGAATCGCGGATGGAGCAATCTGGTTGGCTGCACAATGTCTGGACTGGAAGGTCAGGCAAGACATGCAAGCGAGCATGTGTCGTCGGCCTGCTTTTGTTTTGCAGAGAGTTGAGTTCTGTGTATGTTGAATTGGGAAGGAAGGAGGGAGCTGCACCTGCTTCATGTATGCCTCTCAGCCTGCGTTGCCTTTGAGAGTGTGTCTGACCGCCCGAAGAAACTCGAAGGCAACTTGCTCGAATTATCTTGGCGTCTTACGATATTGATACGTATTTTTGCGTGCAAAAGGTTCAATAGGCCATATGAATCTTCATAGTGTCCTCGATGCTCAGTTGCATCCTGAAGTGGCGCAGCCAGGTTATGCGGGAAGGACTAGGTGCTCTGGAGGTAACCGAGATCACCGGAATGTAAATGATAAGGAGTTGAAGACTTGAAGTAATGGAGCTTCTTGGATCTAAAGGTAAAGACGCTCGATATTACTCGCCTGCTAGATTCGAATCACGCCTGCAGAAATAGCCTGGTCTGGAGGCCAGAGGAACTGGGACAGCCAACATGGCACGCGAGGAAGGAAATTGGGCAGCATTATGTAGGGTAGACACAGAAATACCGCTATTATTGATCCTTAATACCATACAAATATGCGTTGTCATGAATCTGGAAGGCACGAAAAGTTGCAAGGAGCTTGTTCTCACACATGAAGTGAGGGTGTCGTCGAAATTGAGCCCCCAGTGCTCCGGACCAAGTGGGATGATCCCTGCCGACTGTTGCCAAGACAGTCCCACTTGCCCAACCAGGCAGCGCCATGGCGAACCCTTCAATGGCGCACCACTTTCATGTCTCACAGAGCCTGCCTGGCGATCGGTGGGTTGCGAAAGAAGTGAAAGCCAAACGTTTTATTTTTGGAGTTTCTAGATGACCCCAATCACTCCCATTCCCATGTACGAGCCATCCTTTCCAGCAATTTGGTGAGCCATGACAGCCACATCGTCAGCGTAAGAGGTCTATCTTCAGTCCTAGGAAATATTTTGTCAGCAACGTCTTGGAAGAACTGCGTAAAAACTACTCACATATCCCAGCCAACTGTGCTGCTTCCAGCTCCCCATGTATCGCGCAAGTATCCGGCCATGTATAGACGGGAATATCCGGTAGGAACCCCCAGCCATGATAGCAAGCTGGCATGTCGCTAAATCTCGGATTGCTCGTCGCCCTCGGCAGCATCTGCATTGAAATATCGGTGTTAGTATCGCTCGAAACGGACGCGGAAGGAGGACTCCGAGATTCGCCGGAATCGTGAACGGGGCAATCGCTCGTCTTCTCCACAACATAGAGAAGTTGCAGGTCGTCGTCATCGTCATCGCGGCCTCGGGGGACATTGTAGTACGAACCGTTGGTGGAGTCAGCGACAGAGGCCTCAGGGTCCGACTTGACCTTGAACTGGTTCTCCTCCTCGGCGTCGTCATCGTCATTGTAGGACGAGACAGCCGGGTGATTGGCCAGCTTGGATCGCTTGGTCTCCTTGGTGGGAGTGTCGGCGGCGGCGCGCTTGCCCTTCGACTTAGGAGTAACCTTGGCAGCGCTCTTGGACGGGGTCTTGGGGCTCGCGGTGCTACCACCGGGAGAGGCGGCCATGGGACCGGCCTTGGCCAAGTCGCTGGTCTTCAATCCATACTTCTGGAGAACGCGCTCGAATCGCTTGGCACTGAAAGACGTGCTAAGTCAGCTTGGTTTGGTCGAAAAATCAAGAGGATTAGTATATTAAATAGCATGACTTACGCGGCAGCCTTGGTAACAATGTTGCAGTCATCAGCAACAGACTGAAAGTCAACCTTTGGATGTTAGGTACTTCGCGTCACGGAATAGAAACTCACGACACTTACCTTTCCACCTGTAGAGTGCTTGATGCAGTAGACGAGGAAGGTCACCTGGCCCTCAGCATCGGTTCCGACGGAGGCCATGATCAGTAGAGTAGAAGAAGTTTAATAGAAGAAGTTGAGTATGGGTAGTGTAAGATGAAGATGAAAACTTGAACTAAGGCCCAGGTGCTGAGTCTGTCTGAGGAAGCTCAAGGTTAAGTTGTTGTTGTTGAAGAGAAGATTTAGGTTGGCGAGAAGTTCTGGTGAGAGGCTGGGTTAAATGGGCTGGCTGAGTCCTTGATCAACAGGAATTGGCGAGAGCCACCTGGACAAGACGTGGGCACAAGCGGCTCAAGAGGTAATAACAGATCAGGCAGGTGGCCAAAGGATTTTACACAAATGGCGAGAGCAGCCTGGACAAAAGGTAGGAGGAGGTGGTCTGGACGAAAGGTAAGAGACTGGACGACAGCACAATGATCAGACGTTATTAAGACAATGAGGCGAGAGCTAACTAGACAAGAGTTGGCCACAGGTGGTTCAAAAGGTGATAAGAGACGAGGCAGTTGATCAAAGGACTTTACACAAATAGGAGAACAGTTGAGACGAAGACAAAGAGTGCAATGAAAACGATGAGAAATGGAAAGCGTAAAGAAAATGAGAAACGAGGGGAGAAGGAAATCGGCAGTTTTGAAAAGGAGCAAGAGAACCGGAAACAAAGTCTTAATGTGCAGAAAAAGGCATCGAGGTAGCTCTGATGAATATTAGTTTTCTTGTTCGGCGTATCGTGGCTGGAGAGGGAGTTGCTGAGCTCGAATTGAATGCGCATGGTAGTGACTGCTATGTATCGCAAATATGCTTCCTATCATCCATGATATAACACCGAGCTTAAACGTCGACGGACATCACTTGGAAATAGAGATGTTGTTCACGAATTTGAAGCCACTACTGGAGCATCATCGGTTCTAGGAAGCTTTCAATTATCTTGTATTCCTAGGTGGGCAGTCACCCGATTTTGATACCGGAGACGCATTGTATGAGCCACGACCAGGACGCATCTCTCAAAATATTTTCGTTCCTGAAAACTGACTCATCCCGAGGGGATTCATAGTCAAAAAAGACTTTTTAGATATCGAGAGTCTCTTCTTTGAACTTGATATCCTCGGTCTTGATAATAGTCTTGTCATCGGTGTCCATGCCATCGGCCTCATCCTTGTTGTCCTCGTCCTTGACAGCTTTCTTGCCCGTCTTGCCCTTGACGCCAACGCGTCCAGTGGTCTTTTTGATCTTGGAGCCAGAAGTGGGGGTGCTGGCGGAAGCCTGAGTGGTCTTCTTGGGGGTGGAATAGGCCGGGTCACCCGGCTGAGTGAACTTTCGCTTTATTTGCCCATATCGAGTCTGGATATGAAAGTATTAGTATATTTTTAGTGAACTAGTGTTTTTGAAGTAAAGAATTGAAGTAAAGAAGAGGAACCCACCTGAGCAACACTCGCGTTTTTGAAGCCAGCGGCCTCGGCGAAGCTCTCCCAGTCAATGACAGGCTTCTCAGTCATGTGCTTGAAGATCTGCACCATGAAACTGGCATCAGAGAGAGTGACCTCAGGGGTGGTCTGGTCAGCCATATTTACTGTCTAATGTACGTCAGCACAGTCAAAACGTATTGGAAGGGGCGAGTGATCAGTGAAAACTTACGGTGGCAAGTGCTTAGTATGGCGACTAATTCGGGCGTGCGACTGTACTTGATGAGCTGACTTTTCTGTCAGTAATTTGATCATTAAGAATTATTCAATGGAAAGACACTTACTTTGCTTTTGAATATTGGTGTTGTAGAGTAAGGAATTTGTGGTTGCGGATGCGCGATTGTGAGGGATGAAGAAGCTGAGCTGTGAGGTTCGCTCGTGATGGATGGATGGATTTAAAGCAAGAATCCAAACGAAACTATACGGAAGGAGGGAACAATTTTCAAAATCAAATCAAATAGGGAAGGAATGGAATAATGGAAGGAAGCATGAGTTGACCGGGCAATGCGGCGGTCGACGGTCATGGCCGCCAGGTAGATAGGTGCCCGACATCAAGTACGCATGTAGACGATGAACCTGCCTCGTCTTGGGGCATGATTAACTCACAGAACATAACCCAAATTAGGCAAAAAGTTTGCGAATGACAGGCTCCCGTGGCATTCAGGCAGTTATTTTGGGTGAACAGGTTGGGTTGAGACTCTGTAGATACTGGTAGGGCATTATGTGTCAAAGACTTTGCCAACTTTACAGTGTTGTTCTGGTTCCGGATGACAGTCTCATTGCTAAGAAATTTAATATGGTTTCAATGAAAGCATGGTATTTGACTTGTATCATGGCTTTGTTGGAGATCTCGGGTATGTGGTGAACAATGACCATAAGTTTCAAGTCGGTATCAGGAGATTCATATCGCTTTTGAGATTTGTTGACTCTGATGTCAATACTGGAAGAGTTCTTCCAGAGAGATGAAGGCTTGATTGTGTTCGCCCTTGGATCAATTGAACTACGCCATAAAGTCGAGGGCTCGACATTTGATATGTCAACTTTGATCACATACCTAAAGTAGGTTTATGCGCCGCTCTTGAATGTCGTTTCTGTCCGATTCTCTCTAGACTAGGTATTCCAGCGCCGTGTAAATATAGTTTATTCACTCTGCCACTAATCGGTCGTTGTGGCTCTCAAGAGCACCCTAGGTAAGCAACGTAACCCACAAAGAACATGAGGTTTCTCGGGGCCCGATGATCAACTTCCAGCCTCGGCAAGCCTGGGAGAACCAGAATCGATCCAAAGAGGTAGGTGGCCGCTTTGGGACATTTAATTGGGGTTTGAAACTAACTACCCCTGGTTTTCAGTATGCACACAGTCACCAACTTGTTGGTGCAAGGATCGCATCATACATATCGGCCCGCAGATACTGGCAGTGATCCCCTCACACTTCCCTGTCCAAAGAATGGCTACAAGAGGTGGATAGGATTCATGCTTGAAGCAAACAGCTTGAGAGATCATGTTTTTATATGTAGGGATCCGTAGAGTGAGGCTAGTCGTGGCTTATCGATGGGCCACTTCAGACGCCCACCAACAGAACAGAATCCTTGGCGAACCGTTGGTTCACAACCTTGCCCACCACATCGGGAATACTCCTCGTCACATCATCCAATCAAAGGGAGAATATCGAAGGGTGTACTTGAGGGCCCTGGACGTTTTGCAATGTCGAAGGAGTCTCTTCCGATACGGGCGCAGTCTGCTTTAAGCTAGTGCGGCACAAAACAACGGGCCTTCAACCAGGTCTCTGTCCTTTTCGATCTTGCGCTGCGACTCTCTCCAGATCACGTTGAATTCTATAGACTCATTTCTCCCCTCAACTTTTCGACATCATGCCAAAGGAGGAAATTTACGACCTTCATCCTTACGGGTGGGAGAACGACCCAGAAGTGGAGAGATTCAGAGTATCCACCCTAGATTACTTGACATGCCAAACATACAACCACTACGCAGTATTCTTCCGCCTTGACGATGTCGCCAAACCGAGAGTCGTCGAGGTCCTGAAGGCAGGCCTCGAGAGGACGCTTGCTCAAGTACGCCAGTTGAACGGAAGGATTGAGAAAGACCCTTGGGGCGATTATTCCTTTACCAAGAAGAAGGACTCAACCGTTCGCTTCGTCGTCCAATGGCTCGACTCTCCCGAGGATGCCGACAAGTATCCGTCTTTTGACGAGTTTGAGAAAGCCAACTTTAGCGCCGTATCGCTCGGTGACCTCCGGCTTTGGGCTGTTTCGCCAATGACTTACGGTGAGAGGCCCGAGGCTACTCCGGAGCAGAGTCCCGTCACCGCGGGGTTTAAAGCAAACTTTGTCCGCGGTGGACTCATCTTCAGCACGCACCACCATCATTACTCTCAAGATGTCATGGCTTGGGCTGGCTTTGTCCATCAGCTGGCCGAGAACTGTTCTGCTTTTAGTAACGGAACGCCTTATCCCTCGTGGGATTCAGCCTGCAATGATGTTTCCCGCTTCCTCAAGCCTGAGCCTCCGGAGAAAGAGAAGGTAGACGGGCCACCGCCACCCGATAGACATCCCGATCACAAAGTCGGTGTCTGTCTCCTCTTCCATCTACCCAAGAGCAAGGCCGCTCAGCTGAAAGAGCTCGCCAAGCCCAAAGATGGTACCTGGATCTCAACGTATGACGCTTTTTCTGCCTTCATGTGGCGGCACATGACACGCCTTCGGGCCCCAGTATTCAAAAATGCCCCAGATGAAAAACTCTTTTGGTGCGAGACCATCGATATGCGTCGACGTCTGCACAGCCCAAAGTCACCCGCTCGAACTCAGCAAAACGTCATGTACGTTGCGATGTCTACGACCGCACCGGTGGAACAACCCACTGTGTCAGACCTCATCTCGAAATGGCCGTTCTGGCGGATAGCGCGCTATGTACGCCAGTTGACAGACAGCGTGACGCAAGAAAGTCTTGATGAAACGCTCAAGATGGTAGCGACGATCCGTGTCAAGTCGAGCCTCAACTCCCGCATCGACTCACACCCGCCCATGTCGACTATCGTGGTTGACCACCGTGACGCCAACATTCCCTCGGCTGACTTTGGCTTCGCGAAGCCCGCAACTTATCGATACTTGATGGGGCGTATTTCTGAGGGCGGGGTTCTCGTCTACCCGCCCCGAGATCCCTCGCCCCAGTCTGACGAGGGTCCGGAGATTGCCATCATGTATGAGAAGGAACTCGCTCAGACTCTCATCGAGGACCCGGAGTGGAACAAGTTCTTTGAGTACAGGGGCGTCGATGCTGAGCATACCGAGGCATAGCAAATTCTCGAAAAGATATTTCGTCTAGTAAATATTTCAATTTGAGAAGTTACAATGAGCTGGCGACCCATAAACTACTTCATCTTAGGAGAAGAAGGTATATGAGGGTCAATTCATATTATTGAAACAGTACGTTGTGTTTATTTCCTGATCGTCAATTCTCGTCGTAGCCTCTAGAGCTTGTCCAGGTATCATTGGCAAACCGACACACAAATACTTTCAGCTATCCCTGACTATAGGAAATAAAAGTAAAACAACATCGTGCTATAGAAAACTTGGGAAAGACTGGTGATGGTTCTTTGAAACAGTCCCAAAGACATCATAAAATATGAAAACACTGGCTATCAAGATCAACCGACTCCAAATCAGCGACGGAAATAATTTCAACGAACATCGCTAGCTATCCACTTTCGAACCCAGGCAAACATGATCTGACCTTGGCAATTTGACCGTTGAGAATCCATCCATCTCCCAACTCCCAAGTCCAACATTGTCATCAACTCGGACATCTCAAATCTGCATCACTTTAGAATATAGCCTCTTCATAGAACAACTCTCCAGGAACCAATCCCCATCAACACGCCTCCACGTCTCGTGATAATGCCCGGCGCCGGTGGAATGCATCCCCGCTTCCGAGCCCCTGGTCCCGCCGTGATAAATCATCCCAAACACGGCCTTGACCTCGTCCTCGGCGACCTGCTCCAGGTCCCCCGCGTCCGTCAGATGTATCGTCTGCACGACCTTGAAGGCCGCGCTAAAGTGAGCGACCCACGCCTCGCGCGACTCCCAGCGGTACTTGACCCCGTTCAAAGTCAAGATGGTGCCGTCCAGGTCGACGGCTTCAAAGGTCATGGAGGGGAGCATGATGTTGTCAAAGTGGTGCCACTCACAGCTGTCCGCGAAGCGGCAGTATTGAGCCTTTTTGCGGCGGATGATCTCTGCTGTTTCTGGGGAGATGGGCATCTTGTCGGTATTTGCTCCGTGGTTCAAGTTAGAGAAAAAATGTATGAGATAAACTGATCACGAAGATCGTTGTGAATGAGTAAACAAACTGATAATGCCCTTCATCCAGTTCGTTCTGAGAGTGAATCTCCATATCGACACCATGTTTATCATCAGAACATAGGCAGAAGAGGGGTTATGCGGGGACATCCGTAGATCAATGCATTCTAATCCGAGATAGGGGTCGACATCAGGTAATTCCCACGCTCGAGTTCCTTCATGAAGAATTATGGTAACATCGAGGCCGTTGAAGACCGGGGTTTTCCTGCAGCCCTCGCCGCGTTACAGCATTTGACCCATTTCACATTTGCCAGGGTCGTCCGATGGGCGTCAGCATTTGTTCAGGACGTGCCAAGCAAGGAGGTCGATGGTTGATTGGGCACTGTACGATGCTGTGGACATCTCATGGAAATAAATCATCTTGGTGAGATGATGACTTTCTCACATTCTATAACGACCGGACACGCATCAACTTCCTTTTTTTGGCAATCAAATATCTTCAAGGCAAATTCTAAAGCAATGTTGGTACAACTTGGTAGATCTTGCGACTGGCTTCAATATTGTAAAGTGCATCTACCAAACCTGCAACTTCGATGAAGCATCCAACCAGATCATGGAGTCAAAAGTTACGTAGCCCGAAAAACTCATCAAACGGAACCGCGGCCCCTTGAACGAAGCCCTACAAAGTCATCGGCGCCCTTCATAGTATCAGTTGTACCCAGAACAGGTATGTCGAGACTGTCTTACACCATCGATCGTGATATCGTGAGATGAGCGAATTGTCGCTTCCCTGCTGCAGTCTTGAAGGAGAGCGATGTCCTTGACGCATATTCACCATGTGTCTCAACAGATCGAAATATAGCAAGTATCACCTCGTGTCTTATTCGGATTCTGAGATGTGTCTGATGGCCGCATCTGACATCTAAATGTCATATACCAGTATCCTTCTCCTCCTACGAGCCGCAACCGGTTCAAGACAGCATTGAAACCCTCAACCACAACCACCAAACACTCACCTCAGACACCTCTCCCAGAATCTCGATTCCTATCAGATATTCGCGACTTTCCAAAACAATCTGTGCAACCTCATCTTTGCAAGATACCACTCCCCATCCCCATCCTTATCCCTCCTCCAAGTTTCATAGTAATGCCCACCGCCAGTCAAATGAACCCCCTTCTCAGATCCGGCGTTGCCAGCATGGTACACAAACCCAAAGACGGCCTTGGTCTCATCCACATTCCCGGCCCCGTTCTCCTCGTCAACTTCAAAATCCCCCGGGTCAACAACATGCAAAGTCTGCATCCCCGCAAACACCGGTTCAAAATACCCCACGAACCCCTCCAGCGAATTCCACTTCTGCTCCACCCCGTTCTCGTCGACGGCCGTCTGGCCCTCCGCGTCGAGGAACTCGATCTCGGCGTCTGGGAGGATGATGGTGGAAAGGGAGGCCCATTGCTTGGTGTCAAGGTACCGACAATAGCGGGTTTTTTTGCGGCGGATTGTTTCTGCTGCTTCAGGAGAGAGGACCATCTTCGATTGTAAGGTGTTTAGTTATTTTGGGGGATCAGGTTGTGTAAGTGACAGCTGCGAGGTTCGTATTTGGCCTTGGTTGAAACGCAGCGAATCTCACAACTTGGGTTGATCAAATGTAGCATGTAAGCCATCTTTATTTGCACCAAGGCCTTCTATCTAGAGATGTTAAACCTCGTCCTTTACGACATGTGATCTAACACTGTCATAAAAGAGAAGCGATGCCAAGCAAAAGACCGTGTTACCCCGCAAAGTCTCGCTTACTCTGAAGATCCAGTCCTACCAGATGCCGTGGAAGCACTTCTTACATGAAAGTGACGTCCGTACCGTCGGATTTTCGATTCCACAGCAGCTCCAGGCACAACGACACTGATACGTTACCTGCCTCGCCGCGCAGCTGCACCTCCCAGTGGCCCAATAGTTCTACGCAGTTGACTCAGCGTACCATTTGTAAGCTACCCCATAAGCGGCTCTGCTCTCTGTCTGTGAAGATCAACTCGCCGATGACTGCCCACCTGTACGACGGGACCGGTGAGGCAAGGCCCCCCAAAGCAAAAGAATGGCTGATGTGAGACCACGAAAATTCCACACGCGACGAAGGAGAGATGAACACAACGTTCTTGTCAGCTACACGCCCATCACGAGGGCGGCGGTTGCGGTATCCATAAGATGTAACCGCAATAAGGCTCAACGGCTCTCGACGCCGAACGCAGATCATCTTCACCCTCCGATGGACCTCATGGATAGTTTCCATCGTCTGCCTCGGGGCAAGCAGTCCCACATCCCAAACCGTCAAACCGTTTCGTGCTGCGTGCTCACCGTTTCCGGTAGCACAGCTCAGGGGTTTTACATTCCACTGCGCAACCGTTTCCGTTGCCCCACCTCCGGCCACCCGGGTGACTAATCCGGCAGCAACCGAGCCAGAGCCGGAAAGTCCCAGGGAAAAAAAAACCGAAAACCCAAACCCAAACGCTCAAAGCAGCAGGACGTCTCTGTCACGGCAAGGGAGCGAGGCGACCAGCCGCTAGACCGAATGAGGACCCCCTGCCGCGGTGCACCGCTGCACCACGCTTTGCTCTCCTTCGGGTCCCACAACCCGCAGCCGGTCCAATTTCGGGGAACGGGGGGATGACCGGGATAAGGAAACCGAAACATCCACACGCCCCTTTGTAGCAGGGGGAAGGGGAGGGCAAGCCGCCTAGAGAAGGACGTCTAGCGGCTTTCTAGAAGGTCGTCGAGGCGGACAATCTCAATTCCTGGTTCCCGACTCAAGGTCTGTAACCCGGCCCCCCTTACCATGACTAGCCCCGCGGGCATCCTTCCGGTCGCTCGGTGCGCGTCTGGTCCAGGGGGTGAACGCGACCTAGTGCACTCTACAGAATCCCATGAATCGCGACTGGTAGCAAAGGTTGGTGTTGGCGTGTCGCGGTCTGGGGTCGGCGTTGCGCTTTTGGGTAGGTCGCAATGGTGGTGGTGGTGGTGGCTTGTTCGGTGCTCGGTGCACTTGGTTGCAAATAGATGCAACGCCGGGCCCTTGCGGGACGGACGCTTGTGATGGCTTCCTTTGGGGTACTTTTCTTGGTTCTTCTCAGCCTCTTCCCCGAAAGCTTGTGAAAGGGTCCTGATGGGAGAGAACGGTGGTAGGCGGCAGGCGGAAGCGGGTTTTCTCTCGGTGCGATGCTTTGCTCGGTGTGGCGTCGGTATCGACGAACCACACCGGTCTGTAGGTACCCAAAGGGCCTAGGGGAACACACACTTACCGTGGTTGAATCCCGTTTCAGTCTGATCTTTTTTGCTTCTTTCCATTGACCCCATTAGTGTATGCCTGCTCGGCTACCTACCGCTTGGTGTTGATCGTCGAGTAAGTCCCGTAGCTAGCACGGACCGGATGCGACTCGATTGCAGCCGGCCGCCGCTCGCCCGTCACTGGTCAGGCATGTTGCTCCGGTGGCATCTCGTCGTCGAGCTTGTTTCACAAGACTCTTATCACACACTGGATGAAAGACCAGGGCGACGATGGCAGGGGAAAGTGAACTCAAAAGAATGTTGCCTGCCGCGACCAGTCCAGAGCATCCCTGTCTATCTTGGCTGTCTTGCAAGTTGTCGGCCAGTCAATACGTCCACGGACCACCACCGCCTTCAGCTTTTTTCCAAAGAGGGTTTCCCCTGCGTGTTATCGCTGTATGTTCGGATATCTTGAAGTGCCTGAAATGCTTGCCCAGCTGGTGGTTAGTCACTTCACTCGCACACCCCCTTGCATGCCTACGGAGACATTCTCGCCCTTTACAAACTGGCAGGTCTAGAAACGGGATGCCCTGCGGCGTGGCACAACCCCGAATTCGGGACGAGACTTTGCCGTTGATGGCGGGGACCAGTCAGATCGTGAGTTGTCGTCTCTGCGATCTCATTCGAAAATGGGCGCGACGAATATCCATCGCCCGGGGTCTCCCTTTCCGTTGTCGTTGCTGAATGCTGACGACGCAAACGGTGATGAGACGGCTTATTCGCGGGGAAGAGAACCAAGACGTGGAGGAGGGCGCTCTCCCGTCGCAAACTCGCGTTCGAGGCCCAATCCGAACTCGCCGTTTGTTCGTTTGTGCGACCAACAAAGACGACGAGACTGGAGGTAGGTGGAGGCGGAGGAACACAAACTCTCCTCCACTGCGCAACGGCCTTTTCTTGCCCACCCTAATCTTAGGCGAGGTCAGCAATCAATCAAGGCCCTGAGTCACTGACAAAGGGGATTGATTTGACCTGGCCGTTCTCATCCCAAGGCTGGCGACACACACCCTCCACAAACAACCACCACCGCCGCCGCCGCCGCCGCCGCCGTAACTACAGCTTGGACGATCCGGGGAAACAAAGGTGGGTGGTACCTGTAACATCCGTATGCAGACTTAGAGTGAGTAGGTCAGTGTAAATGAGATTCCGAGTGCGCCACCCCAGTCTGAGTCAGGCCGGGGAAGCATTCGCAGCGGGCTGAGTCGAGGTAAGCACGGCCGTATTAGTTGTATCTATTCGCGACGTTAAACGAGCAGCAAATAAAGGCACGAATAGCAAGTCGCCGATGTGTTACTTTTGAAATAGGCAGGCAGGTAGCATCGGCAGCAGCAATAAGTAGGCGGTAAGCCTGTCGGCGTGCTGTAAGGACAAGGCGGTCTGGGTTGTGCGCCTGTCACCGCCTTCCATGGTGTGTGTGTGTGAGTGCATGCCCTGAGTAGTCCGTAATATGCCCGTTGTTTGAGTCGTCTTGCGTCTGGAATAGGAATTAGGTTGGACGTCTCAGGTGTCAGTTCTTTTGGTTTGGAAACTTTGGATGTTGGGGGTGGGGTCAGCCAGTCAGCAGCAGCACAGTCAGAAGCAAGCTGCTCATGGCACACATCATCCATTGATGAACCGGGTTTCGTAAGCCTGTGGTGGTTGTTGTTGTCGTAGTCGCATTTCGTTTGGATGCGACTGCTGGTGCGGTTGCGGGTGCGGTTGCGGGTTGCGCATTCGTTTGGGGGTGGTGGTGGTCAGGGTTGTAATTTGTTGGTGATGTCGGTGGTTGTCTGGCGGAGGAAGGGAGGAATTTCGGGCATCCAACGGAATTCCAAACGAGAACCAACCGCAGCGTCGGGGGCATCGCCGCGTCGCATCCGGGGGGCCATCCATCTAAACCAGTCGCATTCCCGCGAGTGATTGCTCTGAATCATCCAAGTCACAACCTTGTTGGTGTATCCGTATGGAATCTATTGACACCAACCATCCATGGATCTTCTGGTGTAAGTACTCTGTATCCGTAGATGGAACTAGTTTGCCGGCCGGGGATAGAGGCTGTTGACTGTCACTTTGCGTGTTACCGAATGGGACGATGATACGTCTGTAACTCTGCCAACACTCTGTACATTGTATGATGTACGGAAAGCGCCTCCGTGTGTATCTGGAAATTGAACACCGACTCCTGGCGGATGAAAGAAGAAGCGCCGCAAATGACACAGGATCCATGTCTTCCTCCTTCTCGCCTCGCCTCGCCCTGCCCTGGCCAGCCTCGCCAACATGGCCTGGCTCCAACCTGACTCCGGGCACCTGGGACACGCAGCAGTATCCGTACGCCTCGTGGGAATTTTCCCGTGATTAAGATGAGATGCCCAGGATTATGACGGGAGAGGCTGGGCAAGCGGGAAGAGGGGAAGCTGGGATCACTCTTCGCGGTATCAGACACCGAGCCCAACAGCTTACAGGGAACAGGCCGGAAATGAGAAGGAAGCCCAAGACTCCTGGGACCCCTAGCAGCCTGCCGGAGTAGAAAAAAAAATCTTCCAAATGACGGAAAAGAAACGATTTGAAGCTAGATGGTGATAGTCGATGGAATTACTGAGACCGGGGTTATCGAACCGGGCCAGTGGATTGGGTTCCCCCCCAGTCGCTTGCCGGCCGAAAAGAAATGGCAGCCGGGAGTGAAAAGTGATGAACAGAACCTGGAAAAAGAGACAATGGCCGTGAGAGAGCCCGGGGGTCCGGAAATGGCCGTTCTGGCTGGCGGCCCTGGTTTGCTCTTTCTTTTTTGGCCCTTTCTAATTTTTTTTTCCCTGTCTCCATGGGCAAGTTGATAGAACTTGGTAAAGTTCAATACGGAAGTTCCTAGCAGACTTCCGTCGTTGGCCGTTCTCGTCTGTCACTGGAGCGGGATGGGCGCGGATGCAATGCGATGCGATGCGCCAAGAGACCGTCAGCCCTTGCTGGATGCAGCTACAGCAGATTGCTGGCACAACTATCCATACTCTTTTTTTTTTTTTTTTTTTTCCGGTTATTATTTTCTTTCTCTTGTTAGCTCCCGACAAATTGTTGTTGTCGTGGCTTGCAGTTGTTATGGTGTTGTACAGATGGATGTACAATGCCTCAACCTGAGGTGCATGTAATTTGGTATTGACGGTATCTGTACCTTACCAGGTAGGTATTGTCTTCGCTGGAACAGGAACAAGATCGGACGTCCACCATCGCTGGCCGGCATCAAAGGA